CCGCCCCCTCCATCTATTTCCCTTTAATCCCTCAATCCTTTGTTTTTACTAAGAATTTTCATACGTATTTCGATGAGGAAATGAAACATGTAATGAATCGACGAAAACAATTCAGTAGCGAAGCGGTAAAACGGTTCAAGTCGACTTAGCCCTTAGTTGAGTTTTCGAGAAATATCTCCGAATCTGAGGGAGGTAACGAAATTTTCGTGATGACCTTTTTCGTAGAGCGAATTGAGGGCTATAAGAAAGGTTGTAACAAAAATTTTGCTATCTACCTTAGATTTCGAGATATTCATTGAAAACTGGCCAATAGTTAAAATCGATTTAAACCGTTTTACCGCTTCGCTACTGAATTAATGATTGCCGCGAAAAGAGTTTAATAATTTTGTATAGACAGTATGACATATGACACTTATTGTAATATCAAAATAAGAGAAGAATTCAATTATCAAAATTTTTTAAGTGAAGCTCATTTATTTATTTCAATACCCATGTGTAAGGACGTTCACCCAAAATCGCAAGAACTCAAAAAAATTTCTATTTTATTTCGGGTATAGCCAAAATTATATTCCTTATGTAGACGGAAATTTTAATCTACCAACCCGCCATGGACAGCCACATTCATACATCATAATGGTTTTTATTGATATGCATTTGGAACCTTTCGGTTCATTCTGCGTTATTACATGTGTGTAAGTAAAAATTACAAAAAGAAAATTTAAGAAAGTACAAAAAAAGAGTAAAAAAACATAAAGTAATAATAATAATAACCGAGGAGTTATATTCACATATTTTGATAGTCTTTACGGGGATTAGGCATAAATCATTATGACTGTTAAATTTTGATGCCGCCAATTAGTTGACATCACCCTTACACTTCTAATTATTCAAGTAATCATCAATTTAAACATTCATATTTTAACTACTTTATTAATCAATAATTTAGGTACGAAGATGGCCGATTATTTGGTTAGTCGATAATCCCTTTTAAGAAATTAGAAATATTCACTTAATGGAAAATTTACAGTTCTTATATTATCAAATATTTAATTCATCATCAATCGAAAATTTGAACTATTGATATTATATTATTTTAAAATTTTGACGAGTATATTTGAACATTTATCAACGTAAGCCGCAAATCCTTTTAATATTGAAGAAATTTAATATTGATGGCCATCTCTGCAACCTGCGGTGATTATTCAGAAATAAAATAGACAATATGCACCGCATGCAGGCGTTAGCATGTGGTTATATGGGACTCAAAGTTGTAAATATCTGCATTATTAGCATCTGTACCTCAAGATTTTTACTTTGCCCTCTATTTTTACGTTTATTTTTGAGTGAATTACCAATTTGAAAATAAATTCAATCAGAGCTCGTGTGTAAGAAATAATTGGCTGATTTGACTTTGTCAAAGTTACTGCCACTAATTTTTCATAATTATCAGAAATATCAGTTTCAGGTGTTTCCCGTCAGATTAAAAAAAAAAAATTTTTCAAGCATAAACAACTTTAACTTTAACGTGGAAAATGACTAATCATCCTTAATTAGCTCGAGGTGGAGGGAATATTCACTGCACGGAGATACAGTCAAGACCGAAAATGGGTTTCAATGCGCCTAATAAACACTTTCATCATCCTCATACTTACCTAACGCACGGCTCGACCTCGAAGTCAATAAATCAATAATTCTCTTATGAATTTCGAGAGATCAAAAGGCTGTAAAGCGAAAGAACATGAGGAATATCTCGAGCTGTTCAGTTATTGCCCTTCGCCTATGAAAACGCTCCTATAACCTTGTTAAATAAAATTTCTGTACGTATTTCTTGAAAACTGGCCAATAGTCAAAATCGACATAAACCGTTTTACCGCTTCACCACGAATAGCGAACTGCATGAATTTTGTTTCAATTTTCTAATCTCAAGTTTGGGACCTGAATAATTCATTTTTCATTCACAAGCGTTCGAACTATTGCCCATTAATTAATAATTAGTTAAAAGTTGAAGATTTCAAACGCTTTGAAATCGCTAATGACGTCACACAGACGGTTAAGCGCTGGACCAATCGCAGAATGGCTCGAGCGAACCTGGCCAATCGTGAGAGGCGCCTCGGCCAATGGAGGATGACTCCCCCCTCTCTTTTTCTACCAAGACGCGTTACCTGTCCGACTTCGTGACGTCATTACCGAGAAATTTACATCCTATCATAAGACATCTAGGCAATAGTTCTCTATAATTTTCGTCGTTTAGCTATCCATATGTTACGAGAAAGGTGTGAATAGCGGAATTAGAAGGAACTGAGCTTCACGCAAGTTCCCTATTGTACAAAAAAATTTCATTTTATTTACAAGATCCAATTGGACTCTCTGAATTTGTTTGCCATGAGAACAATTTCTACGAGTTTTAAGAAATAAAAATACGAAAATTGAATGGAACGCTTGACGCATTATCACCGCTCAATCTTTGAACTTTCAACACCCCCGGGCAGTTTTGGAAAAATTTGGATTCCTTTGTCTTCATTAAAAAATCAACCATTTGACTATGGAAACCATAGGAACCCGTCTCTTCAATAATAGCGACAGTAATAAATTGATGCATGAATGATTTAAGCACTCCTCATCATAAATAATGTGACATTCCCTCGTTGTCATCACTCCCTCCCATCAATTAAAACTTCAGGAACAAAAATAGGAAAATTGAATAGAGTGCTTGACAGATACACTACCTCCCCTTCGATCTTTGAACTGTTAACACTTTCGGGCATTCTCAACCCCGCTAAATTTGTCAATCGTTGAAAACTAATGTAATTCATCAGAACCCGTCTCGCAGAAGGCGTCACAACGGTACAGTATCAATTTTTTTTCATTCAAATTTTTTGAGTGCAATGAAAAACAAATGGGAAATGGCTCTTATATTGCATATAGTATAGCTATTTTTACTAATAAATTAGCAATATGCTTCCGAATGGTTACTCTGCACATAATTTCATTCTGTTATGTAGGGGAAGGTGGGGTAAAATGGACACTGTAGACTTTTTTTAAATGGTTCATAATTCAGAAACAAATTTATCAATTGAGTTCAGGTTAGGCTCGTCACAAAGGGAAAGAATTGTTCTTTGTATTGAAAGGAAAATTATTAAATTTCATCACCATTTCAGCCCCTCATTAACATTTAAAAAAAAGTCAAAAGTGTCCATTTTACCCCAACCTCCCCTATAATTCATCGTTTATTTCATCTTATTCAATTGAATAAAATTTCTGTTTAACTAATTTTGTCAAATTTTCAACTTAGGTGAATGTTATCATCATCATTATTCTTACTAGCGAATGGGCGCTTCGGGCCCAAGTTGATTCGATTCAGTCTTATTATTCGCCCTACCGACGAAAAACCCCATCAAATACCTTTTCGAATAATAAAAAAAACCCATAAATTCGATTTCTATCCTTGTCTTTCGATGGAACAAATGGAATAAATGACGAAAATGAAGAATTGGGAACTGAAAATTTTATGCGATTATTATTATGCAATTATCCCTTTCTTCGATACAATCCATTGTCTTTTTTACAGTTCTATCTCACCCCTCAGCCCTATGATAAAATGGTAATAGAAAAATGTTATTCATACATAATCGAATGAATTTAGAACATTTGAAGAAATCATCAGAAAGCTCACTTTTCAGGAAAATTCAAGAAAAATTCTAAATTTTCAAAAATTATAAAAATCAAATCAACGCAGATAACTGTATTTATACAAATAACTGGTAATGTATAAACAATCAATTTTCCACCATACAAATCATTTGTTCGGAATCGTAACAAATTTATGCATATTCAGAATTTTACCAGAAATCAATTTCATGCCTAAAAAAATAAGGTTTCCAAAAGTTCAAACAATTTAAATTATTTATTAATAAACAACGAGTGTTAAAAAAAATCATAATTCTGTGCAAAACGTCATTTTAATTCCGCTGAATATTCATGATTTTTTTCAAATTATTCTCACGCAATTCAATTGACTGCGTCAACTGCAAAAAATACTGGGATATCCTTAAATTTGAACGATTACGGAGCTTTCATTCGGAAGCATAAATTACCACCCCTCGATCCCCGACTGCCAATCCCCGGGCAATCTCAACCCCGTTAAATTTTCAAATCGTTGAAAACTAATGAAATCCATCAGAGCCCGTCTCGCAGAAGGCGTCACAGCGATACAATATCAGATGCGTCTTTTTTTTTTCATTTCAATTCTCCGAATGTCGGCATTCTGGTGCCACCACCACTCCGCACACACACACACCATACACACACACCACACACACACACACACCGAGCCCCAGGGATCATCTTTCCTCAGTAGTACATATATACATGCGTATACTGTACGAACTACCAGTGCAGCCCGGCAATAGCCTTCAGCCATCAGTTCAAGTCCCGTCGATTCACGCGACAGTCGCCCCCGCCGCCCATAACGACTCTATCGGAATAAACAAGGAATTTTCAACTCCTGATTAGCGAGGAAAAAGGTGAGCTGACTTGCTTAACCACGGAAAAACTAACCGTGCAATTAATTCGCCCATTACCGTGAATTTTACCCGAGCAATTGTGTGAAATTTTCGTGATGCGTTCCGTTGAAATTCGAGAGAAAGAAAAAGGGAGATCGGGATAGCCGGAAACTGGTGGTTGTAGTAGACTCTCACTAGACAGACGTATTTCGCAGTAACTTGTGACGTTTGTAATTTCTCACTTCCTCATTCGCATTGCACAACACCTCGTATCCATCGTCAATCGATGAAATTTCGATGTGCATAATTACTCGAGGAAACTTGGGTATGAAACCGACAGCAGTACCAAACGCTTTTCCGTATATTTAGAATGGAACGCGAATCGCAGCCCTGAAATTCCATTCGTATCATTACTAGCGAGGAGTTTTTTCGAATACAGACGGAATAATAAAGCAGGAAATACCGAGATAAGCGGGTTGAGCACCATTGGCGGGCAGTCACACACGGCCTTGAATAAAATAATATATCCATGCCCGTGAATTTCAAGTTTGGGAGAGTAGTCAACACAAGTTTGTACGTTTTTTTCATTCTTGCACTCCGCACTGACACCCTTTGTGCCTCTAAAACACGTGGCATTGGAAATGTCAGGGCGTTACCCGAAAATTTCATCTCTCTTTCGCGTGTGCATCGGTGAATCAGGATCCCTGGGAGAGGGAGAGAAGCCGTGTGTGCACGCTACTTTCTCGGGGACTATGGGGTGGATTGCCCATTGATTTTTCAATTCGCGGGGCTCCGAACCGCAGCGGAAAAATAAAGTGCATTCAACTGGTCGTAGACGTTGAAGAAACCGATAGAGATAAATTCACGCGTCAGAAATTAAATCGCAGGCGTAATCGCGACACTAATCATCGTTAATGGACGTCAAAAAATTTGGGTTCTTTTATCGCGAGGTGATACCGGGTGATGGGATTTTGATTAATTCATTTCATTGTTTATTCTTTTGGTTTGAGGGCCAAACACCGCTGTGATAAACTGCGCGTCAGCGCTTCTGGCAGGTACGCCAACTCGAGCCACATCCAATCGCAGTGTGGCGCTTGGGGTTTTCCCTCGGTCTCCGCGCGAACTCTTCTATTATCCTTTTTAAAAGTGTAATCCGCAAACTTTGGAGGCTTATATGTTTGCGAAAGAAAAAATCGCACGACTGTGGAGCTAATTTCATTCGTTAGATTGAATATTACTCTACTCCAATACGGAGTTTCAGTTTTTTTTATCTGAAAAGAAGATGAAAAAAAACATGTTTTTCATGTGCTGTCCCAGGACGTCAATTTTTTTCTAAAAATTATCGCAATTTTTGGTATGATAGCCCACTTGTTGAAGAATGGAATGGTTAAACGAAAATTTCATTTTCATCACGCTCTGCGAAAAAGTAACTTTNAACTTGGGTATGAAACCGACAGCAGTACCAAACGCTTTTCCGTATATTTAGAATGGAACGCGAATCGCAGCCCTGAAATTCCATTCGTATCATTACTAGCGAGGAGTTTTTTCGAATACAGACGGAATAATAAAGCAGGAAATACCGAGATAAGCGGGTTGAGCACCATTGGCGGGCAGTCACACACGGCCTTGAATAAAATAATATATCCATGCCCGTGAATTTCAAGTTTGGGAGAGTAGTCAACACAAGTTTGTACGTTTTTTTCATTCTTGCACTCCGCACTGACACCCTTTGTGCCTCTAAAACACGTGGCATTGGAAATGTCAGGGCGTTACCCGAAAATTTCATCTCTCTTTCGCGTGTGCATCGGTGAATCAGGATCCCTGGGAGAGGGAGAGAAGCCGTGTGTGCACGCTACTTTCTCGGGGACTATGGGGTGGATTGCCCATTGATTTTTCAATTCGCGGGGCTCCGAACCGCAGCGGAAAAATAAAGTGCGTTCAACTGGTCGTAGACGTTGAAGAAACCGATAGAGATAAATTCACGCGTCAGAAATTAAATCGCAGGCGTAATCGCGACACTAATCATCGTTAATGGACGTCAAAAAATTTGGGTTCTTTTATCGCGAGGTGATACCGGGTGATGGGATTTTGATTAATTCATTTCATTGTTTATTCTTTTGGTTTGAGGGCCAAACACCGCTGTGATAAACTGCGCGTCAGCGCTTCTGGCAGGTACGCCAACTCGAGCCACATCCAATCGCAGTGTGGCGCTTGGGGTTTTCCCTCGGTCTCCGCGCGAACTCTTCTATTATCCTTTTTAAAAGTGTAATCCGCAAACTTTGGAGGCTTATATGTTTGCGAAAGAAAAAATCGCACGACTGTGGAGCTAATTTCATTCGTTAGATTGAATATTACTCTACTCCAATACGGAGTTTCAGTTTTTTTTATCTGAAAAGAAGATGAAAAAAAACATGTTTTTCATGTGCTGTCCCAGGACGTCAATTTTTTTCTAAAAATTATCGCAATTTTTGGTATGATAGCCCACTTGTTGAAGAATGGAATGGTTAAACGAAAATTTCATTTTCATCACGCTCTGCGAAAAAGTAACTTTGCACGCGAAGCGTGCCTAAAACGTCCCTTTTCCACACATTGTGATGAAAAATATTTTCCGCACTCGTATCAACATATACCATTTTTGCACAATTATTGGGTTTAAAAAAAATATCTCATGCGATTCTTTCCAATGAAGAATAACCAATTGGAATGCATGAAATATCTTCGAATAGACAATTGAAAACTGAATACATTTCGGTTATTATTTACCACGAGAAATACTTCAAATATTTCACAAAAATTCGTGAAATTTCAGTTTTTTTTACTGACCGTACGTAATTATGATTTTAGCTGAGGGTAACCGTGCGGACCCTCGGAATTGCTGTCACATGTGTACTCTTCTACCTCTTTGAGAGGTCGTCCTGCTGTTGAGTAAGGTTGGGGGTCGATGGGGCGAGCATCAGTCTATGGAAATGTGTTTTTCGGAAATGAAAGATTTTCTGCGAGTCAAACAGAAAAATCAATGTTATGAATATTATAAATAGTTATATAAATAGTTATATAAATTAATACTAGTTATAAATTTTTAGAAAAATCAATAAGTTATGAATATTTTGCTCAAAGACCCAGGGTTGCCTGCGTCGGCCCTGGAGAAAGTAGCAAAGTGCATATATGGAAAGGATTTTCCGGATCCGAGAGGAACACTGTCCTAAAATGGTAAAGAGATGCGGTTTGAGTAATATCTTTTCTGGAAAATTTCAACAGTTATTGTAAATTTTTCAGAGGGTTTATTGTTATGAATATTAACATAAAAGTATCAAATATGCCATTGTCCGCAAATCGGTTATTTCTTATTGGAGATAGCCATGAGATATTTTTATTTAAAGAACCAATAATTGTTCAAAAAATGAAATTTTTGTCTAACCATTCCATTCTTGAACGAGTGGGCTGTCATGTAAAAAATTGGGATAATTTTTGAAAAAAAAATTGAGGTCCTGGAACTCTTTGGTAAAAGTTCATTTTCATAATAACACAAAAACTATTGAATGAAAAAAAAATGAAACGCCGTATTGGACTAGAGTAATATTTAATTTAATGAATGAAATTGGCCCCACAGTTGCGCGATTTTTTTTTTCGTGAAGATACAAGCCTGCAAAGTTTGCGGACTACACGTTTGAAAAGGATAGTAATAACTCTCGTGAACATCACTATCTTTTGCCAAATAGTAAATGGTGGATTATGCAACGGGTGCATGATTGTGGTGGCGATGTATGAAGTTGGCGCCCGAGCCCAAGGCGACATTGCTGCTGTCCACGGGTGTTGAAGCTCAATGCGGAAATAATAATATGGAAATTTTAGAAGTGAATTTTCAGAGGAAAACTACGGAATCGATAGACTGACGCCAAGTTGTACTCAGCCAGATTAGATTGCGAGGGAATAATTGATCGGTTGAGGATATCTAAGCGCCTTTCACGGTTCTGATAGTTTTCAATCATCATATTTGTCAGAAAATGTGCGAGAGTCAACCTCATTCTCATTTTATAAAAATAATTTTTTTGTGTTTTCTTCTTGTAGATAAAAAAACAATTGAAAAAACAGTTGATAAGTTTGTCCTTCAAAGTTGAAGTAATTCGATCTTATAGATAATTTCACGCTGATTTCAAATCCGTTTGAGAGTTTTTTTTGGAGACTCGCAGTTTCGTACAATTTAAAGAATTCGTTTTAATAAAATGCGAGTGTAATTTTCCGCAGAAAAAAATGTTCGTCATTATGAAAATTATACAGACTTTGATCCTCAAAAAGCACTTTCCAATGTATTTTCTGATTTTTAAATGTTTCTGGTTTCAAAATAGGATTGAATTTGACTTTCGAAGTTGAAATGATGAAAGAATCGGAAATACTTCGGTAATCTAGTTGCAGATAAGAAACTTTGATGTTGAACCACGAATATTGAAAAGGATTTCAACGAAAAAAATTGCCAAAGCCCTCAATAGCCCAAAGTTACACTAGAAAACTCGACATTAATTTTTCCATTTTTCGCAAAAGTTGTCGCCGAAATTTTTAATTCCCTTGCACGCGCAGGAATGCGCAAGGATATCGTTAATTGCGCACAATAAGTAACGCCAATTAAAAACATATGGGCGATTTTATCAGAACAAAACAGAGAGATCTTTGTGTGACAGCGAATCGGGAGCAATTGATGTTGTAGAAGATCTCAAGGACAATCCATTGGCCTTTGCATTTTAAACCTTCGGTCGGTCACCAAATCGAGTGAAAGTCACTCGATTTTCGGGCACTTTGGCGAATTCTGATTTAATTCATAATTTTTGGTACTTCAAATGGATATGACTAGTAATAATAACATTTATCAGAATTTTTTATTAATCCGGACTATTTACTACTTTATTTTTGCTTTGTTTTTCTCCAATGAAATGGTTTCTACATTTGTAGTCGAACATCAGAGCTTTCATTTCAGCCCCATTTGGCCATATGCAATGGTGCAATTTTTTAGTAAAAAAATATCAAAATTAACTCGTAATTACATAAATCGAAAATATCGAAACTAATTCGTAATTATTATTGCACCCATATTCGAGGGAGTCTACTCGAGATCGTAACTAATATGATCGTCTCTTAGAGCAATATATTTGACATAATTGAAACCTATGATGATTGCCTGGGAATGACTCCACTAGAGAAATACGACGTTGAAAAAATAAATACGTCTCTCAAGTAAATGGATATTTGGCAAATAATTTTTTTTTCTCTCTGTAGTCGATATTAACGACTACAGAGAGAAAAAAAATTGTCAACCTGTGGAATAAATTTACTCCACACCGAAATTTATTCTGACGATTTATTTGAATAACAGGGCTTGGTGCAACCGGCCCTAGGTATATTATTATACATTAATTGTTCGAATTTCAAAATCTTTGGCAACAACGACATATTGTCGCCATCTCTCTCCATCATATTACAGTCATATATTCAGCATACACGTCACATAGGGGAGGGTAGGGTAAAATGGACACTTGACTTTTTTAAAAATATTCATAACTCAGAAACAGATTTATCAATTGAGCTCAGTCTCAGCTCATCACAAAGAGGAATCATTGTTTTTCAATTGAAAAATAAAATTATTCCATTTCATAAACAATTCAACACGTCATGAATATTTCAAAAAAAGTCCAGTGTCCGTTTTACCCCACCCTCCCCTATGGCATTCTTAACAGCTCATATGCAATGTTATTCGCAAACCATTACGTATTTTCCGCCTCCGTGCAGATAACTCCTGAATAATTTCTATTTCATTCGCCACTTTGTAACGAAAAAAATTTAACTCAATTATTTTCCTTGGTACCGTGCAACATTTACTCTCGGCGAATGACGCACTTATTAATATCAGCTAGGTATAACTCGTCTCCTCAACGCGTACGTGTGTTCATTGAGTTGATCCGTCGTTATCGGCGAGAATTCGTACTCAACGATAACATGACACACAATGCCGCGGCTTCAACTCATGCTGTACTGTAGATTGGGCATTATCGTTTGTGCACAGAGCTAGAGTTTTTTGGAGGAGAGCATCACTAGACGGATTTTTGCATGGTTTTTTGCTTTTTCCTTTTTCAGGAATTGCCAAGTAACTAATTACCATGGAAAACAAGCAAGCGCCACCACCAGGATTCGTTCCACCTCCAGCATACACACCTGGACCACCGCACGTCGCTCCGTCTGCACCAGGTGCTACTGGGCAACTAACATTAATCGCAGTCGCTCATTATCGGTTCTCATAAGTTTCATAACAATAGCCATTTTTACATTCTTACGCGGGGGAATAAATCCGTGAATAATACATGACTTTTCTTTCAATTAATCTCAATCAAGTTTCGGCTTTAATGAGTCATTTTTCGTTTATGAATATTATAAATATTGCTGATTAATAATTGATTTTCGAAAGTTAGAGATTCCCCTTTGAAATCGTTAATGACTTATTCTAAAATCTGGGGAATTGATCGAACCCTTTATGAAACGCGTCTGGAAGGAAAAATTTAATAGAAAACCTAGCGCATTTGCTTAAGCGCTTTAGTAGAAATTCTATTGGCGTTTTGCCAATTTCTCGTGAAAAATGTCGAGATGAAAAAATCGATGTTGATTTTTCTGTAGTTTTTTTTGTCGGGATTTGTACAAAAGAACTCTTGGGTGTGATGTGTAATTTTCTCTTCAATTTAGTAATGAAAAAAAAAGCGAGAAAACTTAGATCAGCTATCCCCACGAAATTCTATGGGAAATTCCCTTTACCGACTTGTTCTATTGAATATCGGTAAAAAAATCGCTGAAAGACTGCGAAATTTTCCAATAAAATTCAGCAAAAAACTACTAGAATTCCTAACAGAAATTCCTCAATAAAGCGCTAGATTTTTCTAATGAATATTCATCACAAAGTAAATTTCAAATGTTGAATTAATCGCCGATTTGTAAGTATTCCATACTCATGAAGTTTTTTATGAGATAAAATCAAGTTTCCCCATTTGCTTGGATTTTATTTAAATATTTGTAAAAAAAATTGAGTACCCATTTTGCCCCACTTTCTCTCACGATTTTTACATTCTTCTGGCGAGTGTTTCTGCTCCGTCATTCAGGCGTTAAATTTGCTAGGCCAAAAATGCTTCTGAGATTAATAAATCTTTCAATGACAATCTCTTTTTCCGAGTTCCTTATTTTTCTCGTTGTTGCAACAGTGATCATGGTTCAGCACGTCGCCCTAGGACCAGAGTCCCAGAGGATGTCTTGTCCTCATTGTCATGCTGACATTTCCACGAGAGTCGAGACCGAGTCGAATACTAAAACCCATCTATTCGCACTTCTCCTCTGTTTGATTGGGTGAGTACAAAAAAAATATATTGTCAGTGAATCCACAGGTGTATGACCAGAATACTTCTCCCTAACCGAATGACTCAATCCCATGGAAAGTCAGTCCTCTGACGTCAAGAATGCGACCTCCACTAAATGCTTCTTATCGTGAGTCATTGGCGTGTGAAAAAGAAAACGCTATCGCGTCCGTTTTTTTTGTGTTAATCACCCAGCGTCAGAGAGATAACTGGAAGTAGACGTGAAATCATGCCATCAATGATCCAATTTCAATTTCTCATTTCGTTTTTTAGAAATATTTTCGGTGCAATTTAACCGCGGTTCATCCGTGGTTTACCAATTAAAAACAAGTGGGAAATTCCTTTCGTCACAGCCTAGTCAATATTTTTTTGCTAACAAATTAGCAATTTTGCATAAAACTCAGAATCTTATTCTTTCGCGTCTAATCTAGATTTATATCGAGTCCTAATTCAAAAGAAAAAAAAACTATCAGATACGTGAACATAATTTCTTGATTATTCCTCTCTTATTCCTTTATCTCTTTGTTTCTCATTTGCACTTTTTTCTTTCTGTAATTTTCACTTACACACATGCAATTTCGCAGAATGAACCGTAAGGTTCGAATGCATATCAATAAAAATAATTTGCAGTTTTCTTCCGAATGAAATTTCTATGGATTTTGAATTGAATTCAATGATTTATTGAATCTAATTTCTTGACATTGCCCCAACGTTAATTTTTGGTTTCAAAATGAATTTTTTCAACAATAGATGATGCAATCAATCTCATCATTGAAACCGGTCCAGATAGTATCGAGAAGACTATTCTAAATGACAATTGGATTCACCAAAAATAACATATCTAAACTCCTGAGGCTAAAGTTAGTTATTCTGACACAAAAAATTGGAAATTTCGGTTTTGATGAGTACAATGCTTCCATTCGGAAGCAAAAACGATAGTAACCAATTGGAGATTTTAACCCGGAGTTAACTTTAACCAAGGCCTGAATAACTAACTGTGGTCAGCTAAACCAAAAACTGGCTCTGAAAAAAAAATTCTTTCTGTTCTCCCGATGTGGTCGAGGGGAAAGCCATTATCGTAAAGTTTTTATGTTTAAGTGTCGTCTGGATAACGTCACTCTTGTGAAATATACCTCGCAGGTATAGTAGACAGGTTAAATAGCTTCCGGCGAGACTGGAATTTTTGCATAAATTGTTTGACAGAGTGCGCTTTATTGGTATTAATTGCATTAAGTAATGAAGATGATTCGTATTCATTGTATTAATTGAAATTTATTGACATTGTGACGGTATGAGCGAATGGCGTAACTCATCTGGAGGTGTTTTTTTCATGAATATCTCTGGCTGTGAGCAAAATGGCTCAATTTTCATTAATTTTTTTTTATTGTGAAAAGGGAGCTTCGAGGAAGGTCTGCAGAAATGTTGCTATCTCCTTTGAGTGGTAACAGACCGCATTACATGTGTCGAATTCTAGAGTCGCCGTCTCGTTAATAATTATTCATTTTTCAAAGCCAAATAACTTTAGTTAATTCATTACTAGATCGTGCAGTGGCTGACGTTTTTTGGTCATAAAAAATTAACAATTATGGGAGAAACATAATTCAAAATCCCATACAGACACAAGAGGTCTACACGGAGAGAAATGTTCCGTAAAAATTACGGAACTCGCAGTTCGTCACCGATTACGGAATCGACTCAAAAAATTTAAGTGACGGTATCGTACGTTTTCACAGGAGATTCAGGTAAAAATTACGGAACGCTTCGGAAAAATTGCGTGATTCTAGGTAAATATTACGTGACAGTTCCGTAAAATTTCCTACAACCACATTTCGCTCCGGAATTACGGAAAAGATGTGTAATTTTTATTGAATATTTCTCTCCGTGTATTATCTCTTAACGTAGTTCAACAAATTCGATGGTCCATGTTACAGATGAAGATATTTTCAGTATTTGAATTTAGATAACATCCAAATTTTTTTGAAGACTTTTTTGGATATTGAAAAGGGAGCTTTAAAAAAAATGCAGAAATATTGTCATCTCCTTTGAGTGGTAACAGATCGCATTACATGCGTTGAATTCTAGAGTCGTCCTCCTGTCCATAATGATTAATTAAAGACCAAACGACTTCAGTTAATTAATTGCTGGATCGTGCAGTAATGGATTATAGGGATGGATTCAGAAACAAACTATCATGAACTGAAAAGTTTACGTCCCCACGATTTTTTTCCTAACTCATTTAAGACAATGTGTTGAATGACATTAATCAATGAGAATTAGTGTATTCATTGTATCAATTAAAATCGATTGGAGTCACTTCGAGAAGATGAACGAATGGCATGAGTCAACTAAACTGGAAGCGTCTGAAAGACATTTTCAGCGAAGACATTGTCAGAGCAAAAAGAAAGCTCAGGACTCCGAAAATACACTTGAAACTGGTCCGCAACAGCTCTTGACTCATTCCATTAATTCCAAGTTTTATCTCTACCTAATTAATCGATGTTTTTTCTCCCTACAGATGTTGGCCATGTGCTCCATGCCCCTACTGCATGGACTCGTGCCTAGCTAAGAAGCACTACTGCCCAGCTTGCAATGCCTACATCGGCCAGCACGACAATTAATCAAAACACTCCAAAAAAATGAATTAACAAAATGCCAGACGAACGGAACAGAATTTTCGAAAGTATATTTTTTACACACCTGCACGGAAAGTTCGTACTTCGCTCCCTCATAAGTCTTATCAGGAATCAAAATACAAACTTTTCTTTGCAGGCTTGTTGAAAAATAGCGTGGGCACCTGGGGCGGGAAAAACCAGATTTTTCGTCCTTGGTGGCCAATATACTATTAAGGTATTTATGGCGTGGGCAAGGGAGGTCGAAACAAGTCAAGAAATTGATGATTTTTTTATACATCCTTTGATTTTATCAAAACCCCTGTGCAAAATCCCAGGCAGCCTCTCGTTTTCGGCGAGAGTACAATAGATTCCCCTCCACTTCACCTCCTACATGCCCACACGCCATAAGTACCTTAAATTTAGTTTATGTGCGAATTATTTCACCTTCGTACTTGATACTCGGCACTGAACAGCGTTCCTTCAAAATAATATACTTTTTATAATTTGCTTTACATTTTTTCCGCAATCATAAAAAATAGTGCTAAAAAAGCAAACACAACTCTTAAACTCCGACAGGGATTATTATCCTTGATTTATAGATGTGATTTTTTAATTGAAATTTTCAAGTGTTCCTTAACTGATGAAACAGAACTACAAAAAAAAAACATATTTGTGATTAAAAAGAGTGCACTTCAGTGATTAAAGTTAAAGAAACAAAAATAATCGCAACAACTGAAAATAACGATTACTCCTGTTGATGGAGATATGAAGAACTATTGATCGCATTTTTTGAAAATTTACTTTTTATGGAGGATTACATTCGAGAGTATTCTATTCCTACTTCCACGATAAATCGGTGTATTGAAAAATGACGTGTTATTTTGGTAGTTCAGAGATAAATGTGTAACGTTGATAACTCTACAGCAGGATGGAGAATAATAAATAATCATGAAAAGAGCGAATATTATTCAGGGCTATCCGTGCATTACGCTTGTGTCTCGTATAACTGATTATTACTGCTATTTCTAATGTCAAGTTCATCTTTTCCTCTTGATGGAATCCTCAAGATTACCTTATTGAGAATCTTGATGGTACTTTACGTTTGTAAAACTTTTGCTGAAAAGAAATAAAAAATTATTTTCTAGATATTTTTGCATTGAACTTTCTTCTGTATTATTGTATTATCCAGTTGGGAAGTAATTGGATGCCAGCAGAGGAAGATTCTGATGGCATGAGTAAATGGGAGCCTGAAGATAGGGCAATTATCGCAGTGACGAACTTCCGGTTGCAGAGATGATTTTGATAGCATGGATGATGCAAAGAGAACAATCTTTGCAGAATGGTGATTCAGTTTTAGAGTTTTCCTCTTGATAGTCTCTTGGAACTACATCTCTTGGAAATGTTTATAAAGTAATAGTTACATTGAAATTTCGTGGAATTTCATCATTGAAAATTCACTATTCCATGACAAAATCAATGGAAATTTCAATTGTAGTTGTTTAGGTTGAATTATTCCACGGAAATTCATCGAAATCAGGAAAATTCAGGTAAATATATTCTTCAGTTTTCGATAAATTGAAACTTTAGCGCACTTTTGACTGAAAGTTCATGTTAGTGAGATTCATCACACTCTATTCATCACATTATTTATTTAACTCATAGTTTATTCAACACATAAGTATCAAGCAGTGACACCTATTTCGGATTCTACGTAAATTAGAAAACACATGAGTCATTGACTCATGAATATCAAAACACATTCGAATCCCTGCGGAAACCATTTATCGATTTTTATATTCGACGACAGCTGGAATGGCCATCAATATTGAAGGAATTTGCAACTTGCATTGATAAAGGTTTAAATATTCTCATCAAAATATAAAAATAGTATGATATTCATAATTTTATTTTAAATATTTGATAATTTGGGACTGTGAATTTTCCATTGAGTAAATAATTCTAATTTCTTAAAAGGGATTACCAATCGACCAAATAATGGGCAATCTTCCTACCTGAATTTTTGATTAATAAAATAGTTCGAAGTTTGAATATTTAAATTGATGATTACTAAAATAATTGAAAATTTAAGAGTGATTGTAACTAAATGACAGCTTCAAAATTTAACGATAATTATGATTTACGAATATGGGTATCCCTGATTTACGACAGGTAGAAATGGTAGATCATTGTATCTTTTATAATCTGGATTATTTGAGGGGTGTTGCTCATAATATTAAACTGTAATTGATTTAGGAAGTGGTGCTCGATTGTTTTTTGAAGAAGTTTTTCTTTTTTATCAGAATTTTGACGAAATTTATATGTGAAAAAAATTTTCAATACAGGAGCATTTGCTATACTTTAAATGGATGTATTGCTGAATTCATGATGTATCGAATTTGCTGCGTGTTGAATTTGTTATGTTAAGGGGGGACGTCGGTGAGTTTTGAAAGTCTTCGGTAGAGCTAGAGACCCATTGAGCGTTCTTTGATATATGACGGGATATGTTAAAAAGTGGGAAACATGATGGTCCAAATCGATTTTGCCCAAAAACAAATAGAAAGATCAATAGAAATTCGATAAAATTCTAGAGAAATCACTAGATCTTTCTGTTAAATTTTTTCGTGTCTATCGAAGTGCCCGCGCAATTCCTTTTGGTGCATTTCAATGTGTACCATTTGAAAATGTGCGAAAGAAATTGTTTTAATTTAGAAAGTTTACCCACGAACCATTGGGAAACCTTCTGTACAAGTCATTTTATTATAAAACATTGCGTATCTTGGACATAAAGTGTCAATCACCCTGTTTGGTCATTCTTCCAAGAAACAACCTTGTGGTGGTGTTATAGTGAAATTACCACTGTCGGTAATCTGGATCGCAAATCATTTCGTGGTTATGTCCGTTCTGAGTAATTCCTCCTCCAGGGTTTTTATTTAATCGTGGCAATTAACACAGAGTATTGATTGACTGAAGATTCATCGGTTTTCTCAATTTTCATCGAAGGCCGCGAACTGTTTTCTCAGTTCAGGTGATTGTCCGTTCGCGTACTTCGCGTTTTCCCCGTTCCGTGCATTCTGTGTTTATGAGATCGGATGCCAGATCCTTCGGAGTCATCTGCTTATCTGTGTTCCGATGTTTGGGATCTGGTCTACCCCCAAGTGCGAAAAATCAGTTTTCACCCACAAACCATTCAGTTATCTCAGGACCTGTTTTCGGTGCGAACATGAAGAGTCCATTCTTCGTGGGTTCAATTTAATACAGTCAGCCCGTGGCAGGGGTTAAATTTAAGTAGTGAACCTCCCACCGCCGAGCCACTGAGCCCAACCAATCAGAGATCTTAACCCGGTTAACGTAACTTTAACCGAGCTCCAACTGTGGTTAGCTAAACCATAAACTGTCCCTCACTCTCCATCAGGGAAAACACCAACTCCAAACTGATTCACTAATCTGGAATGCGACTTTCTCTAAAACGAGCAAATCACGAGATCTGTGGCATTGAAATTTGCTCATCATCGAATTGGTTCAAGAAGAAACTCGAGTTCTATCTGCCAGTGTCGAGCAGGTGAGTGGCCCAATAATAATCATGAAGACCATGTAACATTGGTGTTATTGTTATTGCTGCTATTACACGGAATGATAATTAAATAATAAAGTGGAGCCACGAGGATGAGAGATCGATTGCCTCACTGCTTCACTTGCACTGACCAATCGACTATTCTATTTTGGTCTTAATGATTTTCAGCTGCTAAATTAATCCCCTCAATTGCACAACAATCGCCAATATTTACAAATTGTTATTCCCAGCTGGTCGGACATGGCAAACCCAGGGGATCGTCTCAATTACCTCCAGGACAGCAGCAGTGACACTGAGACGGACTGCAAGGAGACTGATGGACGTGGACGACACAGGGTTTGCAAGAATAACTTGAGGTAATTGTTACAATTTTCATGGGATTAATCATTTTGTCGTTACTCACCTCACGACGATGACAGAGGCTGTGGACAAAGGTTGTATCAGTCATAATTACAGATCTTGACAAGTTTTTTTCCCAGTGATTAATCCACTGGTGAATTCCGGTAGAGTAGACGAGATTTTGCATGGTTAGTCTTTTGTTGCGAGTGACAGTTCTACGTGAGAATACGTGGCTCATTGATTGCTTACTGAAAGTATTCGAAATACGAGTTGTTTTGTTGGCGGAATAATGAGGTAATTATCATTATTGTAGAATTTCATGGGACAGGATTATTTAAAGTAATTCAATCAGTTGACAATGGATGAGAGAGAATTGAAAAAATCGAGAATTTTTTTCATTTTTACGTAAAAGTAAAGGTTGTCATTATAATTATTTAGGAGATGATAGATTTACTGAAAGTAATTAGTTGGAATGATAATTGAAGCAATTGATCGAATTCTTAAATCATCTGGTGAATTCTGTTAAGAGTAGACGAGATTTTTCACGGTTAGTCTTTTGTTGCTAGTGACAGTTCTACATGAGAATACGTGGCTCATTGATTGCGCACTAAAAGTATTTGAAATACGAGTTGTTTTGTTGGCGGAATGGGGCAATTATCGTTATTGCAGAATTTCATTGGACAAGATTATTTAAAGTAATTCAATCAGTGAATGAATCAGTGAATCAGTGATAATATATGAGAAAGAATTTAAAAAATGAATATTTTTTTTCATTTTTACGTAAAATTAAAGGTTGTCATTATAATTATTCAGGAGATGATAGATTTATTGACAGTAATTAGTTGGAATTGATCGAATTCATAAATTCATCAATTCAATTGTCATAACTATAGATCTTGAGGAGTTCTAGTGATTAATTGGTGAATTCAAATGAGAGTAGACGCGATTTTGCATAGTTAGTCTTTTGTTGCGAGGGTTAGTTCTACATGAGAGTACGTAGCTCATCGATTGCGTACTGAAATGATTAGAAATACGAGTTTCTTGCAGTTGGAATAATGAGTTACTCATTGATTTTAAAGGAATTCATCTGACACAATTGTTTAGACTAAATTAATTAGTCAATGAAATTGATGAAAATTGATGAAATTGAAAAGTGAAAAAGAGAATGGAAAAATTCGAGTTTGACATGTGAAGGTAAAACTATTTGAAGAAAGAGAATAAGAGCCCATTGCAACTAGAATGAAGAAGTCATTAATTGTTCAGGAGATGATGGATTTGGTTAATCCAATTAATTATAATAATAGTTCAATTGATTGAAGCAATTCTCAAACCCCTTTTCCAATTATATTCTGGTTTTCAATTGAATTTGTCATTTTCTTATTAAATATAATTAGAATCGAAATTTTAAAAAAGTTAAATGGAAATTGAAGAGTTTCATACGTTTGTTCTATTATTACGAATGTCTGTTGAATGTGAAACTAGCTCATCAAAGTCATCAATGAAATGAATTAGAAAATTATTAAATTCAAAAAATCGGTCAGCGCAGAAAAAAATTAAAAGCTTCAGATGTTGAGTCTTTTATTATGAATGTCATTTGGACGAGAAACCAGCTCATTAAATTTATCAAAGAGATGAGTTCTTCGCAGTTAGATTAACGAGGTAATTATAAGTATCGACCAGCTGATTAATCAGAATGATAGCTAAATCAATCGATGAATTCCTCAGATCACCTTTTACATTCTATTCTGGTTTCCGATTGAACTTAATTGCTCAATTTATTATTGAATTGAATATTAATATTAGAATCATTAGTTCTTGTAATCCGGAAAAATTTTGGATTTAAGAAACTGAAAGGTAAACAAATTGAAGACCTTAATATGTTTAGTCTTTTGTTCTGAATGTCATTTCAGAATGTCATTGAAACTAGCTCATTAAATTTATCCAACAGATGAGTTATTCGTAGTTAGATTAAAGAGGTAATTATGATGATCGAGACGCAGATTAATCAAAACAATATTTACCTCAACTGATGGAATTCGCACACATTTTTACATTCTATTCTGATTTCTGATTGAATCGGTTCACATTATACTGTTAGATATAATTAGGATCATTAGTCCCTATAATCGGGAAAATTGAAGAGTTTCATATGTTTAGTCTTCCGTTATGAATGTTATTTCGATGAGAAACTAGCTCATTAAATTAAAGTTATCCAAGAGCTGAGTTATTCGATGGGTTATTCGCAGTGAGATTAAGGAGTTAATTACAGTTATCGAGACCCAGATCATTTTATCGCACGCAATTGACTAGAATAATTAAATGAATTGATAAAATCCTCAAAAATCGATCTCACTATCGAAAATTGTCAGAATCATTAGTTGATAGTCACGAGACAATTCAACTTGAGACACTGAAAAGGTGTGACTGAAAGCTCGTCAGACCCTAGCTTATGCGGCAGTAATGAGTAAGGAACTGTGGTTGTTTTGCACGTAGTTGTGGTGGCACGTCGAAACCCAAGCCATGTCTGGTCCAGAAGGACGGAGGTAATCCACGAAGGTGTCATTCTTACGAATCAGCGTCACATAGATCAATAGTTCATCATCATGTCAATAGGTAGGTCCATAGCATTTATCATGGAACATAATAATACACTGAAGATCCAGAGGCATGTCTAAATCAGGTAAAACGTATTTGTCTACGTATTTTACATGAACATTTCTTCTTCGTTTTTCTATAAAACAAATGGACAAACTTTCTCTGTCACCAATGCATTCGGCCAAATTATATTATATTAATAAAGACATTAATATCGAAATTAATTTAAGTAATTCAATTAAATTAATTGTCATATCTGTAATATATTATTTTTTAGATTTTGTTTCTTCAATTTAAATAACAGTTGCATCACAATTGTCATAGTTATGGATTTAAATTGAATTAAAGATCAAATTTCATGAAATTTATCATTCATCTGGGAAATGCCCTGGAATTTCAATGACAGGTAGAAAAACTTTGTGAAAATTCAACATTTCATTCAATTGAATTTCTAGTAGATTAAGAATCCAGAAAGATAATTCCCAAAATCTATCGAAATTTCAGCTAAATTCATTATTGAAAATTAAAAAATTCTTTTTTGAAATTACCTAACTAAAATTGTTAATAACAAATTGCAATAATTTTAGTTTTTGAAATTGAATAGAAATTATTTCTCCTCTTCGGAAGGACTTTATCACCGATACAAATCATTTTCCTGTTGTTTAGAGTCCGCCCAGGAGCAATCGTAATGAATAAAACGTCACAGCAGAGTTCACTGCGTGACAGTGTGACATCAGGCGTAACCGCATCAGGCATGAACAATCAACTGAGTGACGATCGTATAACATTGATAGTCGATAATACGAGATTCATACTGGATCCAGCTCTCTTCACAGCCCATCCAAATACTATGTTAGGTAGAATGTTCAGTTCGGGAATTGAATTTGCACAGCCAAATGAGAGGGGAGAGTACGAAGTTGCTGAGGGAATATCAGCTATGGTATTTCGCGCTATTTTGGAGTACTACAAAGGAGGCATTATTCGCTGTCCACCGACCGTTACTGTTCAAGAGCTGAGGGAGGCGTGTGACTATCTGCTCGTTCCGTTCGACGCGAATACTGTCAAGTGTCAAAATTTGAGTGAGTTACATATTACAACAGCGTGTTTAAATCCCTTAAATTGAAGGAAATTAATGGATTTAACATCTGTTCATTTTTATTTAGTTTTTCGGCGATTTCATTGAAAAAGTACTTAATGGAAAATTATTCTGCGCATATTTTTTCAATGGAAATATTCAATAAGAAATATTTAATAGAAAAAATAGAATTAGATTTTATTATACAACTAATTATACTGAGATATGTTTTGTAGAGATGCCTCGGCTCAGTTTTTTCAAATTCTTTTGTTTGAGAGGAGAAAAGAAATAGAATGACCAGAGAAGAAAATCAATGTCGAGTAATTCCTACAGAAAATGTCTCAATAGGGAAAATTAAACAGAAAATTCAAATTCTACTGATATTTTTCATAAAATAGTTTGTGTTAAACATTCTCTATTTGAAGAAACGCGTAGAAAAATTGCGGAATTTTTAAACAGAATCAACCACAAAACTTATGGAATTTCGAAGGGAATTTCAATAGAAATTAAATAGAATTTTCCAGCGAATTCGCTAGATTTCTAGGCAATTTTTTGATGTCATGTTAACGTTTCTATATTTGTTAGGTTCATGAATGATTTGTTCACAGGAGGACTGCTCCATGAACTCTCGAATGAAGGGGCTCGATGTCAGTTTGAGGTTTTTCTTGAAGATTTGATTCTGCCTTTGATGGTCAATAGCGCGAGGCGGGGAGATAGAGAATGTCATATTGTTGTTCTACTCGAGGATGATGTTGTTGATTGGGATGAGGAGTATCCACCCCAGATGGGGGAGGAGTATTCTCAGAGTAAGTTACTAATTTTTATTTGCAGATCTTTCTTTTCTCAATTGAACAGGTTCAAACTCGGTCAAAGAGACATCGATTTAATAAATTCAGAACATTTTTTTGTAATCATCATGGGGCAACTGTTTTTTGAGCAAAATGGAAAATTCTAAAAATTAAGTTATTAATTAAATTTTAATTAATTTCGATGGACATGGCTCAACTATACCTACGCTTGAAAAACTGAATTGATTCCATCGATTCATTAGCGAAAAAAAATTCACCCATTCTACATATCCCGTGAATAACTAAACAAAAATAATTGTGGAGAAATATTGCCTAGGATACAATAAAAAAAAATATTGCCTAGTTATTTTACAATAATTGATTGAAAATCCGACGTTTTTAAAACCTATTATTTCGGTCATGACGTCACAAAGTGGTATAAGTAATGCTGGGTAACGCTCCGTTGGTTGAATGTGAAGAGAGAGGGGAGCTGCCTTCATTCATTGGATAAACATGATTGGTCCATTGGATTTTATCTTATGAATTTTTTTTAAATATTCCGGTCATATTGGATGGGCACTGGTGGGCCTGTTCACTTTTTTTATGTGGATACACATGAATGTCATTTTTCAATTGAAAAATTTTTCAAATTCAGTAGCGTTTACCATAGATTAATCACAGTTCCTTACTTTTTGATTTAGATTTGAAAATAATTTTCAATTCTCAACTATAATTGAACAATTAATTCTAAATATCTGAATTTGCTTTTTCAATTAATCAAATAATCATCATTCGTGCCAAGTTGATTACTGATTTATCTAACATTTGAAAAATTGAAATTGCTGATTGATAATTAGTAAAATAAAAATTATAATAAAATTTGAAAAATTGTACAACACAGTTACTTTTGTATGTAACAAAATAATTATAATTCTGTATTACGATTTTACTTCTCTCTGTAACGAGCAATATTTCTATTGTTTATAAATGAAAAATTACTCATTTAGAGCCGAAACTTGAGATTAAAAAACTAAAAAAAAAAAAAATCATGCAAATTGCCCATTGTTCACATGAACGAATTATCTTTCCAGCTGTAAACAGCATAGCAATGTACCGTTTCTTCAAATACATCGAGAATCGAGACGTTGCAAAACAAGTGATGAAGGAAAGAGGCCTGAAGAAAATCCGTCTAGGCATAGAGGGCTATCCAACGTACAAAGAAAAAGTGAAGAAACGCGCTGGTGGTAGAGCCGAAGTAATATACAACTACGTGCAACGTCCATTCATTCACATGTCCTGGGAGAAGGAGGAGGCAAAGAGCAGACACGTTGATTTTCAATGTGTCAAATCAAAATCCGTTACCAACTTGGCTGAAGCAACAGCCGACCCAGCATTGGACGCAGGTGGAAATCCGATAAATGCACTGCTCCATCAGACTGAACCAGTGCCAACACCTGAGCCAGCACAGGCAGGCTCGGATCCTGACGCCGAGGGGGCAATGGCCCTCATGCCTGACGCCGACTTGGGCCGACTTTTGCCTGAAGAACTTTTGTAAAACAATTACACGTACATGTTTACCAATTACCCCAGTTATTTAAGAACGCATTCTCCTCTGTACATAACCATCATAATTTTTTTAATTATTAATTCACATATCGGTGCTAATTCACCAGTTGATGAGTCGTGAGATATCTTGAAGTGTTTTGAATTTTTTTGCAATTTTAATAAATAAATGTTTCGAATTTGAAATCAAACGAATTTCATTCTTCCCATTAGTTAGATTCTCTTAACACGAATTTCACCCGTTTTGTTTACAACAAAGAATTATTATTGTCAGTTCTTATTAACAACTGGAGGGAAAGAGTGGAACGATGGAGGAAAAATCTAAAGAATAATTTATTGTTATCATAATGAGCTTGCAGAGCACTTGATCTTTGCCTCCGCAATTTTCCAATTTTCCAATCTACTTTGGCACTATTTTTCGAAGTGAGGAGGAGGGTGGGGAAGTGTGGGTGGACCACGACGCACAAGTTAAACCCCGTGTGTCCAGGGGGATGAAAACGCCTGCGCCGGTACGATCAATAAATACCCGAAGTCGAGGCCAAGAGGCCAGTAGCATACGGATTCGCGTTGAGTGAGCAGCGTTTACCTTAGCGAATCATTTTTAAGTGTTAAATTTTCCTTTAAACAGTATTTAATTGGGCGCTTGACGAGCGGCTCAATCATGCAACCACCACCGAGGAAAGTAAGGGATTATTTTATCAAAAGAGATATCTTCGTTAATTGAGCCCTCGTTTCATCGATTTTCGATCGCCTGCGAATGTCTGTTTCGTTCTCTCGTCGGTGGTTTATTTTATTTTACTCATCTCAATGTTATTTCGCGGGACAATCGATCTGATCAATGAATTGTTTAGACTAAACAGTTGATTGAAGTCTATTGATCTGTATTCTGATTGGAAATAAATGTCTGTCAGAGCGTAACGAGAGTGTTCACAATTCAGGAGAGTCTATACGTGGCCCACACTCACTACGACCTGGGAAAATCGATGAACACGAACGAGCTTACGGGCCTTTTTTTCACAGTGTCCTAAACGATCGAATGGATTTTATTAAAAATTTAATTTCCATCGATCCTGACGTACGAACATATTCAAGATTAATATTTGATAGTTAATGTTGAGAGGAGGACTTCCGGTGGTCGGATCAATCCATTAGCCCTCGCTAATTTATTTTCGACGGGTTTTTCGTTCACTCTGTTGAGTTAATTATTGTTCTGTGCCAGGGGAATTACGCGAAATTCTTGAAAAATGTACATACGGAGCAGGCGGCCAAATTGCAGGCGAAGAATCAACATGAGTGTGACCTATTAGAGGACATTCGGTGAGTCCCAGTTTAATTCATCGTCTAAATGGCATTCAAGAGATCTCATTAAATCGGTTACAGAAATTTCACATTAAAAAAATCGGCTATTGAGAAATCCTACTCAGAGGCACTGCTCAAAATATCCTCGGCGTATTTAAATAAGAAGATACCTAATATTCCGGACCTGAAGATCGATGGAGCTGAAGAGAAATGGTGATTTTTATGGGATTATTTTAATCCTCTTTTTGTTTGTATTACACTGGGAGAAAATACAGATTTCTAGGATCTAGTCCGGTCTTGTCACGAGCTTTTCCTTGATTGGATGCCAAAACGGCTTGAAAAATTGAGACCAACTGGGTCATTCTTGTGACCAGAATGTATAGTTTTCCGAATAATTTTTTTCGAATTTGTTGCGATGATCAAGATTGTAAAAATCTTGTCAATTAAATAGATTCTCACAGTTCTATGATCACTAATTAACACGAAGCAATTAATCATCCCGTTTCATTACAGAACAACTGAACACGGCTCATTTCATTAGATGGACAATTCATCACATGAATAATTCATCTTCACAATGAATGTGAAGAAAAGCAACACTTGGAATATTTAATCAATAGTCTAATTAACTTCCAGCTCCAACGGGAGGTAGTAAAGTTATTGTAATTACCCCGAAAATCAAATATGGAATTTCGACGATTCATGACGATTCATGACAGTAATTGTGAATTTCGTGTAATTCTTAATTACTTTCTAATTTGTCGAGTCTTTACAATGAGATGAGTTTAATGTCGTCAACCAAAATTGCAGAATTCATTTGCTATTAAATTATTCGAATGGTAATTTAAAGCCAGATGTTGTTGGTAAATATTCTCCGCAATGGAAATAGTATATTTCGACACGAGTGAGGAAAAGTGGTTTTATGATGCAAGTAAAATGCTACTTTACACCCATCGAGATGAAATAGACTGTTTATTATCAGGAATGACCATCAATCATTGGATTCTTCCATATTAACAGAATTTGAAGCTTACAATGATTAAGGTTTACATATAATCATCGAAATTAAAAAATAGTAAAATAATTAATGATTCAGTAGTGAAGTGGTAAACGGCGATAAGTCGTCTTATCTTCCAGTTGAGTTTTTGAGGAATATATCCGAATCTAAGGGAGATAGCGAAATTTTCGTAATTACGTTTGTTGTAGCACTCAATCGGTTCAACAAAAAAGGTTATAACAAAAATTTTGCTATCTTCCTTAGATTCCGAGATATTGATTGAAAACTGGTTAATAGTCAAAATTGACTCATCTCCTTTTACCACTTCACTACTGAATCTAGTGACTCAAAGTGTAGAGTAATATTAATACATTGACTAGTTCAAAATTTAACGGCAATTCTAATTTATGATTATGGCGATCTCTGTTTATTATACACACTGTTTCATTGTGCAGTTTCATCTCAGTTTTTATTGATTAATTATGATGAATTGTTCATGAGATAATTTTTACTGATGAATTGACCAGTAACATCACAATCCTGTGTTGGATACCAATGTTCACAATCTTGATCATTGATTGTTATGAACGCGAATTCGTTATTCGGAACACTATTGTTGTCACAAAATTAGCCCATTATTATGTCACAAAAATATCCCAATTTCCCTCAATCTTTGGAGGGAGTTCTGTGGCAAGAATTTTTTGCTCCTAGAAAATCTCTTTTCTTTCTCTCAGTGTGATCTAATGGGGATAATAATTCACATGGAAACAGGAATATGTGGAATGTGTGGCGAACTGTGCTGGAGGAAAATGAGAAACTGGCACGAGCACGTCTGGCAGCGGTTGAGGTATTCCAACAGCAGATTGCCGATGATGCTAAGGTCCTCAGAATGCACAAGATGCAGATATCGAAGAAGGCAATCGACCAATTGATGATAGTACAAAAGGAACTACAGATGTGCGTGCAGGACGTTGATAAAACGAAGAAATTGTATTTCGATGAGGAACACAGTGCTCATGATGTACGTGATAAGGCGAAAGATATTGAGGAAAAGTAAGTGAATGGGCTGATGAGAGCGAGAGGAATTTGAACAAAATGAAAACTAAATTTTTTATTTAATACATGAGTTTAAAACTGGTTAATTCACATGGTAATTAGACAAAATCTCCGCAGATTAAAGAAGAAAAAGGGTTCCTTCTTCCAGTCAATTACATCTTTACAAAAAAATAGCGCTAAGGTAATTAAAATTATTGGACAATACCAATTTCGTAGGAAAAATCGAGAACATTTGCTAAAAAAATCTATTTAATTTCTATTGAAAAAGTGTAGAAAATCTTGAGAATTTTTTGATTTTAAGATTTTGATTTTAATAGATTGAAAAAGTGTAGAAAATCTTGAGAATTTTTCAATAGAGAATGTTTTACAGCAAAAAATAAGACGAATTCAGTTTTTCTACATAAGTTATTCTGCCAAGATATTTTCTACAGGAATTCCTCCGATGTAATTTTCTAAGTTCTTCCGTTGTAATTTTTAAGAAGAAATCAAAAATAAAATAAAAAGCATTGAAAAAACTATGTCAAGGAAGTTCAATAGAAAATGCTTCAATAAATTGTATAGAGAAATTGAAACTTATTTTTTCTTTCAATGAAATAACTTCAATTCAGTATTTTCGATTGAAAAAAATGCGTAGGAATTTCATCAGTTGGATTCCCAATAGAAATCCAATAGAATTTCCCAGCGAATGCGCTGGATTTTTTCCAATAATTTATTTTTTCACTCATGAAGAAAATTGCGGAATTTAATTGAACGGATAATTGATTAACTAGCTAATTAATCAATCGGATTGCAAATCAGGTGACATCAAAGCGTGATGCACTAGATGAGAAGTCAACGGGTGCACGTAATGATTACTTGTTGAGTCTCGCAGCCGCCAACGCCCATCAAAATCGTTATTTCGCAATTGACCTGCAGAACACCATGCAGTATCTCGAACAGGGGGTGTATGACAAAGTACAGGAGTACTTGACCCTCATGGGACGCACTGAACTGTTGACTTGCATGGCAACGCAGAATAGCTTCACCACAATTCGGGATCAGGCACAGCAGGTGGGTTCTCAGTGTTTAATGTGGGATTTTCGATTTGAATCGATTGGAGTTCGGAAAGTTTCGGTGAATTATTCAAGTGGAAAAGTTCTGAGGATTTGTTGATTTTTCGATTTGCAGCTGACGAGGGAGTACAATATTCAGTGCTGCAACTTGTATTATCCGATGCTCAAACAACATATACAGTACGAATTTGAGCCGTGTGATAATGACCAAATTGACAGGTATGGAGAATATGATGTTTCGTAGTTTGGGTTTATCTTGCGAGGCGTATTCGGTAGAAAATTGTAATAGACGTGGAATTGTTAGTTTTACACCAATTCTATTGGAAAATTGTTTTAGAGGAATGTTCAATACAAAATGTGGTCTGAAACAATCGGAGGAATCTGATTCTTTTACCAAATTCATTCTGCTGAGATATTTTATATGTAAAAAAAAATTCTGGGCATCAATTTTCTAATTTTTCAAAATTATTAAACTAAAAAAAACCTAAGAAATTTAACCCGAGGAAGAACAAAAAGGAAAAATAAAAATAAAATAGAATTGCAAAGCAAATTCTGCTGAATTTTTTCTTTAAAATATTTTCCAGTGAACATTTTAAAATTAAACTTTATAAATCGTTATTGAAGACTATTTTCGATTTTGACGATTGAACATTTTCTATATAAATTTCCCGGTAAAATTTTTTCAAATTGATCAACCGATTTTTTTCTCCTCTCATTTAAAAATGAACAAAAAGAACTTCGAAAATTTAAACCGAGAAATTTCTGTAGAAAATATCTGACTAAGAATAGCTGTATAGAAACATCCAATTCCACTGTTGGGTTTCTGTAGAATATTTTTTATTCAACATTTCTATTGGAGAAAACGCGCTGCAAAGATGGGAAATTTGTCAATAGAATCGGCGAAAGACATTGAATTGCCCATAGAAGTTCTCCAGAAATCCAACTAAATTTTCTAGCGAATGCGCTACACTGTTAGAAGAAATTGAAATTTCACGGACAGTCGACTAGTAATTTTCAAGAGAGTGACATTAAATGCAATTTACACAAATAATGAAATTTCACATTTCACGGATAATTAAATGAAATTCAAAATTGTTGAGCAGCATTGAGACGAGAATTCCTGTTTATTTGAATTTTCACTAAAACCACAAATATTTACTGCCAATTTACGCTGAATTTTCAATTAATTGAAATTTAAGAATAAATTTACCGAAATTCTATTGATTTCCATTAATTTTGATGGAATAATTGACCTTAAATTTACAGTTTACTTTGATTTTTCCATGAAATTGTGAATTTTCCATGACAAAATTCGTTAAAATTTCAGTAGAACTATAATGTGATAGAAATTTCTAAAAATTGCCCGGAAATTTCTTTCATTGTCGAAAATTTTCAACAGTGTAGATTTTTCTGTAAATATCTTGCGCGTAAATTCTTTGCATCAATTTCATCACAACGGATTCTGGATAATGAACTTGATGCACTAGGGTAACCGCTGATCACTCCGCTGCGACGACACTCGGCAAAGAGGCCCGTCGTTGGTCACAAAGAATTGCTCGTGAAGTTGCAACGATTCGCGAGAGTAACCGTAAGCTTCAAGCACTTCAGCAACTCAAGGAGTCAGGACACAAGGTACCAACTGCCCATTTGAATCACTAATGCATCCCTCATGTAATTCATTGAATTCCAGAGCGACCCTAACGATCCCAATGGGCCCGATCTAGACACTAAGATCGACGAGCTTAAGCACACGGCGCGCCGAGCTGAGGTAATCGTCAATTTCTTTAAATAATTCACGAAAATCTAGGGTTCAGTCTTCAAACAGACCAGCTGATGAACATTAATTATTTCTGATCATTCGTTAGACCGCTAAAATGAAGGCCGAGGCGAGGATTGAGTGCTTACGAGCGGGGGGAGTGAATGTCGACGAGTTCCTCCAGGAGGCCGAGACACTCAGCGTCCAAGACATGCCGCGGTCAGCGAGTTCATTATCTGTAAGAACTGACGCTTCTGGTGCTGCGGTAATTACAATTTATTTATTGTTGAGTCTTCATTTTGAGAACTACGGGTAGTACTTTAGGAAAATGTCAGACAATATTATCAGTACGAGTAATCCTACTGGAAGGCAATGTATACCAGCTATGCTGTCTTTCTCAATTAATAATAATAATAATAATAATAATAATAATAATAATAATAATAATAATGTTGATGATAGAAGAAAAATCATAAAATAGTCGATTTCACTGAAAATGCAATGAAATTTTATAACTTACTGAAATTTTTATCTGGAAAGTTGACATTCCGTACCGAATAACGCGGAATTTTTAATTATTTGAAAATTCGAGAATATATTAACCTGAATTTTGCAAATTTTTTTTTACCTGCTTCAAAAATTCACTTTTTGAAACGTTTTAGTGTGCGTAAAGCCGTTGTTTTCCGCACGACGTGCGTAAAAACAACCGCATTACTCCCACTATCGTTCCGAACAGTGAATTCGACAGGTACCACAAAAAATTGGATGTGTTACCCGTGCGCGTGAAAAAGTGGAACTTTACGGACTAGTAACACAATATGCTATATTAATTTTGAGGAAATAGTTGAACTAAAACTTGGAGTTTCCATGATTTTTTTCTTAGACTTAGAATTTTTAATGACGAAATTCATTGAAATTTCTGTGGAACTGTCACTTTGTGAAAATTAAAAAAGAGGTATTGGAGATTTTGGTAAAAAATGTCTATCAGTGTACCCCTATATTACGAAGTTTTCAATCATTCAATTTATCAATTGAACAGTATCGTTCGTCACAAGGCTGAAAAAAAAAAAATTCGTAATACCGAATGTCTAAATAATACATTTCGTCATTAACCGAAAAAAACTTCTCTGGCGAATGAGTTTTGCTTTGAATTTGCTGCAGTCATATGAGCTAGAAAAGTTATTTTCCGGCTCTGTGACGAACAATGTTTTTTGTCATAACGGCCGTAGGCAGGAATTCACTGACACGAGTAAATTCAATTAGCTACAAAAAATATCGTCGTGAATTATCTCTCGAGGGACGCACTATCGAAATAATACCATATTAGAGGAGATGCAAAACCCCGACAAAGTGACTCCACTCAATGTGTCCATAATTATTCCAGGAACATCCGTCCTCGGACTCATTCTACGACAGTGACAACGATGCTGGTAGTGATCTGACGACGGTGGAGAGGCCAGGAAGTGGCAGGCATATGTCAGAACACCACGAGGACGATCAGAGGAATGAGAGAGAGAGGCACGATAGTGCAGAAGTCGATGGTAATTCTGCAGATTGCAGTGAATTAATCCCATAGGGGAGCCAATAAAATAATTTAAACTTTCTCTAGCTCTACTCGAACAAGAAAAACAGCGGATAGAGCAGATGGCAGCGGACTGGGACGACCCGACGTCAATAGACTGGGGAACAGACGACAAGGACGACACTGAAATTCCTGTATCTTCAGAAGCTATTACCACTGGCCAACAACCGCAGCTGTACAAGTGCACTGCGCTCTATTCGTACACAGTAAGTTACGTCCTTTATATTTTTCTGGAAGGAATCGTATACAAAAGAATTTCGTAGAGAAATCCCGTTCGCTAGAAAATCTTATCATGTTTTCGCCGATTCAATTGATAAATTTCGCTACTTTTAGGCTTCTTTTTTCTCATAAAAATGTGGAATCGAAAATATTTTATAGGAAGAATGGATAGAATTTGATTTTTCTGCATAACTTATTCGATGGAGACATTTTTTATAGAATTAATTTGTTTTTAATGAAGAGAAAAAATGGAGTGGACAAATCATGGCGAGGAATTTCGATAAAAAATTTTCATGGCTGGATTTTAGAGAAAATAGTGAATGAAATGGAAATTAACTCATTTGATCCATCATTGCACGTACAAAATTCCGTATAAAAAGCCAGCGCGTTCGCCAGAAAATTCTATTGGATATCTATAATTCAAATTAAGTTTTACACATTCCTCAATTTGCGGAAACGAGAGGACGAACGACTCAGTGGTAGAGCACTCGCCCGGATAGTGAAAGGTCGTGGGCTTTGATACCCACCCGAGTCAAATCTCGAGTACTTGCTCGTGCATTGATTATAAAAGAAAAATGGAATAAAATGAAAATGAAATAATTTGATCCATCATTTCACGTGTGAAATTCCATAGGAAAAACTAGCACATTCGCCATAAAATTCTATTTTTATAGAACTTCTATTGAGTTTTTCATCAGTTTTTTGCCGCTTCGATTGACAAATTCCGTAGATCTCTGCACGTTTTTCGAATGAAAGGTTCAATAGGAAATATTTCATACAGAAAATCGACGTATAATAAAAGCATACAATATTGGTGGTCTTGACAAGTTATTCTATTGAAATATTTTCCACAGTTTCTTTATTTTATTTTTTTAATGCGAGAATTAACAAATTAAGTGAGAAAAACTTTGAAAATTCACTGTGAGGAATTTGTATAGAAAAAGTGAAGTAGAATCAGCCAAAAACTAATAGAATTTCTGATAGAAATTCAATAGAATTTACGAGCAAATGCACCTCTCTTTCCTAGATTTTTTTTCACCCATGGATATCAAAGAAAATCCAAACGGAATGAACTTTAACACAGTGCAAACTTTAATGGTCTTTCGCAAATATTTATGAGCAGCTTGATCCATTATTTACCCTCCCGGAAAAACTTTCCTGGAGTAAATTCAATTCATTTGGAGAGGGAAAGGTCGCCCTCTGACATTTTCAAGAAGAAAAACCATTTCTTCTCGAATTATTAACTGCGAAATAAGCCGTTACTTCTTTTCCAAGTTATCAGTGAAATCGAAATTGCTGTTTTGCTCTATTCTGTTCTTTTCTGTTCTGTTATTAAAAGCTGGTGCAATAGCCACCACGTGCCACTGAGGGATTTCTCTCCTTTAATTGAAACCGCGATTTTCCAACTTTTAAGGCGCAAAATCCCGATGAACTATCGATCGTCGAGAGCGAGCAGTTGGAAGTAGTTGGTGAGGGCGATGGCGATGGCTGGCTTCGGGCTCGCAATTATCGGGGTGAAGAGGGCTTTGTACCACAAAATTACTTGGACGTCGAGAGAGAAACAGCAACTGCCACTGGGCTTGTTTCACATGGCCCAGGACTTGTCACTCAAATTTCTTTCTCCTCGGTTGATTACACCATTGATGATCATGATGCTGTCGATCCAGGTAATGTTAATTGATTCTCTGAGGATTTATTAATTGAGGAGGTTGAAGGACCTTTCACAGTTTCAGTACAGATTCGTGGGTTTTGAATTATCAAATCTCAAATTATAAGGGGTTTTATCAAGTAGTCATTTCGGATTTAAATTAATTAGACCGGACTTATCTTTCATATCATTCGCTTGCGAGAAGCTTCCTCTTCTTCATTCAAATTTCAAATCCATTAAATTTCATGCACTCATAAATGCATTATTAAAATGAATGATGTATAGAAACAAGAACTTAATGACAAACATGAATAATTAGAGAAAAATTCATGAATAATTTTTAACTTTTGATCAATTCTTCTTGAATTTTGCAAGTATTTTTCTAGAGTATCCAATTTCTTGATTCATTCAAGAAAATTTCAGTGGTGAAGCGGTAAATGGTTTAAGTCACTTTTGACTATTGACCAGTTTTTGATGAATATCTCAAAATCTAAGGGAGATGGCAAATTTTTTTATCTCACTTAGGTTCGGAGATATTTCTCAAAAACTCAACTGAGCCCTAAGTCGGCTTAAAGCGTTTTACCGCTTCACGACTGATTTATTCTAGCGTTTACGTATGAAAAAATCTAGTAGAAAAACCCAGCGTTTTCTCTCAGAAATTCTACTAAATTACTATTAAAACTCTCTGGAAATTCTATTGGAGTTCTATTGGAATTCCATTGAAAATCGTGTAACTTCGCCGTGAATTTTTCAATAAGTATATTTTTATACGAAAAAGTATATTGATTTCTCTATAACAATTCTTGGATATGAAATTCGGAAAAATCTAAATTTCTCAACTTTTTGTATCAAATATCTGTGAAAAATAGTGTATCATGTCATTAGGCAGAAATTTAACATTAAGAAATCCAAAAAAAGTCATGCAAGTTCCCCATTACCACAAAAACCGATAGAATTATTCAGCAGAACTTGACTAGAATCCTTATGCAGTTCCAATGGAAATCGAGTAGAATCCTCAAGAAAAAAAAACAATTTCATTACGAAGAAAATTTAGTCACGTAACACCAGTTGTCTTAATAATTTGAAATTACAAATGGAAACTGGAAAAAATCGTGTTTGTCATTCAGACGCACATCTCCACGCAGCCACAGTCAACCAAGCCCCCGCACAGCCAGATAATCTCACTCAAGCCCCCGAAGTATATTGCATTGCCCTATACGATTACGATGCCACGTGTGATGAAGAATTGACATTCCTCGAGGGGGATATACTGAGGGTTCTGAAGACCGAGCCACACGACGTGGACGACGGCTGGTGGGAGGGTGAACTGCGCGGTCAGACGGGTCTTTTTCCGTCTCTGGTCGTCGAACCGTGCGCCCCCGACGGCTCTCCATTGACCCCACAGGTGCTCCTATTTTTAAATCTGGATATTCTCTCCATTCGAGTGCCCCTCACTCATTAGTCATTGTGTCATTATCTCAGGAGGAGACAACACCCCCCAGTTCTGCACCCCCAGTCTTCACACCACCGGATGTACCGGAGTTCGTTCTCGCCGATGAGATAACACGAGCAATGTTCAATGGTAATTGAGAGTGACAAGGGGGAATCTTGATTTTTTTGAATATTTATAATCGTTGATCGAGATCTTTTTGATCTTCATTCAAGAACTCATGTTTGATTCAAGTTTATTCATGCTCTTAATGAAGTTTTATGCCTCCGGAATGCTAATTAATCATTATAAATCAAGGATTGACATTAGAGGAAGTAATTTTAATAACTGTCGTCAGGTGGGAAAACGTCATAAGTGGAATTCAAATTTTTTGTTTTGTGCATTAAGGTATATTCCTAGAAAACACGTTTTTCTCAAGATTGTCCCCGTGGTTTTCAAAGATAATGGTTATAATAGTTACCAGCTATTGAAAACATGATAACTTGCTGTATTACACAGTTTAAAAGAGAATAAATAATGAAGTGCGGGCTTCTAACACGTGAGGCATAGGCCAAACGGGGATGATGGGTCCCCCTGAACTCGATTTTTCCATCTTATGAGAATACGGCACTCACGATGTTCTTAAAAAACTAATCCGCGATAAAATGATACATTCCGAATCACTGTTAAAAATTTTTGTCTGAAATTTCTGGTACACTTTTTGAAAATTTTTATCGGATTTAATTACCACTGAAATTTCAAGGAAGTTTTTCATTGAAAATTTAGAATTCCGTGGAAAAATCAAAGAGAACTGTGAATTGCAGTTCCATTTTTCTCTGAAAATAAATAGAAAACGAGAAAATTCCGGTAAATATATTCTGGAATTTTCAGGACAGTGACAGTGAATGCGATTTAGGGGCAAAAAAATCACGTGAAAGTGCAGATTTCACTGAAAATTCTATGTAATTTGGCGCTGAATATTCATATTAGATTGGAAATTCAAATAAATTACGGAATTCTCGTGTTTATGCCGCTTAATACATTCTGGAATTTTACTAAATTTTCAAGGAAACCTGAAATTTCACGATTGTTTTCCCCCTAAATCGCATTCAGTGTCACAGTCCTGAAAATTAGTAAGCGACTGTCGAGGAATTTTCATTTTTTTCTAACAGTGAATTTTTTTGTTAAATTTCATCGTGAAAACGTTTCTAATTTAATTGAAAAAATTAATTAACAAATAATTTCTTATTTGATTCAATCAGTTATTGTCGCTTGCATCAACAACGCACAAGAATAGAAAAACAATGATTTATGAGAATGCAATAAATTAAGTTATTTAGAATTTTCATTGTCTTGGGATTATACCTTAACTCGAGAAAAATGTATTTCAGGAAAAAAAATTGTTTTTAATTTTCTCCCAAGTTCATTTTTCATCAAAACATGACGAGTAGAATTTAACGTTTTGGCTCATTCCGATTTTATTTTGAGAATGAGTGGTGACGCCAAACGTGTGAGACGCTTTTGATGTTTTCTTCGCGCGCGCAGAAACGTCACTCACGATCGTCGTTACAAAATAGTATTTTCCCGTTGCGATGGGATTTTTACCACACAACTGAAAAACTCCGTCACAATTGCCCGGGACAAGATTTTTGTGCAGTGATTTTCAATTTTCTGGCGGGGAATCGTGAGAAGCAGTACAGAAAAATATTCCTCGTCACTAGAGCGAAAAAATAACTTCTGGCAAATATATGTGAATGCAGAACTCGCCTTCGGCTCGTATTCGCCGGAAAATTATTTTTTCGTCGTCCTGGTGGCGAAAACTACTATTTGCGATTCTCTTCTAAAATCACTCATCGAAATAATTTCAGATTCATATTGAATAGCAAAACGTGACAAGTATAAATTGACATTTTCGTATATTGTGAATCATCCATAAAACGAGCGATGTTACAGGAAAATTTTGAGAACATTTTTTTTAGGTGAGATAAATCTCAACAAGGTCTTTTGCCATTCTCATTATCAATAGAATTGAACATTTTTATCAGTGGTGAATTATCTACAAACGAGTGATATGACGCGCAAATGTCAAAGGATTTATTCCAGCTGATAACATTTTCAATCAGGTGTCCGTTGTCATTTTCTTCTGAAACCACTCATCATCCAAATAATTTCAGTTTCACATTAAATAGCAAAATCTGCCAAGTAGAATTCAAAATATTTGTTCACTATGAATTTATTTTTAAAACGGCTGATTTCCCATGAGAATGTCAAACTCTTTCGGTACCTGACAGTAAAAGGTCGCAAGTAAAATTCACCATTTCCCTCAATAGAGGCTTCATCTAAAAAACGAGTGATGCATGAGACTGACTGACGCCAAAAAACTCTGTCACCATCGAAATAATGTCATATTCAAGACCCGAAGAACGAACCAATAAAATTGTTCAGTAGAACCCACCCCGTGCAATTAAACAAATAAAAAACTGATTGAAATCCCCAGAATCAGGCGACGAGAAGCCCCCACTGATAAACGGCGAGGCCCCCGACGGCTTCGCAATAAGCTTGCCGAAAACCCAGAAGGACCAATACGGTATGCAATTCAATGGTCCCCAGGCGGAGCCGCCAGGAATAATAGGTGAGTAAAATTCCCCCAGCCCCGCCAGCCTCCCCCATTTCTTGTGCCTCAAAAGAAATTCATAAATATGCTTATAAACCAATCTCATCGTGCAGTCGTACAAGTATCGGACGAATCAGGCGAACAGGTAAATTGCTGGTGTGATAATTAGTCTCGCATATGTAATATTAGAATCTCTAATAAAACATTTGCCGGAAAAAAGTCATTCGTAATTAAAACGTTGGGGCTAAAAAATTGATGAATAACTAATCACTGGATATTTTCTCATGCAAACAGGAAGGTGACGAGATCGACCGTGAAATTGCGCCTAAAACGAAGAAAGATATGAAGTCTGAAGGTCAGGATGATGATATTGGTTTGGGTGTTGCACAGATTGTGATAACAGCTGCAACACCTATGGAGGAAGTTGAACATCCATTTCCAGGTGTTGGTGAGGATGCCCCGGAGGATGTGGCTGAACCAACTGAGGAGCCAGAGAGTACAGAGTCTGAGATGGAGACTAAAGTCGAGATGAAGAGCGAAGAGGAGATAACTAAAGAGACGACTGATGACAACACCGAGGAAGTCGAGGAGAAATCAACGGCGGATGATTTACCAGCGGATTCAGCACCATTTCCGGTAAGCAGTAGTTCTGGATCTGATGGGGATTCAACATCAGGACCAAGTACAGCTGATAATTCACAGTCATTACCCTCACGTCGTACTGTTATCGAAATGCAGAATGATGTTGAAACGAGCGATGAACAGCCAGACATTATACCGGAGAAGATGCTTGTCGGTGGACGCGCCAGTATTCCAGATGAATTACAACCAGATCAGTTGGAAAAATTACAGAATCTCAAAGAATCAAATGCCTAGGATTGACTAGACCTCGGAGAAGATGAGTATCCTGCCTTAAATAACAAACTGGCTCTTCCGAAAAATCATCAAAATAAATTTCAGCATCTCTTGGATTTTTGGAAATCTCCGGAGGTTATTGGAAACAAAGACTAACGTAATATAACGATATTATTACCCTGGATAAATGGAAAATCGAAAAAACAGTCGATAATGACAATGAGATGTTTCGAAATGTTTTTTTCGAATTTATCCTCCCCTCTCAAATCCCTGTACTCATGCCATTGAAAATTCTGCGGGCCTGTAATCCATTGAACGATAATGAGATAAAAGAAACTCAACAACATTTGTCGACTAAAATTTTTATGTTGATATTGTTATGTACACAAATTTTTGCTAGGCTATATTATACTTTAGTGACTACTTAATACGGTATAAACGAAAAAATCGTTGCAATAATTTTGCAGTGTCACTCGCGAGGAACATTTAAAACTACAGCGAATAAAAAAGAAAGGAATTTGCGCGGTTACGAGGATAAATATACGGAAGGATTAACGAAGAAGAGTAAAAACTAACAAAAAAAGAGAAAATCTATTAATGTACAGTCATAAAAATAATAAAGTGAATTGTCGATACCTGTGTTAGACGATAAATGGCCTCGATAAATCATTGTGTCCATTGATCAATGTGTAATCAGAGAATAACAGAGACTGGTGTTGGATGTATAGAGATAATTATCATTAAATCCATCCCACGTTAATTAAAGCCATGGAGAAAATTGATATGAGTAATTAACATTTCCATAATCCCCCATACGCTCGCATTATTTCTCTGTCAGGTGGTTTCATCCCTTGATTATTTTTCTGTTCATTCGCATGGATGAAAAAAAGAGAAGTAGATGCATCCCTTGAAAAATAAGAGCTCGAGGCCCGGGGGGATTATCTTTCGAACGTTATCTCGATTGTTTGTTCACCTTCATAATCTATAATATATCATAATTTCCACTGACTCGAGGGCTATGTAAAACTGAGTGGCAATTGAAGAACACTTTAGATTATCAAATTGAAAAAAAAACAAACGACCAAGACCACATTCGAAAGATGATACACGTGAGCCTTAACTTTATGTATTTATTTCATTTCGATAAAAGGTAAACCCTGAAGCATTGACGTGTTCCCGGGAAATTGTGTAGACTCAGATTTTCTGATTGACATGAGTAATTACCATTTTGGTATTATAGCCAAAGAATCGATTAATAAGAAATTACGCGGTGAAATAGAAATTTTAACGTTTTAACAATTCCTCATACGCCGTCATTTCTCTGTTATATGACGTCATCTCTTAATTACTTTCATATACATTCGCATGGAAGAAAAAAACGCCAATTCATCCCTTAAAAAATAAGAGCTTAGCTCAATATATTTATTTCATTTCCATAAAAGGAAAAATAGTATCAAAAAATGTAACAATGCAATTTTCAACTGTATCTGTGAAATTCATGGCTGCATACGAAGGCCTCCATCGAGTCTGATGGTCTCTCCATTCATCATCGGGTTCAGGATGATAGACTCAACCAGCTGGGCATACTCATCAGGCTTTCCAAGCCGCTGGGGAAATGGAATGCTCTTAGCCAAGAAATTACGAACTTTGTCAGGTAAGCCCTGGAGCATTGGAGTCTCGAAGAGTCCAGGGGCAATTGTGCAGACTCTGATTCCCTGGGAGGAGAGGTCACGGGCAAGGGGCAGAGTCATGCCAACGACCCCAGCTTTGCTGGCTGAGTAGGCTGCCTGGCCAATCTGGCCATCGAAGGCTGCAACACTCGCGGTATTGACGATCACTCCACGTTGTCCATCCTCGTTGGGCGTGTTCGCGCCGATTAGTCCCACTGAAAGACGAATTACGTTGAATGTTCCAATTGTATTTATTTCAATGACTCGTGAGAATGTCTCCAAGTCGTGGCTGCAATTCTTCTTGAAGTTGTAGACTCGAATGGCTGCTGCTATGCCTGCAGCGTTCACCACTGCATCCAATCGGCCGAACTTCTCTTTTGCCATTTCCACGGCTTGAGTGACGTCTGCCTCGGATCTTACCTGGGAAATTGGTGCGTAATGGGATAAGACGATTTCAGTAGCAGAGCAATAAAACGGGATATACAGGGTGACGTCAGGGTGACCGATAGCCGTTTGCCCCGCACATGAAAAAATCAGGGATGAAAAAATTTAAGTAAAAAACCTAGCGAATTCGTTAGAAAATTCTATTGGATTTCTATTGAACTTTCTATCAGTTTTTAACCGATTCTACTGAAATGCCGAAATGATTTCTATTGAACTTTCTGTTCGTTTTTAACCGATTCTATTGAAATGTTCAATGGAAAATAGTCAGAAGGTCTATTGACAGTTTGTCTAATCTATTGAAATTATCGGGGAGATACTGACTTAATTGGACGGCGATATATCGACAATTTTAAGGGGTCCCTCAACATTGACAGGTTTGTTGATTTGTGAGGGTCAAGCTGTCAGGGCGACGTCATTAGAAACTTCGGGAGAATATAGAATAGAAAATCAGGAATTCAGTGGCACAAAAATTATTAAATTCCGATAGTGGACTATCAAATGGTGAATGTTAAAATTTTCCGATGCTCAGAAAATGTTAATGCTTCACGCTCTGATTTCCTGTCGCCATGATTGCAAACGATGAGGCAGCTGTCAATGGGACTTGATATGACAGTCAATATCGCTCTTCATGGTGATAAAATTATCGATTTGATTGCTGCAATGAACATGGGAATTTTCAAAGAAATATCATATTCTCATGATTATTTCTATAAAATAATGTCTATTGAACATCTTCTATCGAAACTAATAGATTTTTCAATAGAGGTTCACAGACATCCAATAGAATTTCCTAGCTATTCCCCTGAAAATCAACCCATTTGACGACTCCTCATTCATTTCATAATTTTACCATTTTCGTTTCAGTTCAATTGAGCTTCAATCTCGTATCTATTAGGAAAAGTGGTATTTCTTACGTCCACGGGGGTGAACACAGCATTTTCTCCAAGCTCAGCCGCAACCTCCTTGCCCTTAGACACTGGTAAATCAGCAATGATAACTTTTGCTCCATTTCTCACAAATCGCTCGACTGTGCCACGACCAAGGCCGGATGCACCTCCCGTAACCAGTGCCACTACGTTCTATAAAATGAAATCATGAGTGAAAATAAATGAATATGCATGACACGAAAAAACGTTAAAATCCCATAACACGTACAACCCGTATTGACCTTTGATCCGCGTTATAAAGTGCCTTATCAAGGATTTTTTACATTTTCATTAATGGGAGATACATAGAACATGTGCTTGAAAAAAAAAACGACATAATTACCTTCAACATTGTAGACGAGATTTAATGAGGATCTATCAGTACGACGAAAAAATGGAATCACTTCCTTAAATTATTCTTAAGGATGACAGCGCACTATGAATCGGAGCAAGTAGAAGGGTAATACTGGTGTGCGACGACTAGCTCATGCATGAACTTTGCTTCTTCTTCTACTTTCTTGTGCTCCTTGCGCAACTCGCTTTAGTAGGCTCGGTAATTCAACCAATTTCAATGGACTTTGCACTCCAGATTTTTTTTTGTTGATTGTCGCGGGTGGCGCCCTCCAACATACAACACGCACGCGTTCATTGTCGCACGAAAATTTGAATGACGTCAATTATCATCCGTAGGGTAGGAGGAAAAAAGTAGAAAGATCTTGCCGATTTTTTGCCACTAGTTTTGTTGCAATCCTTGGCGACAAATACTTGACTGTCACTTTTTGTATCGCAGTTTGACTTTTTACACATAAAATGATAATTAATGGACACACGTCAATTCTTCACAACAGTCGTGGATTCCTTCCCGAATGAACAAGTTTGATAGAAAAACCTTGCGGATTTCTATTGAACTTTCTATTAGTTTTTGGTCGATTCTAGTGAAATGTTCAGTAGAAAATATTCTATAGAAGAAGTCAAATGAATTCGATTTTTTTATATAACTTGTCAATGTCCTCGTCCTTAATTTTTCAAGTTTTTTGTTCAATTTTCTTGATGAAAAGAAAAAAGGAAAATAGAATGAAAAAAACTTGGAGAATGTGAGCCGAGGAAATTTTATAGAAAATATCTCAATAAAATAAGTTGTATAGAAAAATCGAATTCTATTGACCTTTTCTATAGAATATTTTCTACTGAAAATTGTAATAGAATCGGCCACAAACTAATTGACAGTTCAATAGAAATCCAATAGAATTGTCTAGCGAATTCGTTAGGTTTTTTCATTAGATTTCTTTCATCACACTGTCCGTAGAACGCCGTTTTACTTGAAACGTACATTTTACACTGAAATATGTCCAGCTGTGTAGAGATTGATTTTTTAATACTATTTCGTTCCATTTTTTTGCACGAAAAAAAATGATATCATTGTGAAATTATATTTTCCACAGGAATAAATGTGAAACTACAGTGCACCTATAGGACGACGGCCTGAAAAAGTATAATAATTTTTCAGTCGGTACGTCCAATTCCCAGTTAGGAATGAATTCCTAAATTATTATTGTGAATTTGGAAAAATGATTGGAATTTCATTATGCGTGTGTAGGGTAAAAAAATTTGAAATGTTCAATATTTCCAGTAATTATATTGAGAAATTCGAATACGAATGAATTTATATACGAGAATAGTAATTTTACAATCCCAATGTAGTAATTTCCGTGCACACGGAGAAAATTATTTGGTGAAAATTTTTTGGTGAATTTGGTCAATTCACCGACTGGTTGGTAATTCATTTTTTTCAACAACTAGTTGGTGAATTTTATCAACTAGTTGAATTTTCTCCATGTATATTTCAGTAAAACTCTAAATATTAGCTGCAATATTCACGTAAAAATGTAGCAAATAGCAATTCTACTACCAAATTTGTAATTTTACTACACATTGATGCAGCAGAAGTGTAGTAATATTACAAACTTCTTTAACAATGCACTGCACGCAGCGAAATAATTCCCGATCACAGGAGTCATTTTGTTACTTAACGAAGTGTGAAATCACAATTACATTTCAGACAGTAAAAAAGCCCTGGTTTTCTGAATAATTTTTCCTCAAATCTCCTCTCCACATCTTGTATTTTGTCATGAGAAACAAAATAAAATAAAGTGGGAAACAACGGAAACAAATTATTCCCGGGAATTTCAGTTCTTGCAAAAAAAATTCTCAAGAAAATATGAAAAAGTTCGGTTTTTCTCCCCAATTTTTTCACATGTGTACGCACGAGTAGAACCAATTGTCTTATGTAAATTAGATCAATTGATTCCCGGGTAATCCAAACAGCCGCGGACTTGTGAGAAAAAACTCAAGGCATTGTCCGGAGCTCTTCTTGCCACTTTTCAGCAATGATGAACATTGCTGAGTCACAAGAGTCACGAGTCTTGCATCCCTCCTCGAGTCTTTTCAAGATGAGGTAGGGATGGATATCACTGGGAGATGGCGAGTTATAAGAATCAGCGAAAGACCGCTGATCTTTCGGAGCATTAACGATCAGTAGTACATTAACCATTCGTTTACTATCGTTTAACAAAAATGGGGTGGACATTCCTCACGGCTGATTCCGCTGTGTCCTGGATGAATTCGTTATCGATTGGTGAGTCTGGCATTATTCTCCGGAGGCACAAGACGTTATTTTTTTACGTGGGCACGTCTTTAAGGTATATCCCTGGAAAACACGTTTTTCTCAATACTGTCCCCATGTTTTCCATAGATAATGTTTATCATAGCCCGCAGCTATTGACAGTTTTGGAGATGATAAATAATTGAATGTCGGCTTCTACCACGCGAGGCCAAACGGAGATGATGCCCCCCGAACTCGATTTTTCGCGATAGAATGATAAATTCCGAATACGGTGAATTTTTTGTTAAATTTTTTGCTACATAGTTTCTGCAATATTCAATTTTAAAAAATTGAAATTTCGTGAGAGCATTTTTCATTTGATTCAAAAAATTAATTGACAAATCATTTTTATTTGATTCAAACAGTTATTGTTGCTTGCAACAACAACATGAGAATAAAACAACTCAATAACTTATGAGAATGCAACCGTATTCCCCCATAACCCACGTTTCACGGACGAAAATGTTCTACAGTAAAAGTCAAAAGAATTTCATTTTTCTAGAACTTATTCGATAGAAATATTTTGTGTAGTTTTCTCGGCTTAAATTTTCCAAGTTTTTTTGTTTGATTTTCTTGATGAGAAGGAAAGAAAAATCGAATGAAAAAAATTTGGAAGATTTGAGCCGAGAAAATTCTATAGAAAATAACTGAAGAGAATAAGTTATTTAGAAAAATCGAATTCTATTGATTTTATCTATTGAAGATTTTCTATTGAACATTTCAATAGAATCGGCCAAAAACTAACAGAAAGTTCAACAGAAAGTCAATAGAATTTTCTAACGAATTCGCGAGGTTTATCTATTAAATTTTTCGTGCATGTTGGCCGATGCCGCGCGTGTTACAAGCCCGCATTTCGTTATTTATTATCTCCTAAACCGAGTAGGACAGCAGGTTAATATTTTTTTCAATAGCTGGGGATTATTTTATAAACATTATCTATGAAAAGCATGGGGACAATCTTAAGAAAAACGTGTTTCTAGGGCTATACCTTAATGGCCCTCTAAGCATACGAGAACCTTTTATTCTTGATGGTTCCGTTTTTGTTTTCAGTGTATCTATTTGTTACCATTGCGGTATTATCGGTTATTCGGTACTGGAAGGAGATTCAGGAATACCTGAAATTCCGAAAGGAAATGCTTGAATGTTCGTCGTCACTGCCTGGACCCCCGTCAATTCCAATCTTCGGAAATGCACTTCAATTTATTGATAGCGATAGTATGTGGATTCTGACCGAATTTTTTAGCCCTGATTTAGTCGTTTTTTGTTACGGAGTGATTTATTATTTCAGAATCTATTTTCATTCTTGCACAAATGAGCCAGGATATCAATGCAGGCACTTTTAAAATTTGGCTGGGACCGCTAATGAAAATTATCGTTACTGATCCGAGGGATTTTGAGGTATATCATTATTATATTTTTAGAATTTTCTGACATTTGGTCACATCTACATGGAAAATTTATTCCCGTTGGTAATTTAAATCAATACGCATGAAGACATTCGGTAGAAAAACCTAGCGAATTCGATAGAAAATTTTATTAGTTTTGGCCGATTATATTCAAGAATTCCGAACGATTACGGTGGGTTTTTTTAATAGAAAATGACTGAATGAAACTATTTTGTAAAAACATTCATAGAATTTCATCTTTCACGTAACCTTTTCCATTAAGATATTTTCTATTATCCGGATTCCTCGACATGAATTTTCCAAGTTTTTTCCACACGATCTTTCTTCTCCTTTCGTTGAAAAAATTCAACAAAAATATGACACAATTTGAGCCGAGGAATTTCTATAGAAAATATCTCAATAGGATCAGTTGTTTGGAAAAATTTCATTCTATTGATTTTTTCCGTAGAATATTTTCTATTGAACATTTCTATTGAAAGAAATGCTGAGATCAGCGGAATTGTACGAATAGAATCGGCCGAAAACTAATGAAATAGAATTCTCTAGCCAATTCGTTAGGGTTTTCCGTAAAATTTTTTCGTGAATTTTTCAGGCTTGTACAGCAAAAATTAACTTTTTACTTCATTACTTCACCATTGACGCGTTTCTTTTATCTTCGTCGTTCACTATATTTTGTACTTTCATTTAGATTATAATGGGAAGTCCAAAAGCAGCTGAGAAGGAGAAGGTTTACGATTTTATGGAGCCTGTGGTCTGCAACAGCCTCATAAATGGAGGAGGTATTTATCGCACTAAAAAATAGTGAAAATATTCAACTCAATCTACTCCTCAATTAATTAGTGAATTGTCACAAGTAGCATTTTCATTGAGAAAATGGTGGCCCGTATTTTCTTCCCGGGGAAAATTTCCCTGACATTCATCCTCAAATTTTCTTCGTACCATTTCGTCCCCGAAAACAATGCTAGCACTAATTTTTTCCCCTTTTATGTTCCCTTCATGTCCCGTCATTAACCCTCGATCACTGCTTTAATGAGCGCAGCACCGCCAAAGTCGGTGAACCAGAAAAACCGAGGAAAGCTTAGTTTGAATCAGAAATGTTAGTTATTCCGGATTTCTTAAATGTGCGGAGAATTAATAAAAAATCAATGAGTAATGAGAACAGAAATCCCCAACAAGTGTGAATAACAACCGTGTGATCCAAAAATGATGCGGATTTCCTGTTCCAGGGCCGACCTATCGTGCGCACAAGAAACTCGTGGTGCCACTGATAAATGGAGGTAACTTGATAACAGAGCACATCAAGCAATTCAATATCCAAACGAAAATTATGGTGAACAAAATGGCTGAGAGAGTTGGAAATGGAGAATATGATATTTATCACACGATTGTTCCATGTGTAGCAGACATTGTATTCGGTAAGTAATCACGCGGAAGAAATTCATGGAAAAATTAAACGCATTCGCTACAAAATTAAATCAGTTTTTTGTCGATTTTATCTTAATTATCTGCACCACTTCTGCGCGCTTTTCAATATGGCAAATGTTCAATAAAAAATATTTAATAGAAAAGAATTAATCGATTTTGATCTTCCTATAAAACATCTTCTATTGAGATATTTTATGTGGACATGCCTCGGTATGATTTCTCAAAGTTTTTTGTCACTCTAGTTTTTTCTATTTTGATTTTGTCTATTTTATAGTACGAAAGGGGTTTATTCTAAGATGTGTGAATCTTGGATGAACTGCTATCAGATTTTGCTTTCAAATTGTAATTTTTTAAATTAAAGCGGTATTGCTATCGATTCATTTGGAAGCTTACTACCAATGCAATTGATAGAAATAGAAAAAAGAGAAAGGATAGTGACGGTGAAATGACTTCTGTCGGAAAGGCTCGGTACCCTGCTTTTTTTTTTTTCATTTCTTATTGAAAAATGAAAGCACTCTACAACGCATTCCTTAAGGGGAGACTACTATGAGTTTTAAAAGTCGCGGGCTATTAAAATGAGATTTTTCATACTAACACCCATACGAAGATCGATTATATGTGTCTAAAAACGAGTAATTAGTGCAAAAAAAATTGTTTATTGTTTTTGAAAAGAATGTGTTGCAATAACAATTACGAATGGTTTTTTGTAATTGCTCTTTAGAAACAATATTCGGCATGCCTGGGAATGCTCAAAAGGGCGAAGAGAATATTCTGATCGAGGGAACTGAAGTGTACGTACAATCATCCAAATAGTTATCCCAATTCAGCTGAAAATTCTAATGAAATTATCTCTTATCAGGGTGTTGCATATGATGTACAAGAGAATGATATCAATGTGGCTGTGGCCAAATGCCATCTTCAACCGCACGCATCTTGGAAGGAAAATGGTCAGGATGGTGAAAGAGTTTCACAACCTGTTGGATGATGTGAGATTATCAATTCTCTACATAAAATAACACATCGTGTTGAATATTGAATCATTTCAGTGATGAGTGGTTTCAGATTAATGTCAGAGGACATTTTTCGTTGGATATTCCATAGCTAGGAAGATGTTCTGCTGTTTCTTTTCATTGCTCATTGAAATGATTCAATCTTACATATAATAATTCTGTTGTTTCTTTCTTTGCAACTCCCGCAAAAACGGCTGAATGAATTTCAACGGGATTTTGAGTGTTAATTAGTTTAGGGTTCACGTTCTAACATAGACGGCTAATTTAAAGTAAGTTGAATTCAAGGGGAAGCCATTTCTGGAAATTCGAGGAGAATATCGGGTTTTCTAAAAAAAATCGCAAAAATTGGCAGGTTTCTTAGAAATTTCAAAAGAAAAGCCGGAGATTTTCAATATATTTCGCTTTTTAGAGCGAAATCATTTTTTCTCTTTCAATTCATACAACTTTTCAGAAAGCTAGAAAATACTTTAAGGGTGTATTGCTTTCTTTCACCAAATTTTCACTTCGTTTCAGATTTCTGGTAAATTGTTGATCGAATTTGAGCCAAAAATATACCATTTTCATGCGTTATCACTATCTTATGATTCATGAACTTTCATCATCGCGTAGCCAATTTTGCATTTTTTCTGGATTTTTCGGAAATTTATAAAGCTTTAGAGGAAACACTCTAGGGACAGTACATCCTTAATGGAAGGGGGAACACGATTAATAAATTTTGATGAACTGTTACAGATAGTGGTAAAGAAAAAACGTGACTACACTGAGATGAAAAAACAAGGAATAGATCCAGATGTGAAGACGAGTGCTGTATTAGATCAAATTATCTCTCACGTAATGAAGACTAACTCTTGGACAGATAAAGAACTTCGATACGAGATGTTTACGCTCTTCATTGGTGTATGTTTACCCAATTTAAAACTCTTAGAAAATACGGCAGATCCACTCGTTGAATTGAATGAAAATGTTAATTGCTATTTTTCAATGAAAATGATAATTCCTATTTTTTAGTCCCACGATACGATTGCCGGAGTCAGCTGTTTCGTAGCTCTGGTGCTCGCCATGTTCCCCGACGTACAGGTACGCATTTCATTGGTTTAAACAAATGCACCCATTTTCTGACAATTCTATTGAACTTTTATTAAACTTTCTATTAATTTTTTGTTGATTCTATGGAAATGCTCAATAGAAAAGATTCTGTAGAGAGTTAATAGAATTCGATAGAATTTCTATAGAGTTTCTTCAGCTCAAATTTCCCGAATTTTTTTGATTGATTTTTTTTATGAAAAGAAAATAAAAAGAAAAAGAAAAGAACTTGGAAAATTTGAGCCGAGGGAATTCTGTAGAAAATATCACAATAGACTAAATTGTATAAAACATTCAAATTCTATTGATTTTTTCTGTAGAATATTTTCTATTGAACATTTCAACAGAATCGGCCAAAAACTACTAGAAAGTTCAATAGAAATCCAATGGAATTGTCTAGTGAATTCGCCAAGTTTTTCTACTAAATTTTTCGTCCGTGGAGTGATGAAATCATTGCGTTTCACTGAGGTACGAAGAGTTTTGAATGGAATTCTCATTTGAATGTTGATTTTTCGTGCAGAAAAAAGTCAGAGAGGAGTTGAAGGATGTGGTGGGAGATCATGATATCACTGAGGAGGATGCTACGAATTTGAAGTATTTGGAAATGGTGATAAAGGAGACTATCAGGATTTATCCAGTTGGGCCGGTTTTAGGGAGGGAGATGACTGGAGACTTGAAACTAGGTACAGTAAATTCTGTAGTAGAGGGGTGAAACGTAGTGTGACAGGAGAAATGGAAAAAACTTGCACAATCGCTTATTGAATGCACTGAGAGAAAAAAGATTTTCTAGGACCAAAAAAAACATCTTGCCAGAAACCACTCTAGAGATTGAGGGAAATCGGGCCATTCTTGTGACAAGGATGGATGGTTTTCCAAATAACTCACTTGAGTTTGTCACAATCAACGATCAGGATTGGAAGAATTTGTTTAGTTCAGAGGATTTTTATAATTTTAATCGTTAATTTTTTTAACACGATCGTGTGAAAGCTTTTGCTAAGTTTGTTGGAGACGCTTTGTTGTTATGAACCACTACTTGTCCTTCATTATTCGGACAAGTACAAAATCCTTGGCCGAAAGTTATTTTTTCTCATTGAGATATTATTTTCTTGTTATTTTTCAAGCCATGAGTTCCTTGATGCAAGTAAATACGCACTTTTTAAAAAACGTCATTTTTCTCAGTGCAATAAAAATTTTCGAAGCAGATATTACGATTTCGCACTCCACTGAGTTTTCCTCATAGAATACGTAATAAAGAATGAGTACTCACCACCTCTCCTTCCATATCCAGCAACGTGCACGTTACCGAAAGGTGCATCCGTGTATTTGCTGCCCTTCGCGACTCACCGGGACCCCAGGCACTGGACTGAGCCCGAGAAGTTCATGCCAGAACGATTCAGCCCGGAGAACTCCAAGGGAAGGCATCCCTGGGCATACGTTCCCTTCAGTGGTGGACTCCGCAGTTGTCCAGGTAAGGTCAACTCTTCACAATCTCCGGAATTATCTCTTTCTGAAATCAAGTTGTCATGCGAATTGTTTAACAGGATAAAATGATGAACTAAGAAAATTAGATGAGAAAAATTAGATACGTGTTTCTTAAGGATGTACTACACCCTTTCGGCCAAAATTCTCCTTTTTTTTTCATTTTTCTGGCAAATTATTGATCGGATTGGCGCTAAATAATATACACCGTTTTTAGGTTTTATCATTATTGACTGACTCACGACGTTTCATGGCAGTGTAATCATTTTCCTGCATTTTTTCTAGTTTTGTGAATTTCCGAAAAGTTTTAGAAAAAACGCAGGAAAATGCACGATCATGAAATTTCGTGAGTCATTAAGTAAGGATAAAACGCAAAAACTGTATATTTTCTCACGTCAATCCGATCAAAAATTTGCCAGAGAAAATCAAAAAACGTGAATTTTTGCGAAAAGGGTGGAATACATCCTTAACCCTCGATCACTCGCGCTCGGCCGCCAGCCTTCATCCGACACACGGTCAGCGCAGCGAGCGCGCTGTTGCCACCTTGGCGCTCAAAGCTATGCGCGCATTTCAAGTGCGGCAGTGAATGTAACAACACTGTCGCTCGAGGGGTCAACAGAGACTCACTCGCGCCGGGCGGCACGGCGCTACTTCTCGGTCCGTTCGACGTTTCTTTTCTTTTTTTAGCTGAACAAATTTACCGAGAAAATAACGGAGAACGCCAACGCTTAATAAAAGTATTGAACTAGGAACTTCAATTTTTTCTGAATTATTAAGCGTCGAGAGCCACACTAAAATATAAAAAACGAAAACGGCCGACGAAAGCACCGCGCCCATTGAGCGAGTGATCGAGGGCTAATAGGGGGAAGTTATTAACCCTCTGCGGGAGTGTGCCACCCTATTATTTAGGCTTTGACGTTGCCGAATGTACTCTACATTGCCCGAGCACGTTTAGAGATTTTTTGGCAACGTTGCTTAACGCGCCATTTCATTTAAGGGAAAACGCAACCCCTGTATATATAAGAACTTTAAGAATTGTATTTTCTCCTACAATTATTACTTTATATCTATGAAATTACTTTATCGACTCGATCATTCTATTGTTGAGTCAATGAAGTAGTTTCATAAATAAAAAATGATAATTGCAGGAGAAAACACAATGCTAAAAGTTCATATAAACTTTTCGAATTGTTTAGAATGAATGAGCACGCCGTTGCCACAATTCATTCGGAGAGTGGACTCTCCAATTCTATAATTTCTTTTGTTTTAGGCTCGAAATACGGCATGATCTGCATCAAAGTCCTCATCGGTCAGATGGTTCGGTATTATGAACTGGAAACCACTGCCAAATACGAAACTCTTAACATCCACGCGCACATATCAACCCGCTCCATAGATGGATACCCCATAACTCTGAAGAAGATCAAGTAGCTGGAGGACAATGTTATTGAAATGTACTCTTGTGATTTTTGCCCCAGTGTGAATATCACAGATGAACAATAAATGAGATTTATTTAGAATAACATTGACTAGTACATAGTCAAGTTTTCAATAAGTGCGTGCAAAGTGAAATTTTTGCTTTAATTTGAGAAATTTCTACCAAAATTCCAGTCAAAAATGCATTAAGTTTTTTATGCTTCAATATTTCACGTGAGTGTCACGAAAATATCGTAATTTGCTTAAAATTCAGGAGTAACTCCTAACATGATTTTTCTTTTTATGTATTCACGTGTGAAAAAATTTCATAGAGACACCTAGCAAATTCCGTAGACAATTCTATTAAAATGTTCAATAGAAAATATTTTACACAACTTATTCTATTGAGATATTTTGTATACAACTTCCTGTGTTCAAATTTTCAAAGTTTTTCGTTTGATTTTATTGATGAAAAGACAAGAAATATACAATAAAAAAAATCGAATATTTGAGCCGAGGAAATTCTATAAAAAATATCTCTGTAATTGGCTAATATAACAACTCCAATTTTTCAGGGATACTGATAGGTAAATATTACATTTTTATATTTCGACGTAGTTTGGGTCAGAAACTGGTTGCTATAAATGAATTATATCAATAAGTTTTATAGAAAAATCGAATTCGCTAGGTTTTTCTATTAAATTCTTCGTTCGACCTTTAGAATCTAAGTTTAGATATTCTCTCTGAATTGACGTATGTCGAAGGTATGACACGAAACTTCCTCAGTTTTTAGCATTCCCGATGGATGCAGATTAGTATTAAAGTGACCAGTAAAAAATAAACAAAAAGAAGAGGGATAAAAACATGGGAGCAGTACCTTGAGACACAAACGGATGAAATAAACATTATTACAATTGCAAATAGAGAAATCGTCAATAGTGTTGCATTCTAATTAATTTTTGTTTTCATAAAAAAGTCGCGTGGTAAAACTCAACTCATAACATGTCATCTCTTTCCAACAGAAGCAATCGAACTATCACGCGAGTCCAAAAAACTGTCGACCCCTTTACTATTTTATATAATTCATGGCGTCATTGCAAGTCAATTGGAGTCTGCGAATAATTACAAGATGAATATCTAAATCGGTATAATTAATAGAATAAAAACATGAATAACATCATACTCACATTCAATTTGTAATTCTTTGATGAAAAGAAACGTAATAAAAAACTTTCCACAATTTGATTTGTGCTCTTGATCTGTATCTACTAATGAATTTCAATTTAATCGTACACTTTGAAATATTCAAAGTAGTGTGAACACTTTCAGTATTTTCCGAAGATTTTAATAATTCACTGGTGAAGTCTGGATCGAAAAAAATATGTTGATGTATTCCACATATTTGAAAGTGGGAATACAAATATTTATGGATTTTTCATTCCCGAAGTTTTCGTGTGAAAGGACAAAATACAAAACGGCGGGGATTCCCTTACTATGCGACCACTTGACCGTTAATCATTCAAATTTCGGCGTATACATGGGCTTTATGAACGCAATTTTGTCCGTTACCCCTCGCCCTGTTGACAATCTACTAGCCAACAAAGGAAGCCGTATTTATCTACACTAAACTCCCAAAAATACGGTCTTGAAGTCTCATCGAGCTTTGCCGTTAATGTGTTGAATAAATCATCGATAAAAACAATTGGCGCGATGTCTATCACTATCCAACGTACACCATGTTTCATGTTTTGTCTCTCTCGAAAATAACCTCACTAACTTGACCATTTTCGCTCCACTCACCCGCGCGCCCACTCCGTTTCGTTCTACTGAGGAGTTCAGCGTCTCGCGTCGCGGCTGGAGGGGGGGGGGGAGCGAAACAAAGGAACGAATTTCCCATGATGCTCACTGACATTCGAATCACGCGCCTGCGAGTGAGGACCCGAATCTCATAATTTTCCGACCAATTTGTTCAAATAACTTTCTTATAAAATCTGAAAAAAATCTGAAACTTATACGTGTTCTCAAGAAAGATTTGATTCATCACCCACTAGTTTTTCCTCAATAGTTCATTATTTTTTTGGGTGCCATGAAAATTTTCCTAATTGGGGGTGGGGTAAGCACGGAGGTTATAGCTGGAGGGGTTACAAAAACATCCAAATTTCATTATTTTTTTTCTTGAGACTGAGATCTGAAAAAAATGTGCAAAAATTCTCAATGATGCAGCGTATTCACACATTTCTTCCATGAATTTTCCCATTTTTTTGAATTATTATTTTGACTTTTTACACGAAACACCTCAAATTCATCCCTGCCGATTGTCAATCCCCTCCAGAGCCCGCAATACAACACGTGTGCGCGCGTTGGTAAACATCGCGTGTCAGTCTGCTCCGGAATGAAAACTTATTCTTGAATCCAATATTTAATATTTAAGTAGCAATAATAATACTCGTAAAAAAATGAATCTGCGCGAAAGATTTACGAAGAAGCACACGGAGTTTCCGATTGAGAAAGAAAAAAGGACACGCTGGACTGACGAGGACAAGGAGAAGCTGCTGAGCGCCCTCAAGAAGTATGGTTATAAGGACATTGATAAAATTTGTAAGGACGTGCCGAATAAAACCAAGGGAGCTGTGAGGACATTTATCAGTAAACTTAACAAGGAGGCTCGAGCCTCGTCTTATCTCAGGGAGAGACATGTTGCGCATTGGGTGCACACCGGGAGTATACAAGCGCCAGATACAGTCGTGTCGCAAGCCCTCAAGTTTATTTCTCTGTTTGAGGAGCATCCTCAGCCTGATGAGTGTGCCGGCTGTGATTTTAGGTATTCCATTTGCAATTTTAGACAATTACCTCTGAAATACCTTATCAAATTATTAAAATTGTCAAGAAAAACAGATGAAAATGGGCTTCTATGAATTTCGTTGAAAAAATCGGTTAGCCTCTTGAATAGTCAATGAAATGCTCATTTTTCCGTGTCTATACTACAGTGAAACTCATTCAAAATTGTAGAAATTCGAGTTGTCATTGAAATATCCATGATGCCTTGATACGAAAATCTACATTTTGTTGGATTTCCTATTCGAATTCCGTAACTTGAATTTTCTAATTTTTTTCCCCTCTTTTCGCCCCCTTTAATAAAAACAATCAAAGGAAAAATTTTGGAAATCCCTATAGTCATTGGAATATCCATGATGCCTTGAAATGAAAATCTACATTTTGTTCAATTTCACTTCATAACACCGAAAAATCACACTTCGATATTATAATTGAGTTTGTAAAACTTTCTAAGTGTGTCATTGCTATTTGAGAAGCATCTCCAGTCTGACGAGGGTGCGAGCGGCGATTTTAGGCATCCTAAATGCACTCTTCGGAAATTGTCTTTGAAAATAGATTAAAAAATTGTAAACACCAATTCGTATCCAAGAGATTTTCATGAAGGTTGTTATTAACGAGTCGATTAATGTCTTGAATATTCAGTGAAACTCCAATTTGCAGATCTACAAAATAATGAAAAGTATTCAAAATTGTGGAAATTCATGTAACTATGGCACGTAATGCTCAATTTATTGGAAATTCAATTGAATGTATTACCCATGAAAAGATATGTTATTCTTTTGTTTGAAATTACCGAAAGTGAGGTAAAAATCTATCCAAACATGTGAAGAACACGTCAATAAATCTCTTCGGTTCTTCACACGTAAGATTTAGTGTTCGAAAGCTAGTACATGCACGATAAATTCTAATAATGCTTCTAAAATATCCACAAAATAATAAAATAATTCTCATAATGCTCCTAAAATCCCAAATAGATGCTCATGACAATGTTCTTGACTTTCAGAGCACTCTACGCTGTATTATCAAAAGTCACCCTAGGGCATCCCCCTGTAGACATCTCCAGAATGACCCACGAGACGATTTCCTACGTGATGGCCAAGGTAATCCACGAAGTGTGGCCCTACCACCAACCCGAGATCACTGAATACATCGAGAACATGGAGCAAAAGAAGACTCGCAAGACCTACTCTCGACGTTCTCCGAGAGTTGTGGTACCTAAGGTGGAGAGCGATCACCTTCCTTAAAGTTTGTTTTCCATCATTAATCTAGAGGCACAATTCAAATTGCACATTCAACTCATTGTTCATTTATTTACCTCGATATTTAATCTCATATATCTATTATTGTATTGTATATAATTCATAATTACAATTAAATGAGAGGAATTGTGATAACAATTGAACATTGAATGATTTCTTATGTTCACATAAAAATTACTGGAATAATGACCGATGATTATTTGTGTCTGGGGGTGGGCAGTTGATGTTGAATGGGATTTGTGCGTGAAATTAGGGATGATGGTCCTTTATATAAAATAACATGATTATGTGAACATCTAATTGACCTTCCCCATAGAGGAATGATAGTTATAAAGATATCTTCAGTGCAACGATTTTCTGGATTAGATTTATGTACAATTGTGGGAAACTCAGTGACCCTTAGGCAATCTTCGATTTTTTTTCGTTAATCTTTTGACAACATGTATATTTGGGAAATTTTTCTACTCAAATGTTGCACAATTAATTAGTGAATTCGTTAGAATTAGCTGTAGTTAATCCTTCAAGATCTCCCAGGCGTCCTCCTCGGCTTTTGAGGTCGTGTTCCAGGTTTTTACCTCGGGTTTTGCATCGAAATCGATGAGAGAGGCTTCTTTCACTTTTTTCTCTCTTGACTTTTTCGCTAGTTGTTTTGATTCGGGGGAACTGCCGTTCGAGGGCTTCGGCGAGCTTCCCCAGTCCCAGTCTTGGGTTGGAGAGCTAGTGCTTGAGGCACCCCTGGAATATTTGGTTTAATTAATTTCCGAGTTTTTTCTGATTTTCTTATTTACATTTAATTAGTTTTTATTAATTTCTTTCATTGATTTGTTCATCTTCTTCGAAGATATTTTTCGAAAACTCGTCATAAAATTGAATTGATTTATCTTGTTTTATTATTTTGTTATTTATTTTAACTTGCACATGTCAATAAATCAAGAAGTTTCATGCTTGGAATTTTCTTCCTCTATATTCGTTTGACTATTTTGCTAGATATTCTACGTTTGAATTCCTAATTACCTGGAATTAGAATTGAAGAGTGACGAATTTTCATTGGAATATGTCCCTTGATAACCGCTCTGATACGTTCCTAAATTCTGATAATTGTCCTGAGTATCGTACTGCGGTCCACAATGCTGTGTACAAGAATTTGAACCAGCAATGTCTCCCCAACCACGTCTACCCAAGTCTCCCACCTAAAAATACCACTAATCTCATAAATTGTTCAATTACCATTGGCGTAAAATCAAATCGGTACAAAAATTGAAATAAAATAATAAATGAATAGGGACCTTAGAGGCCAAGTTATTGACTTGTGCTCCAACATCTTCCAGTAGAGTTCCATCTCGCACCTAATTACTCGCAAATTAAATCAATAAATTAAAACCAAAACGAAATTAAATGGACTTTGAACTCAGGAGAATAAACAGAAATTAATTGAAGGTTTGTTTCGGGATTGATCATACCTTCTGGGAAGCAATCCCTCCAATTTTTATAGCATTTTCTGTTGCTTTAGAAGCTACCTTTGATGCTGTTGATGAGAATATCGACCATCCCTAAAAATAATTAACTTCATTAGGAATTCTAGCATTGAATCTGTAACAAAGTATCGAAACGTGATCTGTAATTTTGGATTAATGTTGAAAACGTGTGGTTTTAGGGTAAAATGACAAAGGATCTTGTTTTTAGCTAATAAAATATTTAATGGAAATGTTTAGAAATTTTACGCATGATAAAATTGAATAGAAAGCCTTAACGTTTTGGCTAGAGTATTCTGTTGGATGTTGTATAAGTTTTTCAAATTGTATATTTCCGAACAGAAATCGACAAAAAAATAATAAAAAAATCATGAGAATTCTACTAGAATTTGAATAAATTATCAGAAGAATATCCTAACAAATACGTTAGGTTTTCTATTGAATTTATTTACTATTTTTTTTCTTGTTTCACGAATTATTGAGACAGTTTGATATTTAACTAATAACGAAGAATTTATTTGTTCTATTATGCTCCACGATTTCAATACTATTAATACCGGATAGATATTTACACTAGCTAACGAGGATACGGCAGTGTCGAAAAATTCTTGAGACGAGCTCTTAGGTGGTGCATCCATCTGATACCCAAATCCACTGTATTTTCCTCCTTGATTCGGTGGCAAGTCACTAAAGAAAAGAAAACAACATCATTAACGTATTCTCCTCCCCTCATAATCCGTAATTATCCAGAAGAAATCAACAAAAGTGCTCCATACTCAGGCCTATTTGCATTTTCATTCTGCACTCTATTGAAGAAAGACTCGGTCTGCGCCTTGAAAGCACTGGTATTCATATTCTGATAGGAGCCTTGTGTGTCCTTCTGGTAAGAATTATAATCTTGATTGCTGTTATCGATGTAGGAGGATACAAACTCCTTGGCTTTCGACGCACTAGGGCTCCATGATTCTCCACGTGCTAAAGTTGCAATCTGAAATATTTCATGTCATTTTTATTCCGTGAAAATCCAAATTCCAGTAACAAATTGAAATATGCTGAGTTCTAAGAAAATCAGAATTAGAAATTGTTTTCATTAATGGGAGATAGGCTCATAACTCAAGACAAATTTTATCAAATAAAGTCAATCTAATAAAACTGACGTTCTCGACTGTTTTTTAGTTATTAAAATTCTTTTGGGCCATCCATCGAGCTCGGGATGAATTCTCAATGAGTTGTCATCAGTTATTTTTTATGTTCTATCCTAAGTAAGAGTTTCAGACTTTTATACTGCATTTCGGATTTCAACAGTAGTCATTTAATCCTATAATTACTATTTTTGTATTTAGAATTTCTTTTCGAACAAAAAATTCACCTCATTCTTGCGATTTTTTTGTTTCTGCTGACCTAAACATGGCTCAAACGAATTTTAATAAATTGGGAACAATTGTTTTTTCATGAAAAAAAATCCTATTCCATTGAAAATTAAATGAGCTCAATTTGCCTCACTAGCCCTTAATTAATTTCGTTCACAAGTACTTTATCTCTGTAGAGAGCAGCAGCTCTAGTGTTGTATTTCCTCGAAATGGGCATGGAGTCGTCCCAGTCAGGTTGTTCCTCGAAGAAGATCCTCGCGTTCCTGTTCCCCCCGACCTTCATCTTCTCCAGCTCCAGATCCTTCCACTTGTCCATCGATATTGACCTGACGAATGACAGATGAACCCCCAGACCCCTGTGTTTCCCCGAGCACTCGAGGCAGATCCATATTCCATAGGTCACAGACACCCACTGGGGATTGTGTGCACCGCACTCGAAGCATTTCTGAGGAGATTCACCAGTCAAATAGTGAAACAGCTGTGAATGGAGGAATCAGTGCGGAGACTTACGGTGTTCTCGTTGTTGGGCTTGAGTTCACCCAGAACTCTCCTCGTCCGGGGACTTGCCATGATCACACACCGATACAAATCACTTTAATCGTTCAATCGTGACTGGATGGCACCTGCCAAAGGGTCAGTGATAGAAAAAATAAATAAAAAAAATTGTCTACTTTGGCAAGCTCGGCAGAGAGCCTTTGAATGTATTCGAGGTTGGAATTCACTGTCCACGTTCACAAGTATCCATTTTTTCGTGACATTGTTGGTGCTCACGTGGTCGGACAGATGTCCCAAGTGTTTTGACAGAATTTCAAATGTTTTGGGGGTGTGCATTTTGAGCTAGACTAGAAATTACAATTAAATAGTGAATGTTCTGCATTCTGATTCATTTTAGCATTATCAAGTCATTCGTTGTTTATGAATAGATAATTGAAATTGTTTAAGCTTTAGGAAATCTTATTTGTTTAGGCATCAATTTGATTTGTGATAAAATTCTGAATATGAATAAATTCACTATTAAATTGACTATTATTATGAATAATAATAATCCGATAAAATTTTTAGTCTCCAATTCTCAATTTCTGTTATTTATTCTATTCATTCTTTGAAAAGACACGGATAGAAATCGAATTTATGGGTATTGTTTCAATTTTTTAATTATTTCATCAGTCTTCCCCCACATGTGAACTTTCTAATTTTTTCCGATTTTTAAAATGTTTTCTAACGGTTTAATATTTTTATGAAAATCGATTTCTCCAAATTTCTCACTTCCTAGTAACAATTTCAAAAAACCTAGGGAATAATTGTCACATCCGATTGGACTTTGACCGACGAGTCAAACTTCTGATGTTTTTACGAACGTCACAAGCTTTGAAAACCCCACCCAATGCTTCCCCCACCCCATGACAAATGCAACTTTTACTTCCGGTTGAAGGTTCGGGCACCATCGTGGCGGAGGATTTTTTCGGATTTATTCAGTATTTCTCCGTAGTAGTGACTGTGTGGTTATACCCCCCTCTCAACACAACTCCACATCCCCCCGTATTGAGTTGAAAAAAAACGTTACGTTGAAGTTAATATTCAATCAGTACAAAACAAATTGCAATTTGCAGTCATATATCTCCGAGGGATATATTTTGTTTGTCGTATGTCCATCCAGAATCTTAACACATTCGGTGAGTGCTGAAATTATCGAGTGTAAAACACGTTTTATTTGATTGACGAATGGTTTTTATCAAAATGGCGGCTAGGGTAGCGTCTTCACCTTGCATCATAGCGCGCAATTGAGACAGATTGATGACTCCTGCAATTCAATGATTCTCAAAAATTTTTTCTCCCAACGAAATATTTTATTCCACACGCTACACCGTCCGGCGCCATTTTGACTGCCTGGGAATGCAAAAAATCTCTTTTTTTCTCAATTCCAATTTTTTTATTTTCATTTTTCCCTGCAGACCCCTTTGCAGATGCAATCAAGGGTTCAGATGATGACGTCCAAGACGGTCTCGTGCATATAAGAATCCAGCAGCGGAATGGTCGCAAGACCCTAACAACGGTACAAGGACTCTCTTCGGAATATGACTTGAAAAAAATTGTACGGGCATGTAAAAAGGTGAGGGATCCCAAAATCAAAATTTCACTCTAAAAAATACTAACTCAGTCGTCTGGTGTCACTCCACTGGCTGGAGGACAGCATCTATAAATAGAATGACGCGAGACATTTTTTTTCTCAAGAACAAAGAAGATACAATTTGTGTATCGAACGTGCATGAGTTGAGCGTGATTCGCTAAAATATTACTCGTTGGTCTGCGAAATGCGTCAGTGTGCGTTAGCGTTTGTCTTTCGATTCCGTCTCATTAACTTGACCTTCGGAGTTTCGAGATGTGTGGACGGACTGATAATTGCGCCTGCAATTTATCTACTGGGAATTTTCGCAAAATCACTTGACATTTCTTTTCTAATGTTTGTTCTATATTTAGACAATGCCCTTGGCCCCAATACAGCTTTCTAGCGTATTCCCACAATAGTGTGGGGGGCTCTATTGTCCACCAAATTGAGTTTCATTGATTCATCGTTTGCCCTTGGAATTCATCAGATATAGTAATTAAAAGCCTTTGGGAAATTTATTAAATTGATTTGTTTCGTGCTGAGGTCGCGTGCGGCTTGTGAAGCATAATTTGGTTGCTCGATTACGCCTACAATTTCCTTGGGACATTAATTATGGGAGGACTTATGGGTGGTAGAAGGGAACGAAACTATTTTACTTGGAAATGCGGTGAAATTGAAGATGTGTTACGAGAGTAGTTCATTTATTGAAAAGATTTTCATGAAAATTTCGATATCTTCTTTGGATTCAGAGATGTGTAATGAAAACTCATGCCTAAATTCCATTTATTTATTTACATTAATACCTTCCATTCATTTATCATTTTATTTATTTATTTATTTACTTATTGTGTGCTGAAATCTAAGAGCATGACGTCAACACTGTTGAAAAGGAATTGAAATTTCATGAACTCTAATGTTGATGAGCCACGAGACGCCAATAGAGGCGCAGGAGAAGGGAACACGCGCTCGTACCGAGAAACGGCGAAGTGGGGACGCTTTGAACAGCATTAGAGGGTCAAATTCGATTCGATTTAGGGGGAAAAATAATTCAATTTCGGATTTTGCTGAAAACTATGAAATTTCAACATTTTGAACAGCAGAACGACAATTTCCAAAATTACTTGAATTGTCAATTACTTGAGAGTTCAAGAATATTGTTTCCTGATTTCTATTAATGTCCATGAAATAATTGAACTGAAATTTGTAGTTTCCATTGATTTCATCATAAAACAGCGAATAATAAGATTAAATCATTACATAAAATATGAACAATTATTCAAAGTTATGGGAATTTAAATTATCTCAACATCAATTTATGTTGTTCTTTGGTTATTGTCAATAACTCGAGATTGACAGAGTGGAATTTCATAATTTTTTTTTCATTTCAATGGTATTTTCTCAGGCCTCAAAAAGAGACCTGTTTTATTCAAATAATGTCACTTGCACATCCGATATTGACGTTTCAAAAAGGTTCATTTTACCTCACCTTGGCCTGGATATCTCTATATAATTTGAGATGTCCATTTCTCCGGAATAGAATCCTCTCAAAAATTTGCGAATCGTCTGTAAACCTACAATTTTCCGATGCAGATAATATGTCAAAATACTCCAGACTTTTCTAGCATTATCACCTAAATGTTGATTTCCGCATGAAAAATATTATAAACTTGAATTCAGAACGAAATTAGAATGACCACAACTCACTAATTTACAGGAGTTCGCCTGCAATGGGACTGTAATCGAGCACCCGGAGTACGGGGAGGTGCTGCAGCTGCAGGGGGACCAGCGTGAAAATATATGCCAGTGGTTAACCAAATCAGGTCTAGCCAAACCTGACCAGCTCAAGGTTCACGGTTTTTAAATCAACGGTAAAAGCAAATAAAAAAGAAACACAATAAAAACAACAAGAACAACAACAACAAGTTCCTAAAAGTTGAAAAAAAATCCCAATATCCAAATGCCACACAACCTTGAGAAAGCTCCACCGTCACAAAACACCTCAATTCATCATTAAATTTATCTGTAATCAGTCACAAACTACTTGTTGATACTTCGTGGGAAATACTCCCTCCCCCCAATTTCCATTATATACGCATATATATTTCAATAAAAAGATTATAAAAAGCATCAACCAACAAAGAGGCGTAAAAGTGAAAAAAAAGTAAACACGTAATAAGTAAAAGAAGAAACTACAAAGGAACTATTATACATTATCATATAGGCACAATATTTCTAATCCGAGAAGAATAAAATTTTGTAATAATTATAGTGAAAGCAATATTTTACAGCCTTATGTTAGATGATCCGCTGAACTTGGTCACACTTGGATTAATAGTGTTATTAGACAAATTTTTGAGATAATTATTGTACAAGAGGTAGATACACGTAGCGACGGATGGATCAACAATATCTTGTTAGATAGTATGTATCTGGGCGCGATTGATGTGTTCAGAGAGTTTAACTGGTGAACGTATAACAATTTTAAAAAAAACATAAATTTTGCAAGATAAATTGAATTGAAAACCAACAAAAAACAAAGCGTAGCGATGAACAAGAATAAACGAAGAAGAAAATCATTTTAATGTAGAGAAATCCATAAAATTTGGCTTAATTACTTCTCTCATTTGTAACTACCGCTTTGCATTAATTCTGAAGGGGAAAAAATCCAGAAAAACTACAGTAATTGATTAGAATAAATGATAAAAGACAACAAACTTGGTGTTTGTGCTTAAATGACTCCACGATGATAACAATTCTCTCAAACTTTTGTGCCTTTGATTCCACGTTGTATTATTTATCGAGTTATAACAGATAAAATTTAATAAATGATTTTCCCACATCTTTACGTTATGAAGTTCATAGTGGAGAATAAGCTGTTCTCTTATTTGTTCTTTTAACATTTTTCTTTTTTTACCATCATTGTCATATTGAATTTGTTCATTACTTTTGATTTTTTCAAGTTATTCAATTGAATTGTGGCTCTTAGAAATAAATAAAAGGCAATTCGCTAGACTGAATTAAATCATGTGTTCATTTTATTGATGAATTAATAAAATGGAATTGTGCAAAATTTTTGTACGTGACTATTTGAATCGCTTGATAAGAGAGTCATTCAGATGTTACCAGGCTGTCTTGTAATATTCGGTTTTTATCATTTGATATTTGTAATCAGAGAAAAAGTGGAGTAACAGAAAATTAGAAAATTTATTTTGAGCGACTCCTACAGGAAAGGTCTCAGTAGAAAAATCTACCGAGGAAAGTCATTTCTATTGAACATTTTCCATTGAAGAAATGTGTGGAAAAGCTGCGGCATTTTTCGATCGAATCGGAAAAAATGATAGAATTTTTAGTAGAAATTCAATAGAACTCCAATTACTGTAATGGTTGTAAATATGAGGAATCTCTCTTTCTTCGGGTGCGGTATTCAGGAATTTGGACCACAATCATCTAGTCTACTGAAACAACTAAAAAAGTTGAGGTTTCTGGAGTTGAAGAGAGTTTGGTTTCCCATTTTATTGATCCGAAATGCTCATTTCACTTGTATTTCTCAACATTTGAGGGCTCTCTGAGGTTCCAAGGATTTTATTCATAATTCTAAAACAATTAAAATTGTGTGAATGAATGAATAGAACGGAATTGTGTGAAGTTTTGTATTTTGTCATTTTGAACCGTTTGATAAGTGAGAGAAATTCGGCTGTTATCTGGATTTATTTGATAATATTCAGAGTTTTTCGCTCAATTTTTTTTATTAAATGAAAGAAATAGAAGAAGTCAATAGAAAAATTCATAGGGGGAGATCAAATTTTACTGATTTTCCCGATAAAATAGTTCCTATTGAACATTTCCTATTTAAAAACACGTAAAAAGCTGCGGAATTTTTTGATAGAATCAGCCAAAAGCTGATAGAAGCTCAAATCGAAATCCAATTAGTGAAATGGCCATAAAAATGGGAAACTTCTCTTTCTTCGAGTGGATTATCAGAGAATTTTGGACCACAATCATCTATCGAAACAATTCAAAAAGTCAATCTGCAATTAACATTCAGCGCCAGACGAAATTTTCTATTTCTCTGTAGAAAAGAGGATTCAGTTTCCAACTTTATTAATCACAAATACTCATTTCATTTTCATTTCTCAATATTTGAGGGTTCTATGAGACTTCCAAGCATTTTATTCATAACTACAAAACAATCGAACTTGTTTGAATGAATAAATTAATAGAATGGAACTGTGCACAATTCCGTACGTGACTAATTGAGCCTCTTGCTAAGAGAGAAATTCAACTGTTACCCGAATGTGACAACCGTCACAATATTCGGAGTTTTTTCGTGTGATTTTTGTAATAAAAGAAGAAAAAATGGAGTGAAAAAATAGGGTATCAGGGTCGGTTGCTCCAGTCCTGTTAGCCAAATAAATCGTCAGAATAAATTTATGTCTGGAGTAAATTTATCCCACATTCGGGAAATTTTAGGAATTCGTTGTAGTGGGCTTTCAGCCATCGGTCAAAAATATCGACTAAATACTTCAAAATTAGTGGTATTATTGGCAAATAGTGATGATACCTCGATACACCACGTTTTTTGTGAAATAACTTCGATGAACTTTCGATCAAAATTTATCGGCAGTTTATTTTTATTTATTTCGATTCTTAACTGAGGATTTCCATAACTTGACTTGGTGCAACCGGACCTCACTAGAAAAATTCGTATAAGAAGATAAAATTTTGTTGATTTTTTCGACACAATAGTTCTATTGAATATTTTCTATCAAAAACACGTAAAAAAGCTGCAGAATTTTTCGACAGAATCGGCGAAAAACTGACAGAATTTAGCTAAAACTTCTACTTGAACCGCTTGGTAAGAGAGAAAAATTAAGCTTTTACCAGGATGTATCATTTTACACGGGATTTCCCCATTCTGCTGATGCTAATGTCAACCGAGTTAAGAAAAACCGGTTTACACGTACGTGATAATGCCGCAGAGCTAAAAATGAGAAGAAAGAAAAAATAATAATGAATGATATTTTTAGTTCGATGATTTATGGATAACTGATAAGAAACAATGCCGATTGTTGTGACGCCCAGATCTTTTGGAAAGGTGATCGAGATAATTGAAACGTGCAAGTGTTCATGATGTCATATAACAGACATTATGGAATGCAGAGTTGAAATAAGAGCCGTTTTTCCATCCACAGACGCTAATATTAAATTCCAGAGTGCGTGCGCCATCGAATTCCACGAGAATGACGATAATCGCGTGAGAATGATTCGTTGAATTATTACGAGTGCTCGGAGGAGAATCTATTCATTGTTACATCGTTCATTTTTTTTTCTCTCTCTCCCTCTCCCTTAGTTTAACATTTGCCTTTGACAATGAGGTAAGAATGATGAGAATGAAAAAAAAGGTGAGTATGAACGGTGCGACAGAAATTCCAGACGCATTCCTCGGGGGCCTCGCAGAAAATGTAATGATGCTGAGTCTCGTTCATATGTTCACGCACGACATGATTTCGTTGAAAAACCTAGTGAATTCACTGGAAAATTGTGTTGGAGTTTTCTATCGAAAACTCCATGAGTTTTTCATTTATTTATTTTTCGAATTCCGCAATATGTGCAGCTTTTAAATAGCAAATGGTCTATTTCATATTTCTATACAGCTTTTTATATTGAAATATTGCCTATAGAAATTCCTTACATGAATTTTCAGATTTTTTTTCGCTCTATTTTTGTTTTCCCGGCATTGAAAAAACAAAAGAATTCTGGGAATTTGAGCCGAGGAATTTCTGCCGAATATATCTGAAGAAACTAGTTGCATAGGAGAATTATTCGATAAAATGATCTAAAAATTAATAGAATTTTCAATTCGCTAGATTTTGCTATAATTTTTTCCGTGCGTATTTTTTCGAGAATTCCGCAATATTGCAAATGCCGAATTTTATCTTTCTATACAGCTTGTTATATTAAGATATTGTCTCTATAAAATATAAATATTTCATATAAATTTTTCCCACTATATTTTTATTCTCTCTTCATTAAAAAAAGGAAATGAAATGAACGAAATTCTGGAAATTTGAGCGGAGGAATTTTTATAGAATACATCTAAATAAAATTACTTACGTAGTAGAATAAAATTGTATTGATTTTCTCCATAAAATATTCCGACAGCATAATTTCTCGATAAAATCGACTAAAAATCAATAGAATTTTCAATTAGCCCCATTTTTCTACAATTTATCCCGTACGTGTTATGTAAAAACCCCGCGGGGTATGCGGCGTGATTTCCAGTTGCTGATTTTTTATTTTTATTTCGAATAATATCGAGTGTTTGACAGTGATGTATCTATCACTCACGCCTTCCACCCCTTCCCCCTTATAATCAAAATTCCCAAGAAACGAAACAAAATCTTTCAAATTTCATTCCATCGAACGTAAAAAAATTTTAAATCCATTCGAATTATTTCTGATTAAATAATTGCAGCAATAATTATGTGATAATTGATTGATGTAAATACCACGAGGTACCACGCACTTCCGGTGTGAAATTTCAAACGCAACGGCGGGAGCACGAGGTAACGCCAACGTGCCTCAAAAAAAATCTAAAATTGCGCAAAATTCGTGATAAAAGGGGGAAAAAAATCCTCCATCAACTGAAAATTGTCCTATTCATCGTCATCGAGATGTCGCTGACAAACCCCCACATTTAATCCCCGGTGTATTAACACAGTTTGCGAGTACCCCCCCAAGTGTATAAAGCCCCCATAATGCACTTGGAGCCCACGGCATGTGCCTTTCAGTGTCGGCCATTTTGTAGTTTCCTTGAGAAATTGTGTGTTGAGTTGAATTCCTTCATCTCGGTAAGATTACAATAAATACCAAAAAAACTACATCCAAAGTAATATTAACATCATGACATTTAACAATCAACACCTCATCTAAACATTAAATCAATCGTCGTTACACCATTGTCATGCGGATAATAATGACGTAGATGAACGTATGTTACGTGATAAAATGATTAAACTTTAGTAAATGGTATGAAAAGGAGAGAAAAGAAGAAAAAAACGGCTCGAAAAATAGAAGGAGAAGGAGCGAGAGGGTTGAGGAGAGAAAGAGAGAGATAAACGAGAGAGACTGCGTATTATATACCTCGCTGTGTGTGTGTGTATCCAGCAGGGGGGGTGTGTGAGAGAGAGAAGGGGCAGGAGAGAAGGTACCGAGTGAATAAGGAAGAGGACATTCAAAAAGATCATAAATAAATTAACTGAAATAATCGTCAAAATTTTTGCCTGCTAAAAAATAATCATAGTTACATATCGAGGGGTGCGTTTTAAAAGGTGGACACACTGCGGGTACGTGTGATTATTAGTGTGTTGGGGCAACTCTACAGGGCCCAGGCCACACGATCACAGCCAATATTCGCCCCACACACCGAACGTGGAGTGAGAATGTGCCCAGTTAACCAGTAAAACCCGCCTGTAACCCCCCGTTAAAATATTCATCGTGATAAAATAGTATTATTATTTTTTATTTTTCTTTCGTTATCATTGAAAAGTGCAAACGGCCCAAAATAATCCCAAAAACCAAGGAGTCATTGAGCAGTGGAGGAATAAACGTGAGGAGTTGGCCAATTGCTATTGGGAATAACCCGAGGACTCGAGGAAAAAAAAAGATGGATTAATAAGGCGTGTTTTAACGGAAATAATAGCGCATTGGACATTATGAATGGTGATTTTGGTAATGACATTCGATACCACATTTTAGTGTTACTTCCGGACGAGTGCGGGTTGTCACCTTTTGCCCATTGCGTGTGTGTGATCATTGCTTAGAAGTGCCCCCGGCCAACCCAGTCTACCACTCTATATTTGGCCAAGTATACTCATCCCCCTAAACATATTGCATATCATTGACCATACAATATTATCGGTTGTAACATTGTCAATTGTGTTATGGGTAATTAATGGTGGTAGGATAACGTTATTTTACCGTGTGGATACTACGGTGTATGGATGCCAGCATTCGGATTAAACACACTGATACTATTGAGAGAGTCGAGGGTACAACCGAGTGATTCGTACGAGCTGAGTTATTTTATGGCATGTGGCAATGTTCCATCATTTCTGCATTTCACATTCTTTGGGGTTTTCTGGCTTATTTCAGGGGCTTTCACGGGGATTTTTCATGATTTTTGCTTTCAATATTTTCCACCCGATGATTTATGTAATTTTTCCATTGTGAAGTTTTTCTGGGGTCTTTATTGTTGGTTATTTTCGGTGGGTTGACGAATGTGGGAGTGATTCTGGATGTTTTGTAACCAGAGCACATCATTTGCGAACGAGAGTGCCTCATTCAGGCGTTTTAACGTCCGTGGGAGGGGGTTTTGGGGATTTTTCGTCGGTTTCGGGGGGATTTAGCCCTCGGTTTTGGGAATTTTGTTGGTTAAACGTGGGGTACATTGGGGATATATGATCGCAAGGCCTGGTCTTTGGGTTAATGCATGATGCAACATGGCTTTAGAGGAGAGAGAAAAAACGTATCTGTGCTAACGTATGTTGGGGGAAAAGTGAGAGTTTGAGTCTGTGTAGTTGGGGGTTTTCGGTTTGAGGGGTTGATTTTTACTGTTCGGGGGTTTTTGCGTCGATTTTTATCGCTCGCTTTCGCGCGGATTACTCGGGAATAAGGGACGAGGGGTCATATTTCAAGGTTATTCCCAGTGGTTTTAACGTTGAGCTGATGTTTTAGCATTGACATGTCCATTGATTTTTCACTTGGTTACAATTGACATTGAATTATTCCACATTATTCGCGATAATTGCATTAATGTGATTTAAATTACTCGGAAGAATTCTGTCGTCGTTATTATCATTGACTGAAGAAATCGTATTTTTGTGCAGGAGATAAGCTGATAAATCGTGTTCAATTGAGTATATGGAGCACTAGAGTCATTCCTTTTTTTCATTTTCAAACTGTAGTGTTAATGGGAAAATGGATTTTCAATACAGCCCAGGTGTAATCTTGATGAGGTTTTAATGGGGCTTTATCTTGATTATTGTTTCAGGGTACGTGTACATGAATGGAGACATTGGGAAGCTCCCACAAGGGGCGGTTTACCCAGCCACCCCTGAACCTCTGGGTTCAGTCGGTGGTGCTGTTGTTACAAGCCCATCAACACTAGATTACAGTGTCATGAACGGTGGACCAACAACTGGCGAACTGATGCTCGATCCAGGTATGGGTGGTATAGAGCCCACTGCTCAGCATACCATTGGATTGGGTGGTGCTGTTGGTGTTGGTTATGCACCAGTTGATGTTACTATTGGTGATGTACAGTTATCCCAAAATTCAATGACAGATATGCCGGTGACTGGTATACCATTGGATCAGCTTAAACAGATGCTCTCTTCGCAACTCGAATATTACTTCTCCAGGTTTGTTGAGGCAAATTTTATTGACAGGCTTTATTGATAGTTATTTGATGATGAATGGTTCCTGCTTGTGGATTGAGAACGAGTGATTTCAGGGGGAGAGTGGCAGGAGATTCAGTTGTTTTATTGTAGGAATTTTTAATTGAAGATTGTGTTTTGATTGCTTTCCTTCTGAAATTGATTATTGTTGGGGTGATTCAATGGTTTTTAGATGTTTCGGGTGGATGCAGTTGAGGGAGAAGGGGAAATATCTTTAGTTTTGAATTGTGCATTCTTCTGATTTTTAATAGAAGATTGTCTTGTAGTTGTTATTCTGAAATTACTGATTGTTGGGGGGATTCCATAGTGTTAGATGTTTAGTGTAGATGCAGTTGAGAGAAAGGAGAAAATGTCTTTAGTATTGAATTGTTAATTCATCTTGCTGATGAGAGATTCGAGCAAAAAAAAATTTAATAAACAAATTATTTCTGAGTTTTTTTTTTCTAAAATCAACGTTCATTAACAGGCTTCGGTAATAATAATTCAGTCATTGATGGCCGATAAATCATTCTGCTTTCGACTTGACAACAAGTGATTTCAGCAGGAAAACGTCAAGAGTTTAATTTTGTTGTGGCGGGGTTTTTAACAACAGATTATCTTTAATTGTTCTTCTGAAATTAGTGACTGTTGGGATGATTCAATAGTTTTTTTTAGATGTTTAGTGTAGTTGCAGTTGAGAGAAAGGAGAAAATATTTTTAATATTGAATTGTGCATTCATCTTCATGATGAGAGATTCTAGTAAAAAATTTAATAAAGAAATTATTTCTGAGTTTTTTTTCTAAAATCAACATTCATTCAAAAGCTTCAATAATAATAATTCAATCATTGATGGTCGATAAATCATTCTGCTTTCGACTTGATAACAAGTGATTTCAGCAGGAGAACCTTAAGAATTTTTTTTTTTTGGTGGAGGACTTTTCAATAAAAGATTGTCTTTTAATTGGTCTTCTTCTGAAATTTCTGACTATTGGGATCATTCAATAGTTCTAGATGTTTAGTGTAGATGCAGTTGAGAGAAAGGGGAAAATCATTAGTATTGGCTTATGCATTCATCTTGACAAAAAGAGGTTCAATCATAAAAAAAGTCGACAGATAAATGCTGTTGTTAAAGAATATTCAAATAAAGAAATGATCTCTGAGCTTTTTTCTAAAATTGACATTTATCAACAAGCTTCAATAATAATAATGCAATCATTGATGGTGGATGAATCATCCTGCTTTCATCGTTTTTTCGTCTTTTAATTGTTTTTTTTTTAATTACTGATTATTGGGACAATTGAATAGTTTTTGAGATGATTAGTGCAGATTTTGATCAGAGAAAGAGGAAAATATCTTTAGCCTTGAATTGTGAATTCATCTTGATGACAAGACATTCTATCATAAAAAATGTCGAGAGATAAATTCGGTCGCTAAAGGAAGTTCAAATAAAAAATGATCTCTCATCTTTCTTTCTGAAATCAACGGTTATTAACAAGCTTCAATAACAATAATGCAATCATTGATGGAGGATGAATCATTCTGCTTTCATCTTGATGATAAGTGATTTCAGCATGAGAATGTTAAGTTTTATTTTTTTGTTGAAGGAATTTTGAATAGAAAACCGTCTTTTAATTGTTTTTCTTTTGGAATTACTGATTCTTAGGATGATTAAATAATTTTCTTGCTTATTTTAAATGTAGTTCAGAGAAAGGGGACAATATAATTAGTATTGAGATGTGTATACTATCGGTATTGATTCTGTTTTACATTCTCGTATAAAAAAAGTCGAAAGATAATTTCCAGTGCTAAAGGAATCTCGAATAAAAAACTATCTCTCGGCTTTTTTCCTGAAATCACCGAGTTTTGAGGTGATTTAAGAATCATCATTATGGCCATTGTAGATGACATAGTTCAGGAGAAGGGGAAAATATAGTTAATATTAATTCATCTCGGTAACACGTGATTATTGTGTCAAAATGTCGAGAGATAATTTCTGGTGCTAGGGGAATTCAAATACAAAATTATCTCTTCGTTTATTCATTCTGAAACTACTGATTGTCGGGATGATTCAAGAGTTATTAAATGTTTCATTGTAGATGAAACAGTTTGAAGGAGGGAAACATTATGAGTATTTAATTGTGCATTCAACTCGATAAGAAGTGATTCTCGTGTAAAAAAATGTTGAGAGGTAATTTACGTCACTGAAGAATTTCCAATAAAGAACTATCTCTTGTCATTTTTCTTCTGAAATCACTGAGTCTTGGGATGATTAAAAAAGCATCGTATTCATTGTAGATAATTTTAGGATAAAAAAAAAGTCAAGATGTAATTTTTTCGGTGAAGAAATTCCAGATAAAGAACTATCGCTCGGCTTTTTTTCTAAAATGGCTAATTGTTGAAATGATTGAAGAGATATCCTCACTTTCATTGCACATAAAATAGTTTAGGGAGAGGAGAAAATATCACGAGTATTTAATTGTGCATTCATCTTAATAACACATAATTCTAGGATAAAAAAGTCAGGATATAATTTTTTCGCTGAACAAATTCCATATAAAAAACTGTCTTGATATTTTTTTTTAATGTCTGACTGTTGGACCGTTTGAAGAGTCATCACCAGTTCGATTGTACGCAAAACAGCTCAGGGATAGAGGAAAATATCATGACCATTTGATTGCACATTCACTTTGATAACACGTGATTCTCGTATAAAAATCTCGAGAGATAATTCCTGTGGGTAAAGAAATTTCAAATAAAAAAACTCTCCTGGCTCCTTCCCTGAACTCACCGATTGTTGGAGCGATTCAAGAGTTATCAATATGAAAGATAAAAATATCTTCAGAATTGAATTCTGTTTCATCTCGATAACAAGTGATTCCAGTGAAAAAATGTCGAGACATCATTTCTGTTGCAAAAAGAATTCCTCATGAAACTATTAATAGTTCTCAGACTGAGGAAAATATCATTAGAACTGAATGTTTGGATGGAAAACTGGAAGCTAACGACAACCAAACCTTATTGTTACAGAGAAAACTTAGCCAATGATACATATTTATTATCTCAAATGGATAATGATCAATATGTTCCTATATGGACGGTAGCAAACTTTAATCAAGTTAAAAAATTGACCAAGGACATTACGCTGATAACTGAGGTGCTACGTGAATCACCGAATGTTCAAGTTGATGAGGAAGGACAGAAAGTCAGGCCGAATCACAAACGATGTATAGTCATACTCCGGGAGATACCGGACAACACACCTCTGGAAGAAGTCAAAGTAATTATCAGTACCATTATCTCCTCCACTAAGTACTGCTGGTGTTAATTCAATTAAGACATCTCTCGGTTCTTCACTACAAGCGCGAAAAAAATTCGTAGAAAAGTTCTATTGAACTTCAATTGAAAATTAATCCAAGAAAGTTATTTTTTATATAAAACCTATCAATTTTGTCTATAAAATATTTTCTATTGAACATTTCCAAACCTCAAAGAAAGTTCAATAGATATCCAATCAAATTTCGATGAATCTTTGAATCTTTTGAATCTCTTCCGTATGTGTAGCTGGACAACAAAATTAAAACCATAACATTAAAATATTTCTTTGCATTTCCAGAATTTATTCTCAGGCGAGGGATGTCCAAGGCTCATATCGTGTGAGTTTGCCCACAACAGCTCCTGGTACGTGACTTTCGAGTCTGATGAGGACGCTCAGAAGGCCTACAGGTTTCTGCGCGAGGAAGTCAAAGAATTTCAGGTACATAAAGCAAATAAAAATCCCCCCTCCAATTATTCCCAAGAACAATGTACAAAATACTAATCATAATTAATTAATTTTGAATCATCAAGGGAAAGCCAATTATGGCGAGGATCAAAGCGAAACCAATGACAAACAGGCTACCAATACCAGCAGCAGTGCCTGGTGTTAGTGGTATTAAAAATGGCTATCGTACACCCCCACCTCCACCGGTGTACGATCCAAGCAGTTACCCACCTGGTCAGCCACTCTTCCGGTATACAAATGGCACGACCATGCCACAAACTACAATGCCGCCATATGCCAACCAGGTCCACGTCTACGTGAGTATTGTAAAAATTCTAACAATTACATGTTTACCAAATCAATCTATCAAGCATCAAAACAATCATAATAGCATTCTCCAACCACCCACCAACGAATGAATTTATGAATGCACTTTATCGATTTCACTAGCAGGTGCAGCATTAATTGAATAAATTCATTCACTGGTCTCCACTCAGCCCTAAACTCATTACCTCCGGTCAATTGACCCATCAATGTCGTCTACAATGTTATAACAACATTATTAGCAACTGCACTGTCCAGCATCGATGATGCACAAGCGATTCTTGTAGAAAAAATGTTGTTAGAGGAATTTTGAATAAAAAACTGTCTCTTGTTGATTGTTGGGATGATTCAAGAATTATCAAGAGTTTAATTTTAGATTTAATAGTTCTGGGAAAGGGAACAATACCGTCAGTACTGAATAATAAAGAATTCCGAGAACTAACTTTTGTTGGAGGAATTTAAAAGAGATTCCTTGAAAAAGGTCTCTTGGTTTCTTTATATTGTTGGGATGATTTAATGACTATCAAAAGTTCCATTACCGATTAAATACTTCACATAAAGGAGACAATATCACTAGCATTGAATGATGCATTCATATTGATATGTAACAAGTGACTAGTAAAAAAAAAATGTCGAGATGATTTCTGGTACTGAAGATATTTAAAATAAAAAATAATCTCCTGGCTTGTTTTCCTGGAGTCACTGTTTACTAGGTGATTCATGTTTTATCAAAAGTTTAATTACACATTAAATAGTTCACAGAAAGGGACGAATATCAGTAGGATTCAATTGTGCATTCATCTCGATAACAAGAGATTTTGTAAAAAAGTTGAGAGATAATTTCTGGTGCTGAAGGAATGTTAAATAAAAAAGCATCACTGACTGCCAGAATGATCCAAAAGTTATCAAGAGCTTCACTACAGATTAAATAATTCAGGGACGGGGGAATTTTTAACGTCGTACATTTATTTTGGTAACAAGTTATTCTACTAAAAAAAATGTTGAGTGATAATTCCTAGCGCTGGAATGATTAAAAATAAAAAACCATATCTTGTTTTCTTTTTCCTGGAATCTCTGGCTGTTGGGATGATTCAACAGTCAACAATCAAGTCTCATTGTAGATTAAACAGTCCCAAGAAAAAATAACAATATCATCAGCATTAAATTGAGAGACTCTAGTGCAAAAAATATCGAGCCAATTTTCCCTGCCGACGGAATATCCAAACTCATTACCTCCCCTCAATCACCCCATCAATATCTACAACGTAATAACAATATTTCCAGCACCAACCCTTCTATCCAGCATCGATGATGCACTGGGGTCCAGCCGCAGGTCCAGCCTACTTCGACATGACGACAAGTGTATTCGCGATGAACGGTCTAAATCCTCACAACTCATTCAAGCCTCACACGAGGTTCAATCCAAGAAATAGGCAAGTAAACATCCTCCCACCAGCCCCTTCGAAACCCACTCAATCCACCCACCTAACCGATAATTTCCAATTACAGCAGAAATAAACACAGAAATGGATCAGAACGTGGTGGAAGTACAATGGACAGTGGTGGTAATAGTAATATGGTACAAATGGCTCGCACAAGTCATCCACAGAAGAGCAATACTGGTGGACAGAGTGTAACAAATCCATTACCACCACCCCAAATTCAACAAATACCAATATCAAAAGCATCATCATCATCTTCCTATCAGCAATCAGGCACAAAATTTCATTCCTCACATTTAAGTGGAACTATACAAAATGTAACAAATACATCATCACAGATCAATGATACACAGTACAGTGTAATACATCATCATGGTACAAAAGTAACATCATCAACGACAACACCATCATCATCATCACAGGATGATAATACGAGTATTGAAAATACAATACAGTATACACGTCATCGTATGCCACGCAGGACCAAAGAACAGGAGACTGTTGGACTCACAAAGTCTAATAATAATAATAATAACAACAACAGTCAAATTAATCAATTGCGTGATAATCAAGTATCAACGCAGGCTGTTGCTAATACAACTGGAGCACAATACAGTAGAAGTATTGTGCAGTTTGATCTTGAGGCATCAGCATTTCCACCACTACCAGGTCTCGATGCTGATAATAAAATAAATAATTCAACGAGTGATACAACTGTTACAAATGACAGTTTACAATCGCAAAATAGATTGTCTGATGTTGTCAAGGGTACAGCTAAGCTCAAAACAACCAAGGATAAGGAACAATTGTCTAATCAACATAATCAACAGGGAATAATGATTAACAGTAGATCAACGAGTCCTGGTACAAGTGGTACAACATACGATTGTACAACTGTTAATGCAACGTCTATAACGAGTACAGCAGCTGTCACTGGTGGTGCTATGACGAGCACAAATCCCTCTGAATCATCAGACATCGCTCTCAGCACTATCACCCTCACTCCCCCGTCATCTCCCGATAAGTGAGTTGTGCTTTATTATTATAAAACAAAAATGAACGAAATGAAACGGTAAACGTATATATTAGGTATATACAGTAGGGTACATATTTATATATTCATTATATAGTTCACGTTTTTATTTTTTACGGTTTTTAACCCAACTTCGAGCTCCCCCTGGGATCCTGAGAGTATTTTAGGGATTTTCTTCTCTCTTTCGTTTCCAAGTCCCATTTTTAGGTCTTCTTTTCAAGATTTCGCTTTGAGAACTGAATGAGAATTTTGTCAGATTTTTATTGAACGTTTATTGGAAATTCTAGTGGTTTTCGGACGATTCTAATGGAAAATTCCCTAGTTTCACTGCGCTTTTTATAGACAATGTCCAGAAGAAATTTGAATAGAAAACCAGTAGGATTTCGTTTTTCTATACTTTTTATATTGAAACATTTTGTACGGAAATTCCTCGAAATGAATTTTCTTAGTTTTTTCTATTCTACTTGTCATGTCTTTTTTTAACAATCAAAAAAATTTAGAAGATTTCAGACGAGGAATTTCTGTAGAAAACATCTTAGTAGAATAAGTTGTACAGAAAAATCTAATTCTATTGATATTTTCGATCGAATATTTCCATTGAAAAAATGCAAAGATAAGCTGGAGAATTTCTCTATAGAATCGGCCAAAAATGCCTAGAAAGTTCAATAAAAATCCAATAGAATTTTCTATTGAATTCACTAAATTTTCATATAAAATTATTTTGTACGTGAATTGATGGTTTTTTCATACAATTTTTTTTCTTTTGATGTCGGAAAAGGGGAATTGAAAATGGGGAATCGATTGAAGGTCGAGTGGAAACAAAATTGAGAGAGAATTTTTTTTTAATTCGATTGAAATGAGAGAATTGTAAACGTGCGCACGTTACGAGGCCTGGGGAATGCTGAATAGTCTCTAACCGTCATTGGCTGCATTGCCTGCTATGCTATTATGATTATCCATTATTTAATTTTTGTTTTCTTCTCTCAAGAGAGAACTAGCCGGTGGACATTATTTTGTTCTCTGTATAATCGCTGAATGTCTCCACCTTGTAGTCTTTGTAAAAAATAAGTTGAGGTATAGATGAAGATAAAGGGATAGATCACCCCACTTTACTTGAATCATTAACAATGTTTCACTGAAATACTGTGGGCCGCATTGAAGCTCGTAATGGGCGTACATGGGATGCATGAGAAGAACGACATTATGAGTTTTACGAGATAATTCACAGATGTATAAAATTATTTCTCAGTAGTTCATTTTGTTATCTGAAAAAAAAAATCTGCTACGTTTCGTTGATTCTCAGTGTTGGGCACATTCTTATGATTTTTCTTTCGTTATTAACTCGTCTTGAATGAGGAATGAGTACCTCTGAGAGTTTTCTTTTTTTTTAATTTCTTTTAATTGCCGAATGGCTTGAAACACCTCGGACGTTTCCTTATTCTTCCAACTCTGGAAATTAGATCCATAATAAAGCACTGGTTGTGGGTCGAGTTACCACGAGTGAAAATTGTCCTCACGAATGCAGTGACACGTTAATATTTGAAATGAGAGGAATTTTACTATTTTCGTTCTTCAGTGAATTGCACTCGATTATTATTTTTTCCCCTTCTGTTATTATGATTTGCCATTTAATTTTAATTATTAATCGACACTTACTGTCTTTGTGTTTAGTTTTTATTATTATTTCATTGATGTTTCGAATAAGAGAGAGAGAGAGAGAGATGAATTATGAGAGGGAGAGAGTGCCTCGCTAACTGAACACTTCCGCTCGAGCTAAGACGTGAATTAGCATTGAAAAATATGAGCTATACACGTCTCCAAGTATTTTTTAATTCTCTGTTCTTTTCAGTGCGAGCATTTTGCGACATTTTTCGTTTTGACATGGCGAGGCATTCGTTCTGGTACAGTCAATAGTTGAATAAACGATGAGAAGAATCGTATGATAATTTTTTTTCAAGTGTGGTAATATGTATGTATGCAGTACTATGTGGTAGGTCTTGAAGAGAAATTTATCAGTAGGCAGAGGTAATTTTCTTGCTCTGTTCTGCCACGAGTATAAACTACGAATGAAAGAATTTGATTAGATAATTATAAACAATACATAGGGACTACTATAATTATTCAGGGTTCTCTAATATTAGTGCTACGATAATTCGATTAATTGTTTCGGTTTCACGTTACTTTTAAAAGCATTTTATGATTTATGAGAAAAAACAAACGAGTGATGAAAAATTATAGAAAACCCCAAAAAAATGAGTTTATAGTTTTTAAAGTATGATTTAAGCTGTATTTTTTTCGCCTTTCGTAATACAAATAGACGAGAATTGAAGAGAGAAATATAATTTGAGGACATGAAAGAACAAACAAGCATGGTTCATTATTATTTGGTAATGAGAGTATAGAATCATTGTCAATGGAAGTTAATAAATGATGTGTACTGGTTTGTTAACCGTGTGTTGCAACCTGGCAAGAATACCTCCCCGTCAATCATTCGGTGGGGAGAATATATTGAATAAAATAATTTGTTAAATTATCCAGAGGAATTTTTTCAAAATTTTGTTGCATGGGCCTTCCGGTAACGGTCGAAGACATCTTCTTGTGTTCGATATGAAATAATTGAAACGTTAAAAATCATCATCTTCCGCGTAATTTAAGTAAAGTTAAACTTAGGAATTATTATTACTGTGTAAAATTATTCGAACGCTCAGGTTTAGTCGTTTATTATTGAAAAATCAACCGCTGACAGATCTATAAAGACTGATGACACGAACATGGTGAATGGTGTGGATGAGGCCATAAGTACAAATGCGCATGCGGCAGAAGAGTCTGAGACGGTAACGAGGTGCGATTGTGACATCCCTACTGCCCCACAGAATCCTCAGTCACAAACTGGAGTGGCCTCGGCCTTTCCCTTAGTAAGTAATCATCAAATAATGCTTGACAAGATTATTTATATTGTTTTTTAATCGATATAAGGCAAGGGTGATGATTATCTTCTGAACGTTATCTCGATTGTTTTTTCATCTTTATAATCTAAAGTATTTCCCGATTTTCAGGTGATTTTACATCACGCGGGAATCCCTAAAATTATGATTGCACGAAAAAAAAGTAGAAAGAAGCATAATATTTTCAGGAAATGTCCAATAGGGAGGAAATTGCAAACTAATAATTTATATCCCAATATTATTTGAAAATTCTCTAAAAATGTCAATTTTTTTCTTTTTTTTATTGTACAATCGTAATTTTTGGGGACTTCAGCGCTATGTAAAGGGTGAAAGACAATTAAAGAATATGTTAGATTACGAATATCTAAGTATTTTTTACAGTTTGGTGCAAACCACACTGTAGACTCATTTTCAATCATCAAATTTGTCGATTAAATTTCGTGAGAAAAATTTGAAAAAAAATCATGAATATTCAGCGTCATTCAAATTACATTTTGCACAGAATGATTATTTTTCAACCATTCTTTGTTTATAAATAAATAATTGAAATTGTTTCAACTTTCGGAAACCTAATTTTTTTAGGCATGAAATCGATTTCTGGTAAAATTCTGAATATGACTATGGTTTATGGTTTATTCTAAATAAATTTGCTACGATACCGATCAAATGGAGGAAAATTGATTGTTTATAAATTATTTATAAAAAATGCTCGTAATTTTCAAAATTGAACTTTTAAAATTATTTCATCAATCTTCCTCCAAAAGTAAGCTTTATAATTTTTTTTCAGATTAAAAAAATGTTTTTTAACGGTTCAATTTCGAAATTCAAATTCAGACCTGCAAAGTTTAATTAATAGAAACATTGGAACATGTCCGGAAACTTAGGATCAAATGGGGCTCAAATGTAGGCTTTGATGTTCGACTACAAAAGTAGAAAAGCATTTCTCTCGAGAAAAAAATAATCAAAGAACTTGGATATACTTAATGAAAAAACAATCAAGATACACTCGGGCCTTAACGTCTGATCTGGATTTATCAGTTTTCCTTTTCATTTGTGTAGACAAGTCTTACAAATTGTTCATTTTCACATTGTCTTTTATGCTTCTTGTAGCATGGAGGTGGTTGTTCCTGATGTTAAACTTCTCCCAATTTATTCTGTTGTTAAAGTTCTTCTGAATCCTGTTGTTCATTCTAGTCCCATTGCATTGTTGGTGGCTGAGGGGGTTTTATGTTTAATTTTATCAGTGGAAGAGACAGTGAATGATTCTCTGATTTTTTGAATAATTATACTGTCACATAGTACAAGCATGACTAGAGATTACTCTTGATGCATACATACATATTTGGGGTAACTCTATACGCTGAGAGATTCAATCGTGCCTCACGTATTTGTGGTTTAAACGATTGTATGTGAATGGAATTTCTGGGTACACTCTTCGCTTGGCAGATTTTTTTTATACTTTATCTCCTGTGAGTTATTTTTTGTGAGGGAAGGAGTTTTATGTAATTTGTGTACGTTTATCTCTGATGCCAGGACCTCAACAGGCCAAGCTATGCCCAAGTAGCTCAGCACTGTCGCGAGCTACGTTGTACAAAACACAAAACAGACGATAAGGATGGAAACGAATAAAAAGCCAATATGTAAGTAGTACGTATTTTATGAATATTACAACATACTGTTGAAAATTTGATATCAATATTTTTGGTGGAAGGTGTTTGAAATTCAGGGTGTATACGAAATTGTCAGGTTTTTATTGGACATTTTATAATGTTACAATTCGCTCGGTTTTCCTGGAGAATGATGACTGGATCTGAATATTCTAGACGAATGGGACATTTCATTCATTCGACACTCTCAATATTCCATTTTACTGAATTTTCGGAATTTTCGACGTGGAGATTCATTCTGTTCTCGAATTATGCGCATTTGCAATTCATAACTTGGAACAGACATTTCTTATTTTCACAGAAAATGATGATAAAGATTATAAAATTTCCCAGAAACACAAAAAATTCATGTTCAATTCATAATCATAAGCCAATAAATATTTTCTGAGAATTCAAGGATTCAAAAAAATATGTATTTTCAGCATTATTCAACATGAATATTCAGTTTCCCCCGAAAAATGTTGCTCTATTATTCTCACTAAACGCCTGATATGTGCTTCAAAGCCTCTAAAAACTCTGAGCATCTTCAATCGACAATATCACCCTCAAATTTTCAACAGTCCATTAGAATAATAAAATACCTCCAATTCGCCTACCCAATAGCGTTCTCAATTAATCCTGACACGATAATCATTAAAAGTACGGTGTGAACAATTTTCCAGATGTTACTGCAAATCAATTAATTAAGCAGTCACTTCCCCCTACTCCCTCGAGTTTGGATTGAACGGATTGATAATCAATGCTCGTATCCTAATTAAAATAAAAGTGAATAAATAGACACAGTGGAAGCGAAGACGAAACGAAAAGTTATTCAGATACTTTTTACATTGTACAGTGTCTTCGCCTACAATGAATTGTGGTACCAATTAACAATCCCGATGGATTATTGAGACCGAGCGAACGAACAATTGACGAATAATGTCAGTTATTCAAGGGACAAGTGATTCCGCAATTGTCAGAATTGCTGGATTGAGAGACGAAAAATAATGATGGGATTTTAATGAGAAATGATAAGAGACAGATGGGAAACAAAAAACAATGCGTTGATTATAAAAATGAAGGAGAGAGTATTGTTATTGCTTTGGTTCTGTGATTTTGGAGGTACATATTTGTTAGTTTGTAAAAAGAGAAGAATGTTAAACCTAAGGTGTTAATCGTTTAATTCCTTCGTCCTCCCTCTACCCTTTACATAGCGCAGGGCCGTAAATGGGGAAATAAAACAATGAATGAAAAATCATTTGAAATTATTAATGATTAAAATCATTAGCTTGTGCCAAAATTCTGAGTATATAAACAGTGCACACACTTTAAGGAATGTAATAAAGCAACGAAATATGTAATTTACAATGATACTGATCGATAACGAATCATTAGTTTTTCCTTTATTTCGTTGATTAACAGTTACGTTCATCTCTTTTGATTTTTACTCACGTGCTATGTGATTAAGACCCAGTAAAACTTCACAGTTATTGAATTTTTATTACTTGCAAAAATAAGCATCAGCTCACAAATTAGTGACTTTCTGATTATTTTCACGATTTTCCAGAATATTGATTATTATTTTATTGATTAGATGCTTCAAGGGATGTTGAAGGTGAAATTTACTTTGATTTTTATGATTTTTCTGGTGACACTTTATCATTTTATTTTTCTTTTTGTCGTAGAAGTTATGATGGGAAGGGCTTAGACGAATTGACAGTGATGGCTTCCATAATACAAAAATTAATAATTAAACAATAGATGAAGTACGAGATTTGGGGGAATATGTGGGGGAATACGTCCAGTAGAAATCGGTATTCTGGAGAATATTAAAACAGATAATAATGAAAATTAATTTTCGTGTCCATGCTCCCTAGACTCCCGCTTGTGACGTGGTTTGCATTACCTAATTACGGCACTGGCCCTTTTTATTTTACTTTTTTTTCTCATTTTTTTAATACTATTGTTATGAGAGATAACATACGATTTAGAATTATGCTTTGGCAACAAAAAAATAATTAAAAAAAAAAGTAAATGATGAAGTAACAATTAAGTGAGTAAATAAATAATAATTAAAGAATAATGAAAAAAAAAAACATAAAAAGCATAAAAAAAGTTTAAAAACTAAAAATGGTAAATAATGATGATTTAAGTCGAGGAGGAATATGGATGAATGGTAAATAAAAATAATAAAGAATAAAAAATGATAATTTGAGCACACAATTAAGTGCCTCAAGTGTTATGTATATTACAGGAGCTTGGCTTTAGATGTTATACGATTATATGTAAAACTTATACATTATAGTAAACAGATAAAAGAATAAAGAAGCGCATATGATATATTTGTTACTGATATGCGTGCAGAATTGAGGGAATTAAAATACGAGGTGAAATAATAAGCGAAATAACGATGAATTAATGAAAATTAATCAATAGCAAAAAATGGTGAAATATGAAAAACAATGTTTTCTTTTCTTTTTCGGAATTACGAAGGGATTTACTGATATATAAATACTATATGTAAACCATTTTTATTTTAAGTTAGCAATGCTGCCTTTTAATTTTTACACTTCGAGAGCGATTTTTTTTTTCGATTAGAAAATCTAAAATTAATAGAGAAAAAAAACATGGAGGTTCGATCATCTTTCACTTGTGTTCAATAGTTTGTGCTTTTTCAGCATTCGGAAAATGGCTCACAATGTTCTCTTGGAAATAATTTAATTGAATTGCTTGATTTTCCGAGGCCAATGATCGATACCAATTTTCGATAATGTCAAATCGCTCACGTGTATGAAACGAAAGAGAACTAAAATTTAAAAAAACATGTGAAGATTGTTACGACGAGATGAATGGGAATTTTAGCGAGAATAAAGAGGATGAGAATGATGAAAAAAGATGGAGAAACAAATTTATAATACTTTTTTTATTGGTAAAATGACCTGAGCTGGACAAATGTGCGTGACAAAGAAAAAATAATGAACAATAATTGAACCAACTTTGGTTTGTAAGTGTGCGATTTAATTACTAATTTTTGTCTCTGTGTGACAATTATTATAAAATAAATAACATAATGTCGTTGAGTTGACCGAGACAACCCTCCTCAGAATAAGACTCTGTCTTCTATATATTTTTTCGTAAAATAATAAAGAATAAAAATGGGGAAAAAACGTTGAGTGTTGTGAAGAGAGAGAGCGAGAGCGAGAGAAAAAATGCATAAAGTATAAATAAAATTATAATACGTGCCTATTTCTGGGGTAACGGTTACCTTGCTAACTGATGTAATTACATTGACAACAAAATGAATTTAAAATGATGAGAGGAATGCGCATTTCTTAGGGTTTATCAATAAAAAAAGTTACCAAATTAAAAGAATAAAGCAAAATGTGTAAAAAGCAAAAAAAAAGAACAAAAATAATAATGCAAAATAGAAAAAACAAAGAATTAACGTAAAAATTGTATTGGCTGAGAGGAAGAATGATGGCATTTCATCTCGATTTAGTGGATAATAAACTCGCAAGATTGCGTATTTAAAATGAAAAATAAAAAATATGTTCGTTAATGATAAGAGTATCAAAAAAAAATGGGTAGTACACGCTTCATGAATGCCGTGGATACATTGTGCTCCTTATCAATGATTTATCCATTAATTTCCCCCTGTTTTATTCTTCAAAATACTAGTAACCGAACAACAATGGGATAAAAAACCAATTTGTAATTATCGTAATTATCAGTCGCATTAAAACAACTGACAAAACAAGATGAAATAAATTAATAATAAGAATTGAGGATTAATGAATATGCAGATACTTAAACGATGACGATAGCAATGCCTTGGATCTGACTATTAAAATCGCAGTATTGATTTTGTTAAAAATATGAGACACTCAAGTAACACTCTCGATCATTGAAATATTTTCCACAAGTGTATGACTAAAATCGTATTTAAATTAAAACGAGGAAAAATCGTGATGATGAAAATTGAAAATACTTGATAACTGTCTTCTCGCACGAACGCAGGTTCTCAAAAGGAAATTAATATCGTGAGTCTTCATGGATTGAACCTAAAAGCTTGAAAATTATCACGAGAAGAATCTAAAGGATTCAGTGTTAATTAGCGATAATTAAAAATCAATTAGAGAGCAATGATAAAATTGGTGCGAGTTTTCACCATTTATGGGGATCCAAGGCGTTAAATTTTACGTTTCTATGATTTAAAAGAAATAAAAAAAGAACATTGATACTCGTGGCTGGTAAAAATGTCATGGATCAGCATAAACTGTGATTAGACTGGAGCCCACAAAAAAATGAATAATAATATTAATGAATAATTAATGAAAATAATCAATAAAACCAACACAATGTAAATGTACTCGGTTTCATGGGCCGCAGGCCTAGAAAGTCTGATTTTTTAACACTACGAGAAATGTGTATTATAAAAACATGGGTCTACGAACAATTTTTTTGGTTTTGATATTCACCAGTTGTAAAGTGAGCGGATTTTTCTTTCGAAATTAAACGTTAATTACTGTTACTAGTTTTTTCTGTTTTTTTTTTCTTTTTTTTCGTCCCGCTCTTTAGCAAATTTGTGTAACTCGCTTCTCCGTAGAATTTACTGCACATTAATATTTTCTTTCAATTATGGAATCGATTAATTGCCCTCATTAAATTGTTTTTTTTTTATTTTCCATTGATTCTCGCTAATCGTACAAACAAGGAGAAAAATTATTAAAAAAATTGTAATTTAGGATTTAGGAAACGGCCTAGTGTATCGCAGTGAGAGTCGAGAGTCGAATAGAGATTGAGAGAGTTCTAGAAAATTTAAATAACCATTTTCTAAACATTTTAGTCGGTTGGAGAAACAAGAAAATATAAAATATTATTATGCATGATGTTTCATTCAGGGCGTATAAAAATATATGAAACTGCCGATATTTTTAACATGTGAGACTGACAGATTTCTTCACTGGATGCTAATCGATTCACGTGAATTTATACGATTTTTAGTTTTTTTCTTTTCTTTCCTATTAATTTTCTCTCAATTGATGGATTATTTCGTTATTCTTTGGGTCACTGTGGGGTCTCTTATTGCTTTCTAAGTGAGAGTGTGTGATTAATAATATGTGGAGTTTGGTGCGCTCATTGGCGGTTTCAAATTGGCTCAATAATCATTCAAACTCGAGTCTTAAAATTCTTGAATTTATCGTTTAGTTAAAATTTTCTAATGACTTTGTCATCTCGATATATTTTCTTAATTAATAATTTTCATTTACTCCAGTGCCGCTTTCCACAGGTGGCATTACTCCCCTAATTTACGATTAATTGAGATTGAATTATTTTCAAACATGACAATTACTTCAATTTAAAATCGTAGACCAAGTGAAAATATAAAATCGCTGATAAATAATTTTCCAGTCACAATAAATGCTGCATGTCTGTGCGTCTACTATCATTCCGTGCCTTTTTGAGTATATGTGGCTGACAAAACCTCTTTGTGAAGATTATCCGAAAATGCTAATGATGGGAAAGAAATAATGAAGAAAAAAACAAATAACGAGTGTTTCCTCTGTTCACTTTTGTTAGTCAAAAGACACAGTAAAAATGAACGTAATAAAGAATGATTTAGTGACAGGAGTAGTGCGAATAATGGCCGCATATCACAGTCCATGATAATTTAGTGACTTCCCTGTAATGACAAGATTGATGAAGTTGTGGTGAAAAAAAAAGTAATGAGTAGGAAGAATTATTTTTTTCTTTTTTAATTGAAAATAATGAAGTATGAGAACACGTATTAGTTAATGATAAAATGTCACCGCCAGTGAGAGTAGACATATTTTTATAGATTCGTTTCAACCGTTGATCGACTGCTTATGAAGTGTACTACTTGAAAAATCTCAAAAAACAAGGAGAAAGAAATTTAGATGAATTAATGACGCAACAAAAAATACAATTGTATGAATGTTACGTGAGTTACTACTGTGAATTAAAAATAAAAAGTAACTTCATATAGTTGAAGAAATTGTGAGGTAAATCGAGAGGACTCACACATACAATTATTGAGAAAATGAAGAATAAAACGAGTAAATTTATGTAAACGGCATAAACGACGCGATATAAGAAACAAAAATTGAGAAAACGAAAAAAAAATCATAATAATAATCAATTTTTTGTTTTCATGTGAAGGGAGATATAATGTTACATAATTTTCTTTCTTTCGTGATTGTGGATTTTTCTTTGGTGTAATCTAAAACAAAAATTGGAAATTACTATGAGTGTATATAAAAGATTTATCCATTGCACCCAGATATAGTGGATAAGAGGAAAAACAAATAATTTGTACATAATATACATAATATAAATAAATAAAAATAGATATATGCATTGGTGTGAATTATTGTCCCTCGTCTGTTTGGGGATTGACACTTTGAAGGTTTTTTGGGGGATAATTACAGCATTACGATTTTTGCAGACTTCAGATCAAATTTATTGTTCATTTTTATTTGGGAGATAATATATTTGTCAACATCAATATTATAAGCATTTTTCAACAGGTACACAAGGTGAGGGGGAGCTATGTCAGCTGATTATAACTAGAGACGAGTTGAAACATCATATTTAATTTTAATATTTATGTTCAATAATTCCAGAGGTGTCGTTATTGAATTTTCAATTGCCAAATTGGAAATTGTTTTGCAGTAAATTTTTTCATCGTTGAATATGAAAATTGAATGGAGAATGTCATCTGCGAAAAAAATTGAAGAATCTAACACTTGCTAGGGAATTCTATTAAAAAATCGCCTAGCTTTTCTATAGGAAGGATCGACAGATTTTTTTCTTCTTTTTTTTATGAAAAAAAAAATACAGTAAAAAAATGTTGAGAATTTCATTCCGCGGAATTGCAATGGAAAACATCTCAATTAAACAAATTGAATAGGAAAATTAAACACGTTAATTTTCTGACACTGAATCTTTTCATTAAATGCTTCTGCTGAAGAAAAATGTGCGGAATTGTTTTAAATTTTTGATAGAATCGACGCAAAACTAAAAACTAACTTTTTAATTTTCCATTGCTTTTCAAATTAAAACTGAAAAAAAATCATTCATAATTTCCTGATCGAAAAAAAATTATCGTTGATTTATATTTGATGTTCTATATTTGAATTACTTTATTTGTAAACCATCGAATATTTACGTTCAACGTTGACGGTCTAGTAGACTGGGATCGGGATGGTATTCCTCCTCGTTCGATCTGTTCTCGATGTTCCTTTCAGGCTCGTGGACATTCGGGCTTTTGTCGCCGTCGTCGCTGTCTGAGGACGAAGAGTCCTGGGGTAAGTCGATTCCTTGGGTCAGGAGACTCGTTATCCTCTCGATGTCGACCGTATCGTCTTGCTCCTGGATCTTTCGGAGGGCGTTTGACACTATGCAGAGATCGCCCCGAAGTTCACTCACGAGGGCTGTTATCTTCTGGGCGTCTGTGAGAACCTCCACCGATTGGGTGTAAGGATTGTAACGAATGCCGAAGGGTCGTTGAATCTGATTAGCGAAAGCTCTGGAATAAATCAGTGATTTGTGCGTGTGTACAAGGATTTTAAGCGAAAACCTGAAAAACTGAAATATCTCGAAAACTTTAAATGAATAGGTAAATGGCTACTTTAAATGAAGCAGGTGTATATATTTCAATTGATTGAGATAGAGGATACCCAGACAAATATTTTGAAACTTAAAAAATTGAAATCGGTTGGGTAGATTTCGAGATATATTTGTGAAAAACGATTTAAGGGGAGAGTAGTATGAGTTTTAAAAGTCGTCGGTTATCGGAGTGAGACTTTTCATACGTTGAAGATCGATTATATAGATCTGAAAACGAGTAATTAGTGCAAAAAAAAATTTGTCCACATCGTCATCAAAATTCGTAGTTTTACGTTTCAGATCATTCTACATCATTTTCAAGCAAAATAAAAAAAAATCTAAAAATTGGCCGATCGCAATGTTTTTATTCGGAAGCAAAAACGAAAACGCTAATTAAATGGTGAAAAAAATTAGGATTCTAAATCTCATCAAGTTTTCAGGTAATTGTGTACAGTTTTAAAAAATCTTAATTAGTGTAAAAAATAATCCTCTAAGAGTAAGCTCCTTCAATATCTTGAGATGATGATGGCATGATGAAATTCCATTGAACCTTATAAATTCAGTAGTGAAGTGGTAAAAGGGTTTAAGTCGACTTATCTCCCAGTTGAGTTTTTGAGGAATATTTCCGAATCTAAGGGAGATAGCGAAATTTTCGTAATCACATTTGTTGTAGCACTCGATCGGCTCCACAAAAAAGGTTATAATAAAAATTTTGCTATCTCCCTTAGATTTCAAGATATTCTTTGAAAACTGGTCAATAATTGAAATTGACTTGTACCGTTTTACCACTTCGCTACTGAATTCAATTTCGATTGTAGAAATTCTTCCTGAACCTTACCGCATCTTCTCTTTAGCTTCTTCGAGGCTCTCCGTGTAATAATAAGCATTTTGAAAAGCCGTGATAATGCATTCCTGCTTGCAGGTGATTTCCGGCTCGAATCGTAATATTTTTTCTTCCGTAGTGACCGCATGTCGGAGTTCCGCTACTGAAGAAAGGAGACCCGCTCCATAGACTCGGAGGACGCCATCTTGTTTACAGAGACCGAATTCAACGGTGAAGAAATAGAGCTGAAAGTGGAAATGTTTTTTAACCGGAATTTTTTGCATTAATCAAATGATTTCGGAAACCTACAGTTGCGAGCTTATCGATGTCTGTGTCCGAGGCTCCCAGGGATGCTAGTCCAAGCTCTTGGGAGAATTGGGCGAAACTGGGGTTGGCGAGGAGGGGCATGTGCCCCAGGAGCTCGTGGCAACAGTCCCTGAATAAGAGAATTGAACTAATAATTAATGGCGAACAAGTGTGCACTATGAAAGTAGAAGAATCCCAGGGCGATTTCTCATAATTTTATTATAGTTTATAATTTTTTTATTGAAAAAAACACATGAAAAAGTTTCATAAAAAAAACTACCGCTTTCGCTAACAAATTCGATTGAATTTGTGTTGGAAAGCTATGTGAAGCTATTTCATAGGAAAAACCAATGAAATTAAATTTTTCCAATATACAATTTATTCTATTCAGATATTTACAGAAATTTCTCGATATAAATTTTTTACTTTTTTGTTCACTTCTTTTTTTCTTCTCATTAAAAAACTCATTAAAAACCGTCTCATTAAAAACTATAACCAGCTGACTCAGAAACTTTCGACCGCGGAATTTCTGTATAAAATATTTCAACACAATAGTTAAGTTGAATAGAAAAATAAAAATTCGATTGATTTTTTTAATAGAATAGTATTCTATTATTCTATGATTGAATATTATTTCTATTAGATGAACAGCGCAGGGAAACTGGAATTTCCCCACAGGAGCGGTGAAAAACTCATAGAATTCTCACTTGGGGAAAAGCTATGGTATAGATTCCTTTTATTGAATTGTTAATAACTTTTTCTTGCAAAAATCATTAAAATTAAAACGTTCTGAAATTCTTCCACCCTTGTATAGTGCGCGCGTGAATGATTATCACGTGTAAACTACTGCTCACGGTTCCGGCGTGTAGAATGGATCTGAAGAGTGTCGTATGTACTGCGTACAGTGGAAAACTCGAAATGCCAGACCGGCGAGGAAGTCGCGGGGTGATAAATACCCGGCGACTGGTCGCAGTTGAAATCCAGTCATTCCTTCATTAAAATGAAACAAGTGGATGAATTAATTGAGAATAAATACCAACACTGCTGGGTTAACACAATAATTAATTTCCTTACGTTTCAGGAAGTTGGAAATATCTTGTAATTGTGGGATATTATCTTCCCTGAAATAAAAGACATTACAATATATCAGATCGCACCTTTTATTCATGATTCAGTGACGAAATGGTTAAAAGTCATCAGTTATTGCCTTTGACATTTGTTCTTCTATATAATAATTATTAGTGAACATTTGGTAGTGGAAGAAAAAACGTGCAGAAAAACTGCGGAATTCTTCAATAGAAAGAGGATGATGTACTTAAATCGAAAGCTAATCCATTTCGTAACATATTGCGAATTAATCAGCAATAATAGCTATGCTCAATTATAAAAAATACAATTTTCCACTAATAACAATTTCATACAAAATCCTAGCGAATTCGCTAGAAAATTCTGTTGGATTTTCTATTAGTTTTTGACGGATTCTATTGAAAAAATCAAACTCTTACCAGGGAATTTATTACAATAGAAATATTCTACAGAAAATATTTCATAAAACAAATCAATAGCATTTGATTTTTCTACATAACTTATTCTATTCAAATATTTTCTGTAGAAATGTCTCGACTCAAATTTCCCAAGTTCTTCTGTTTAATTCTCTTAACGAAAACAGAAGAAGAATCCAGAAAAAGAAACTTGGAAAATTTATGTCGAGCAACTTCTATAGAAAATCTTTCGATAGAAAAGCTTGAATTCTAATGATTTTTTACATAAAACAGTTTTCATTTTATATTTTTTTAAAAAATGGACAGTAAAGCTAGGAAATTCTTCAATGGAATCGGCCAAAAATTAAGACAACTTTTAGCGAATTCGCTAGGTTTATCTATAAAATTTTCTAGTATGTCACGATTTCAGTAAAAATGACTGAGAACTAGAACTTCTTCCCTGATATTCCGAGAAATATCACTGAAAACCAATACTTTGTTTCGTTTTAATCGGAAACTTTTTTCTCTGTGACTTTTACCCTTCGATTTTTTAATAAATAAATTTCATACCTGTACCCACAATACTTCACCAGTTTAGGCCAATTATCGAGGTACTCTTTGCACGCATGCTTCAAATAGAGTTGATGCAATTCACGAAAGACAGTAGCCCTGCAAATCAAATAATAACATAACACTAATTAATTGAGTGAGAGGCAGGAGGGAATGATGAATGGAGTTTATCTATCCAATTCATTTGCCTCCTGAATCACATGTCAATCCGCCCGCCAAGTCTCGCGCTGCGGATTAAATCGAATCAGGGCAATTAAGGTGCATTGAATGCTGTTTCTAACTCTCCACGGTAAAATGGGCCGTCCCATCCCTCGTCTAGGATTGGTAACCCGGAGACGTGGGAGATACTGCCGTCTCCTTTGATTAGCTTAGTATGAGAGAAAACACGAGTGTCGAGAAGTTTTATTCAGCCGTAGAATCGATGAGAATGGCTTTTTTAATGGGGTCTTCAGTCTTCAATGAACTCACCAGGTTTTTATCTCGTCGGGTGTATACTGCACTCGTGGAATAGCCTGGCCGCTGGAGCAAGGGAAAATGAAAAGTTGAAGTACTATTTTCATTTTTATTCTTTTAGAATTTCTTTTTTGAGACACTCACTGTCTGTAGTTGTTAGCTATGTCCGCGAATTGCTCCCGACGTTTTCTATATACAGGATCTTTAAATCCCTAATTGGAAAAAACTTAGATTTAGTTTTTTTTTATTGAATTCAGCTGCAGTACGAAAATAGCATTCTGCATTATTTTGGGAATAATTCAAGAATGAGAAGATTTGGGTGTAGCACACCCCAGCCATTTTTTCAATAACGCTTTGAATGCTCCGGAAACATTTCTATCATTTTCTTATTACAGACATCGACATGAACATAAATTTTAAATAAAGTTAAATTTTGCATAAGTCGGTTGATTAATATTACTCAACAATTGTTGAATTATTAAATTAATTGGCAATTCAATATTCACATTCTGAATTATTTTATTAACTAGAGATGTACGCNATGTACTTAAATCGAAAGCTAATCCATTTCGTAACATATTGCGAATTAATCAGCAATAATAGCTATGCTCAATTATAAAAAATACAATTTTCCACTAATAACAATTTCATACAAAATCCTAGCGAATTCGCTAGAAAATTCTGTTGGATTTTCTATTAGTTTTTGACGGATTCTATTGAAAAAATCAAACTCTTACCAGGGAATTTATTACAATAGAAATATTCTACAGAAAATATTTCATAAAACAAATCAATAGCATTTGATTTTTCTACATAACTTATTCTATTCAAATATTTTCTGTAGAAATGTCTCGACTCAAATTTCCCAAGTTCTTCTGTTTAATTCTCTTAACGAAAACAGAAGAAGAATCCAGAAAAAGAAACTTGGAAAATTTATGTCGAGCAACTTCTATAGAAAATCTTTCGATAGAAAAGCTTGAATTCTAATGATTTTTTACATAAAACAGTTTTCATTTTATATTTTTTTAAAAAATGGACAGTAAAGCTAGGAAATTCTTCAATGGAATCGGCCAAAAATTAAGACAACTTTTAGCGAATTCGCTAGGTTTATCTATAAAATTTTCTAGTATGTCACGATTTCAGTAAAAATGACTGAGAACTAGAACTTCTTCCCTGATATTCCGAGAAATATCACTGAAAACCAATACTTTGTTTCGTTTTAATCGGAAACTTTTTTCTCTGTGACTTTTACCCTTCGATTTTTTAATAAATAAATTTCATACCTGTACCCACAATACTTCACCAGTTTAGGCCAATTATCGAGGTACTCTTTGCACGCATGCTTCAAATAGAGTTGATGCAATTCACGAAAGACAGTAGCCCTGCAAATCAAATAATAACATAACACTAATTAATTGAGTGAGAGGCAGGAGGGAATGATGAATGGAGTTTATCTATCCAATTCATTTGCCTCCTGAATCACATGTCAATCCGCCCGCCAAGTCTCGCGCTGCGGATTAAATCGAATCAGGGCAATTAAGGTGCATTGAATGCTGTTTCTAACTCTCCACGGTAAAATGGGCCGTCCCATCCCTCGTCTAGGATTGGTAACCCGGAGACGTGGGAGATACTGCCGTCTCCTTTGATTAGCTTAGTATGAGAGAAAACACGAGTGTCGAGAAGTTTTATTCAGCCGTAGAATCGATGAGAATGGCTTTTTTAATGGGGTCTTCAGTCTTCAATGAACTCACCAGGTTTTTATCTCGTCGGGTGTATACTGCACTCGTGGAATAGCCTGGCCGCTGGAGCAAGGGAAAATGAAAAGTTGAAGTACTATTTTCATTTTTATTCTTTTAGAATTTCTTTTTTGAGACACTCACTGTCTGTAGTTGTTAGCTATGTCCGCGAATTGCTCCCGACGTTTTCTATATACAGGATCTTTAAATCCCTAATTGGAAAAAACTTAGATTTAGTTTTTTTTTATTGAATTCAGCTGCAGTACGAAAATAGCATTCTGCATTATTTTGGGAATAATTCAAGAATGAGAAGATTTGGGTGTAGCACACCCCAGCCATTTTTTCAATAACGCTTTGAATGCTCCGGAAACATTTCTATCATTTTCTTATTACAGACATCGACATGAACATAAATTTTAAATAAAGTTAAATTTTGCATAAGTCGGTTGATTAATATTACTCAACAATTGTTGAATTATTAAATTAATTGGCAATTCAATATTCACATTCTGAATTATTTTATTAACTAGAGATGTACGCGCGCTATATATATATATATATATATATATATATATATATATATATATATATATCTCCGAATAAACCGGTGACAAAAAACCTTACATTGGATTTTTTTATAATGGATGGATCAATAATTGAATTCGAAAGATTGACGATTATTTGGCTAATCGAAAATAATTATCAATTATTTTATTATTTTTGAAATTTCAATGACGATACGTAAACCTTAATTATTTTAAGGTGCAAGACTCTTGATATTAATAATTTAATGACTGACGCCGATCCCTGTCTTATGAGAAGGGAAAGACGAAATATGATTGCAGAATATGCAGTATAAAATACAAATATTATCCATGTAATAAAACTGCATATATTTTTGGGATGACTCACTGGATGATCGGCATCCAACTCGGTTCCATACATCAAGACCTTCTGTGCCTGATCAAGATCGGATATTTTGCGAGGAAACCATGGCATATCGACTTCACTAAAATCTTCAGAAACAAAGAAAAAAATTGAAGTAAAGTTGGAATTTCATTGGAAAGACATTACATTCGATTTAAGGGGAAAAGCCTTAAGAACTTTCAAGTAGAAAATAAGACGTAAATTCCGCAATTTATTTGAATGTAAAACTAAACATGAGTATTCAGGATCGAATTGGGTTGAATTTTCCGAATATTGAAAAATTAAGATGTTCACCCGAATTTTCATAATTTCGGGATTGTTAGCCTGCAGAACATGACACCTTCATTTATTTATAACGAAGCTTTTGGGGAATATTCGATAATTTTGAAGGTCTCTGGATATTACAATTGAAAATTCAATGAAATTCGAAATTTACTTGAATATAGTAAATTCTAACTTACTTGAATTCCCAATAAAAACATTAATATTCACCATCAAATGATGCTGAATCTTCGATTAATTGAAAATTCAACAAAATATTTACCTTAAAATGCCTGACTTCTACAAATTTTAATGAAATAATTGAACTGAAATCTACAGTTTCTATTGACGTCTCATAAAATTGTCAATTTTCAATGACGAAATTCCTTGAAATTTCAGTGTAGCAAAATCATGATTTAAATCCCCAAGAAGTGTACCGAAAATTTCAGCGAAAAAAAAATGAAAAGTGCAAAAAAATGAAGGAGATAACTCTGTCAATCAGTTGGAATGAAATTTTAAAAAATCTGACTGCTTGGGATTTGGTCTAAACATCCGGAACAGCAAATTCACCGAAACTTGGTGCAGCCGAAAGACATGGTGGGCGTGGAACACTGCCAATCTGTTCATACTGCGACAAATTGATAGCAGCAACCTCCCTACTCAGCATTCTCATGAGTTGTTCCATCCTCTTGGGCTCACACTCAACATCCACGAGTATCTCGTACTCCGAGCCACGTCGAACGGACTTCCTCGACTCAATATGCACGACATTCACCCCCAAATCCTGGCGAGAACCAAAAATTACCGAACTAATGAGACTCCACTATTGTATAAATAAACTGTTCTGTTTCCTTCAAATCAACAGACAATACTGAGGCCCAGAGGCGAGTGATTCAGACGGCCATGGGGCTCAGCCAGGTGGGGGGCACTCGACATCAAGCCATTGCCATTAATTCATTGCAATCGTGTAAACTTCATAAACATGTTCACACAATCACTCACTCACACGAGTTTGAGATAAACATCAACATTTCAAGCAAATAAAATGGTAAATTGCGGGTATTTTTCATTCGATTGAAAAAAAAAATCAGAATTCATAGATCATTACGTACTTGAAATACTTGGAGTGCTCGAGCTAATCCTCCGACCTGATCCTTCAGGGAAAAAACAACGGAATTCTTCGTGTCCGATTGCTCGTCTTTCTCGATCATCGGCATCTTCGCAAAAAGTTTGACGGTTTTGTCTTTATTTTTGGGGACGGTGTGGGGAGTCAAGTGATAAAATTGAGTTCAATGCGACAGTTCGGTTTTGTGCAAGTGTCAGGAGAGCGATTAGCAGATTTACGGAAGAGAGATCTATATGAATTTCGAACATTATTAAACAAAATGTGACAAATCGACTTGTGACATGAGTGTAAAATCCACCTCACGCACGAAAAAATTTAATAGAAAAACCTAGTGAATTCGCTAGACAATTCTATTGGATTCCACTGAAGTTTCCATTAGTTTTTGGCCGATTCTGTTGAAATGTTCAATAGAAAAGTTAATAGAATTCGATTTTTCTGTACAATTTAGTCTGTTGAATTTCAGTTTAAGGATTCTATTGAGATGTTTTCTATAGAATTTCCCCGGTTCTAATTTTCTACGTTTCCTTATTCTATTCTATTTTTCTATTCTTATTTTATTTTCAAAGAAATTTAAAAAATTTGAGTCGAGGAAATTCTATAGAAAATAGCTCATAGAATAAATTGTATAGAAAAGTGAAATTCTATCGACTTTACCTATAGAATATTTTCTATTGAACATTTCAATATAAGCGGCAAAAAACAAATAGCAAATTCAATGGAAATTGAATTAAAGTTTGAAGACTCTATTGAGATATTATCTATAGAATTTCCACGATTCAAATTTTTTAAATTTTTTAAATTTTATTTTTAATTTCTTTTCATTAAGAAAATTAAACAAAAAATTTTTTTAAATTGAGCCAAGGAAATTCTGTAGAAAATATCTCAGTAGAATAAGTTGTATAGAAAAAATCAAATTCTATGGACTTTTTCCATAGAATATTTTCCATTGAATTACAATAGTATCGGCCAAACACCAGAAAGTTCAATGGAAACGACTAGAATTGTCCAGCGAAGTCGCTGCGTTTTTCTATGAAATTTTGTCATACGTGTTGTCACACTGAACTCACATCTTTAGCTTTATGCATGGGGCTTCCTTCCTTGATTGCCCACTCCTCTCCCCTCCTGTACAGCCACATGCCCAGCAGACCCTTCCCTGACCCACTCATCGCGCTCGAATCAAACCAACACGACCGGCGGAAAATAAAAATTCACCACACGGAGAGAAATGTTCAGTAAAAATTACGGAACTCACAGTTCGCTCTCCGATTATGGAATCGACTCAGAAAATTTAAGTGACGGTATCGTAATTTTTCACAGGAGATTCAGCTAAAAATTGCGGAACGCTCTAGAAAAATTCCCTGACAGTTACGTAAAATTTCCTACAACCACATTTCGCTCTGGAATTACGGAAAAGATTCGTAATTTTTCTTGAATATTTCTCTCCGTGCACTTGGAACCCTCACGGAACGCTTTCGTCACTCAAAAAAAATCGGGAAATCGCTTGAGGAAGCTGATGCCACTGACGTTTTACAAGCAAGTGCCTTCCGGTGGTTGGTACCCAGCCCTCTTAAGCCCTCAACCCCTCCGTTCACCAAAGACAGGGGTAACAGTTGCCATTGGTTGCGCGAATCTACCCTCATCTTCGATGTTTCCCCATTGGCTGGATTGCAGGATATTCATGGGTGTTCTTGGCTCGTTCAATTCCTCCCGGCACTCGAGTTTGTTAGCTCAGCCATTTCTTGGTTTCAATGAATATTTCGTGACGTCACTGGAGCATTCGGGAGACAAAAGGAAAACGGGAAATTGCGGATGGAGAAGGAAAGGGGAAATGGTCAATGGGTTGGTCAGCAAGTTCAAGTGCAAGTTCTAGTGGCTTAAAGCAAGACCCTTTTCAGATGTTTATTTAACTGGATTAGAGATTTTTTGTACCGTTAATTAATATATTTCGTTGAAGAAGCTGAGGTCTCGATTTTCTTGACTGAATGGTCATTAAGAAGTCTATGGTCTTCGAGTGCCTTCAATTGTGATAAAATGCCTTCAGGATTTCTTTGAGATCTTTATTCGTTGAGATCCTTCGGAAATTTGTAATTAAACGTCATAGTTTTTGTTGAACCTTTTGCAATTATTGCGAAATAGAACTTTAAAAAGTGGAAAAAATGGCACTACATACTTGAGAGTTTTCTTTATATCTATCTGGAAATTCCCATTTTATTATTGATAAGAAAGGGGTACAGAATTATTAAGAAAAGCTCTGGGGCGTTGAACATTCCATTTATGTAGGAAACAGTTGAAGTTTGGAATTAGCAAGAAGATTTATTCTTTTTTTTTTATTTATTATGTTAACAAATATAAAAAGGCCTTCTTTCTAAGAGGAATTCATAGAATAACTAAAAACAACTAAATAACGTATGACCAATTAATTCCTCACAGTAAAAATAATTTTTTTACAATCTTGTACTTTAACTTAGTTGAATTTTTAAATTTTAATTGAAATTGTAAACATTTAGAATTTTACTAAGAATCGAAATCAAGCCAAAAGCAAATAGATTTTCCGGAAGTTTGAACGATTTCTATTATTTATTTATGCGAGAATGTCAAGGAGACAAATAATTTCCGTGAAATTTAATTTGGATGACTCTAAATACTCATAATGTTTCTTAATCTTTCCTTGCACAATTCAATTGATCAATTTGACACATGTGTCTAGTCAATGCATTCCATTGAAGCGATAGAAACACTCTTGGCTTCTCAACGGAAACTATTAAAAATTAATTATTGTTCTTCAATTACGATACAACAATTGCGATAAATGTTTTCAATTTTGAGAAGATATTATACCCAAGACTAATATTTTCTTCGCTAAACATCATGTCTTCAATTCCGTCTGATGTGTCAACCCAAGCCATTGGATTTTGCAGTAAAAATATTAAAAAAATAGATGCAAATGATAAGCAGAAAATGTTTATGCTTGAATTGGATAACAGAACAGAAAAGAACATAATCAAGGACACGATTTTATCGATCACCTGGTGTGAATTAATCTGGTATTTAAAATTTCTCGACTCGAGTCGTTGAGCAGGATATTGTAACTCACGATGACTGGTGACAAAGAAGTATTTTTCCATGAAAACCGGGAGGGAGAGAGGTTCTTGATTGAACGGAACAAAGACAGTGGTTAATGAAAGACTGGAGTGTATCGTCAAGATGTATCTTACCGGGATTTTATCTTTTGTTTTCTCGTGCTTTTTGGTACAAGCAGATGCAGCACATTACTCGGGCTCCATCACTTATCACTATCGGTGTACTTTATGTAGGAGCTGCCTCATACGCTTAGTTATTCTGAATCTGTTTCTATTCTTTTAAGAGGATTGGTTGGAGGGGTGGAATGTAGGAGGTAGGGGGATGTGTGAATGAATAAAAAGAATGAATAGAAGGAGAAAAGACGACGAAGTAGAAAAATGAATAAGTTCACTAATTAATTAATGTCAACAGGAGAATTCTTTCACTCCTTGTAAGGAATTTCACTCATTTCTTTGCTGCTAATTAATTTTATGACGAAAACAATTTCAACTATAAAACAGTCATTGTTATTGAACTCTTATGCAAGAAGTATCTTCACAATACGGTTTTAATTTAATTTTGATGCTAATGAAGAATAGGAATTCTGAATCTTTTTCTATTCTTTTAAGAGGATTGGCTGGAGGGGCGGAGTATAAGGGGTTGGGAGATGTGTAAACGAATGAATAAAAGGGGAAAGGATGACAAAATACAGAAATGAATAAGTTCACTGATTAATTAATGTCCATAGGAGAATTCTTTCACTCCTCGCAAGGAATTTCACTCATTTCTTTGCTGCTAATTAACTTTATGATGAAAACAATTTCAATTATAAAACAATCGTTGTTATTGAACTCTTATGTAAGAACTAGCTTCACAATACGCTTTTAATTTAATTTTAAAGCTAATGAGGAATAGGAATTCTGAATCTTTTTCTATTCGTTTGAGAGGATCTGATAGAGGGGCGGAGTATAAGGGGTTGGGATAATTAATGTAAACAGAAGAATCCTTGCAAGCAATTTCACTTATTTTTTGCTGCACTGAGAGAAAACTTTTCTAGTACGTGGACCATATTTACTTGAGAGAAGTAAATTATTTTGAATGGCTCGAATCTCAGAATGTTTATGGTTCACGGAACTCGAATAAATTCTCATTTATCACTATCGTTGCGCATTATATCATGAATATATTACATATTGAAGTAGTGCAACTGCGTAACAAAAAAATCATGAAAATAATAAATACTTGAAGATTGACGATTTTTCTACGCAATTTGAGTGAGTTCATTTGCGACAAAATCATACGTGAGTACACGAATATTTTAAAGCATACGACCTTTCTCAGGTCTCGTGAATTGAGATGCCTGGGGGAATTAAGCAATTGAAGAAAAATTCCTTGTCTCAAGAAAATATGTTCCAGATATTAGAATTTTTTTCCCTGTGTGTTATAGTACATTAGAGTACAAGGGTGCAAATTCCGTTTACGACGAATGTGAGGTCTGGACTCGCATTTGTTGAAAACGAAGTTTATGGTCGAGTGATCTATAATATTTTATGTTACACCGGGCAGAAGTGGATTCTATTTAAATTCTATTTATTGCGCGGTATGACATAAATTAATTTTATAATGAAAACAAGATCAATTATGAAATATTCATTGTAATTGAACTCTTGTGCAAAGACCATCTTCACAATACATTATTGAGACTGTTTTCATAAGTTCTATGTTTTTTTTTGGCCGTCCAAACTGTTTTCATAAGAATCAGACAGATTGAAATTTTCATGTTACCTCAGGTTTATTTTTTAATGAAAAAGCTTGAGAAATTTGGGCCGAAGAGTTTTTACAGAAAATATATTGTGGCTGAAGGCCCCGCGGGCGATGATCAGCTGCAAGTTCCTTGGAACTTGCAACAAATTCCGTTAAAAATAAAATAATCAATATAGTGAAAATAAAATAAATATTAGCGAAAGCTTAATATATTTTCTAATAGAAAGCAGATGGAGTTTTCTGGCAATGAATCAATGAAATTCTTGCGTGTGAGTATCATTATGATTCTTCCTTTCGGTAAGGAGTGACGCATAATTAACCCGCATAATCCAATGTTTAATGCATCACAGAAATTCCCATCTCCTTGATGACAAAAGGCCATTGTTATCACCGCAGGTTCTGAAGTTATCTCCACTCCAGTCAATGATAAATGCTACGCTCCACTCGATGAATTCCCACGAGTGGAGGCAGACACACACCCTACATTCATTGAAATGCAACAAGTATTCTTCATCTTCAAGTTATTCCGACATTTCGAAATGTTGATAAATTGCAATCTAACTATAGCTGAGCTCAATTGGATGGGAGTGAATGAGAAATTTATTCAATTATATTCAATAAAGTACAGTTGTTAAATTCTTCTTTTGCTTCGGAATGGAAGTATTGTATTCGTCAAATTCGAAATTTCCAATTTTTATTTCGAACCTGTCATTTTCGACGATAACTGAAAAAATTATTGTTCAAGTGAATCCAATTGTGATTTTAAATATTCTTCCCCATGACATCTTGAGCGAGTTCAATCATGTGATTGATTGCATCATTTGTTATTGAAAAAAATTATTTTGCAACCAACATTCAGGGAGAGTTAATGAATATTAACGTTGCGCCATTTTTAATTCAATGAATCATCGAATTCGATTTAAACGACATTGTCATAGAAATTTCTAGTGACGACATCAATTTCCCGCTTGTTTTCATTCACGCGCATCTTCTCTTTTTGCTGTTACTAATTCGTAAATGGAATGTCATCCCTTCTAGAATGTTTAAGCTCATGAGAGAGTTTTTCTCATGAGAAAACATTCTCTCTCTGACGAGAAAGATGGTATTTCTTTTCTGTAAACACCGAAGATCCTCTTCTTGAGGCCTCTCAGCACGATTCAAGGGCTCTGCATTAGGGAATCGTGTCATCCGAGGTCAGACGGGATCTGTGACTCCAATTAAATTAATTGGAGAGTGGAAAAACCGAGGTTTTAGCTCAATTTAACTTTCAGGTTTCATTCACCAGAAAATTTTCCTCACGATCTATTGAAAATTCAATTTATCTTTCATAAATTCAACTGAAAAAAATTCAGTAGAACAATTTGTTCTAAAAAATAAATCCCATTAATCTTTTCCCATTCAATATTTTCGATCCAAACTCTCTGCAACGAAAAAACTGCAGAATTTTTCAATAGAAATTTCAAAATAATTCCAGTAGAAATCCAATAAAATTTCTTAGCGAATGCGTTAGAGTCTCGAATTCACTTTCTTGCATCAGTTCTTCCCATCGTACAAATCCCCTTCAAATCATTCCAACATCAACCATCTACGTCAATAAAAAAAAATCAATACTAATGAATAAACGTCAACCCCATCGCCCACAAGAATACATCCTTCATTTTCGTTTTTTGTCGAGGTTTTTTTAAACTTCTCGCAATGTATCCGGCATCGTAATGCATCGGACAACTGGAATAAAATTAATCTCATGTATCTCACTCATTTGCCAAGCCTCCCCCCCCCCAGTACCCCATCACCCGGGGGGTGAGTGTGAATCCGGCGCTTGCGTCCCGCTGCATAAAGAGGAATCAATATCACCCCCGACATCAGCGCCCTTCACCACACGTCTCGCCGTCAACGTCGACGTCCAAGAGTGCCACCGCCGTCGGCCCACCTCCAAGGTATCACCTCTCACACAAAGTGAGAATGGCTGACACTGAATTCGAGGAATTTCGACAATATTTCGAACGACTGCCACAGCATCTGAAGACACCAATATCAAATTACACGTAAGATTCTCCTTCAACTTTCATCTCTACATTAAACTCTCAATAATTTAGTGGCCAATGCCACATAATTTCGCGCATTCGTGTGAGTTAAAGTTCAAATAAAGGAAAACCGACATCCTCGCGGAATGCAGAATTCGAGGAGTGGTTCCACAAAGAAAAAAACCTAGTGATGTCGACAACTAATTTTTACAACCGGCCGAAAAGACCTTTCTTATTTTTCCCTGAATTCAAAAAAATCCTGAAAATTGAAAATTTGCAAAAATTATTTTGCAATTTTTTTTGCATGAAAAGTGTTTTTTCTCTTTACGATTCCTATCGTAGTAGAATCAATATGTGGCATCCGTCCTTAATTATTTGAATCGGCTCAATTGCAAACTATAAATTTTGGATTAATGAAATTGGCACCACCCTCGATTGACTGGGAGTCGCTGCGGTGAATGCCGAAACCGCAGTGTTGAATTTTTTATTGGCGAAAGTGACTTTTTGATGGTCCTGGCCCCAGTTGCAACGCGAACCCGACCTTTCCTCGCCCCTCAGCCCCCTATTTCACGTCGATACTCGAGATGACCCGAAGGAACAAGCGCGCTGCTCCATTTGGATAATTCCCTGAGCATCACCTCCATCAACATTAGCAGTCATCCGCGCACGATTCAGATATAAACTTTTATTTCAGTTCTGCAAATATTGATAAACTGCATTCCCGACGTATGGCTTCTCTCACCCTCGTCGATCCCCGGATTAAGGCTCTCAGTTTGTTCAACCGTTTCCTATTACCCCTTTTTTAGGCTTGTACATGATGTTATGCTTGATGACTCCCCGACGTCGTCGCAGGCGAGCGATGGAGATGTTGGACGCTCGTGTGCGGGAATTCCTGGGGATTCCGATGATGAGGACGGAGGGGTGATGCACCGACATGATAATCAGAGTGGCCACACCTCGGGGGACGACAGCGAAGACTTGGATCATCACTCGTCGATTGTTGCTGACAGCGATTTTAGGTAGAGTCGATGAGTATTTCAGTAGTAAAATGGTAGAGTGGTAGAATTTCATGAATTATTCGTTTATTCATTCTCTTATTCGTTTAGAATACGTGCCTGCGTGAGCTTACATCGTTAGACCCGCAGGGTTTCGACATATGCTCTGAATAGTCGGATGTAGAATTCGGTAGTGGAGTATACTGTTGAAAATTTTTGTCTGAAATTTCTGGCACACTTTTTTGCAATTTTTATCGAATTTATTGTAATCAATTACGCTGTTAAAAAATTTTGTTTGAATTTTCCGTTTTAAATTCCGGGAATTTTTATCGGGTTCAAGTTCCACTGAAATTTCTGCAAATTTTGTCATTGACAATTCAGAATTGCGTGGGAAAATCAAACAGGAACTGTAAATTTCCGTTCCATTTTTTCCTGAAAATGAATAGAAAACCAGAAAATTCTGATAAATATATTCTTTAATTTTCAGGACAGTGACACCGAATGCGATTTCGGGACAAAAAAATCATGGAATTTCAGATTTCACTGGAAATTTAATGTAATTTGACACTGAATATTCATACTAGATTGGAAATTTAAATAAATTATGAAATTCTCGTCTTTATGCCGCTTAAAATTCTGGAATTTTACTGAATGTTCAGTGAAACCTGAACTTTCATCATTTTTTCCCCTAAATCGCATTCAGTGTCACTGTCCTGAAAATTGGTAGTCAACTGTTTACGAAATTTCATTTTTTTTTCTAGCAGTATACCACTGAAATTTCTAGGAATTTCGACATTAAAAATACAGAATTCCGTGAAAAAATCAAAGAGAACCGGAAATTTCAGTTCTATTTTTCTCTAAAAATAAACAGAAAACCAGAAAATTCCGGTATAGTATATTTCAGGGCGAGTGCCATGGGGTTTTTTACTCGCGTGGAGGTGGCGTCTGAGCCGAAGGCGAGGACTGGCCAACCACGCGAGAAAAAAAAACCCATGGCGCTAGTCGTGAATGATATTTTCCCGTAGTGATTTTCACTTTTACGAGTTTGGGACAGGGCCAATACCAATCCCCGGACGAGGAAGAGTGAAGGTCAGTACGGGAAAGATCTATATACCCGAATTGTTCTCATTGATTTTAATTTGCATGCGATAATTGAATTAAAATTCAGTTTCCATCTATTTCTTCATCAAACTGTAAATTTCTTAGAGAATCTGTGTAGAGAATTTTAATCTTCACCAAACATTTTAGAATGTATATACCAAACCTAATAATTATCAGGATATTCTCGGAATAATCTACTGCACAATTCCATTCTTCATGTAATTATCTCGATAAAAAGTGAATTAAGAAGAAAATGGCAAGAGATTTTCTTCATGGCGGAGCTCATGGCCTTTATAAAAAATTCCATTTTTTTTTGCCTAAGCCTACTAGTATCGGAGATATTTGCAGAATAGTTTTTTACAGAATTTAAAAGCGAAGCGGTGAAATGATAGGAAAAAGATAGGGAAATCTTCTAAAGAGACCTGAGAACTATAGAAGAGATTTAAATTCTTGCAATTCAATCTGCCATTTCACTACTGAATCACCGAATGAATGTGATTTAATGCTCAGTATAATACATTGAGAAGAAAGAGTGGCGCATGAGGTAGTTTAGACTGACATCGAAATGCCTATGGGCTTTTACAATTAGCTTGTTCGGTGGACTAAGCAGCAGGGGTCGATACACCAGTTTAACTGGGGTTCTGCCATCGACGGGGCGTGACAGCGTGGTGAGCGACGTCGGTGGCTCCTGCTCAAGTCTGGGATCCTGGGCGACTCCTGAACATCATCCCAATCGCCCTGGCAGCAGTGGAAATGAGAGAAGACGGAGGCGACTCCCGGAAATACCGAAGAACAAGAAATGTAAGGATTCGATTCTTATCGAATATTTCAGAATTCGCTTTTGAGGGACAGGTTTCGAGATATTTTCCAAAAATTGATTTCTAAACGGAATGCCCTGTTCCACTACACGGAGAGAAATGTTCAGTAAAAATTACGGAACTCACAATTCGCTCACCGATTACGGAATCGTGAAAAATTACGATATCGTCACTTAAATTTTCTGAGTCGATTCCGTAATCGGTGAGTGAGTTCCGTAATTTTTACTGAACATTTTTCTCCGTGTATGTCAAAAAATATTGTTGATCACACGGCCAAAAAAAAGTATTCTAGCTCGTATGATTGCAAACTCATATTCGCCAGAAAATTTTTCTTTCCGTACTGCTCTTTACTTTTTCTCGTTCGGGGATTGGGATTGGATTAGCCCTTTCCCAAACTCGTAAAAGTGAAAATCACTACGGAAAAATGTGGTCCGGGCTGTTGTTATGGGGTTTTAATACTCGTGGGGTTGGCAGATCTCCCCAAGAGTGTATTATCCCATAACGACAGGCCGGAAATATACCGTTTCGGCCTAATGACGAAATGCACTATTTTAAAATAGCGAATTAAATGTTCATGAATATTGGCGAGGGAAGTCTAAAATTGTGGGAAATTGCCGTTTGTCAATTATCTTTATAAATTCCCCTCGGAAATAAGCCTTCGCCATTTTTCTTTCAAATTAATGCTTTGAATACCTCTTCAATTTACCTGGGCATCCCAGACTTCTCTCCGCACTCAATGTATTTTTTCGCATTGCCCGCTATTTCTGGAGTCTCCTAATAGGTGAATTATCAATTTGAAAATAAATCCATGAGAGCGCGCGAATGAGGAAGAAGTTAGTTTCATATGTTTTTCTATAGAGATGGATAAACATCCTTAATAACAACATGAATGATAAAGACAGCAGCTAAATTTCCCAATTCTTGACACATTACTAATCGCAAAATCATCGATAAATTCATGTTTACGAACTCGGCAGCACTGAATTCGTCTCCCTCGCTGGCTGAGGAGCTGGCAGGTGCCACTGGGTCATCCCGGCCGCACCTGGTGCTTCGAAAGTGTCACTCGAGGCTCCGCCATGAGGACAGCTCGCCCGATAGCGAAAGGATGGCGACTGACAGCGGACACAGCACTGCACATTCCCCTGATAATGGACCTAAGAGTGTCTCCCCTATTCCCTGCAATACTCTGCAGAATACTGAGTCAGTTTCTCCGAGTAGTACTCCAGGTAATTTGTGCCATCGTAAAAAGTTTATGGCGGTGTATTTTCCAAGATTGCGAGGGTTTAGGGGAGAATTTCAAGAAGCCTTTTTCGTCGCTCAGAGAAATTTTTATTGGAAATGCCCCTGCGTAATTACACAGATGTAATGCCTTTAAATTATTACTTACAATCGTTTTGTTTAGGTTTTAATTAATTTCTTGAATAAGTGCGCGCATGAAAAAATTCAATCGAAAACCTAGCGAATTCGCTAGAAAATTCTAATGGAATTCTATAGAAATTCTATGGGATTTCTGTAGGATTTCCATTGGAATTCTATTGAGATATTTTATAACTTTTTTGTGCTGATTATATTGCAGATTTGATAGGAAAAAGTCAATATATCTGGAATTTCTGTTTAAAATTTTCTCGAGATTTTTTCTATCAGAAATGTTGAGCACAAATTTTCTAAGTTTCTTCCGCTGGATTTTGTTTTGTTTTGATTACAGAATCCGAGTGGAAAAACTTGGAAAACTGATGCCCAAGCAGTCTTATAGAAAAAAATCTCAAGAGAAAAATTCAAATAGAATTTTTCAATTAATTCCAACAGATTTTTCTAGCGAATTCACTAGATTTTCTATTGAATTTTGTCATACGTGTGGTTTACGAAAATATGTCACCATCTCTTTAAAGCTGAGAAAATTTGTCAGAAAAAGTATAAATCGATGAATTTTATAAATTAATCATTACCCAGTCATTAAAAGTTGATTAAAATGGGAGATAATTATTATGATTTTTTGTACAGTCCATGAAACAATGATATGGTTTTTAGAAGAAAAAATTGAAAGGCCTTTGAAGACTTCAAAGATTGCCATAAAAAAATTCTTCCTATTTTTTGTAAAATTCCTCATCAATGAGATAATCGATGTGCTATCAAGTGATTCATGAAATGGTAATTTAAATTTAATGGTCTTGAGAATAAGTAATTTCCAAAAAAAAAAATGTTCAGGGACGTTTTCAAAGCGAAAATAGTTTGCCATGAAAATGTCCTTTGGCAGTTCCGCCTAAAATTGTTGCGATTTTTGATTTCCGTTCCTTCACGATTTAGTTTTCTGAATTTTTGTTAATTACGTGAGCTGTTTAATTTGCTAGGAAGCGGAGGCGTTCCCTTCACCCAATTAGAGCTTCTAGAGGCCACCCATCGGGGCCTCCACAAATTCGTTCCCCGTCATCACGATGAAATTGACCTCGAAATTGGCGATCCAATCTACGTGCAAAAAGAGGCAGACGATCTGTGGTGTGAGGGAGTCAACCTGCGAACGGGTCGTCAGGGGATTTTCCCATCCGCCTACGCAGTAGATATGGACTACAGTGATTTCGATCCCTCAGCGCCCAAAGTCAAGAGAGAGAGGTATTTGTTGGGGTACCTTGGCTCGGTTGAGACACTCGCACACAAGGGGACTGGGGTTGTTTGTCAGGCTGTGAGGAGAATTGTGGGCAATGCTTCGGAGGATTCACCGGACTCACAGAGATGTATTCTTGAGGTGTCGGACCAGGGATTGCGGATGGTGGACAGGAGTAAGCCACGAGTGAGTAGAATGATCTTTTGTTGAATGTTGGAGAAAAATTACCGAACATTCGAGTAATCGTGGAGTAAACTCGCTTAGGGATGGGCAATAATATTAGATTTTGACAATATTAAAAAGGGCTCATTTCCTTATATTGTCCAAAGTTTAACTATATTTAACAAATTTAAAATATTATAAAATTTATTAACTAAATTTTCCGATTGATGGTGAATAGAATATTTGATAATATTGAAATGTAATTTTTTAGTTAACAAGCTGATTCTAAATTTAGGTACTTGATTTTCGATTATCCAAATAATTGTCAATCTTCCTGCCTAAATTATTGGTTGATAGAATATTTCGAGATTTAAATGTACAAATTGATGGTTAATTTAATATTTAAAATTTTAAGGTTTATGTTAAAAATTGACATCTTCACAATTTAACGGTAATTATGATTGATTGATATGCCTATCAATATTGAACTCGATTTTCGGTACCTTTTCACCCTACATCGGGTAAAAAGTGCGAGACGAATAGTGAATCTCCATTGGTTCCGGAAAATTTCAGGCATCGGTATAATCATAAGTTGTAATTGACGTTCAATTTTGAATAAGGAAATTCGTAATATTAATTATCAATTTTTGTAATTAGCAAATTAGTCATCAGATAAATATTCAAATTCCGAATTGTTTTATCAATCAATAATTGAGAGAATAATTAGAAGATTGACGATTATTTGCTAATCGAAAATACTTCTATGGAATTTACAAATATTTAGTCAATTGACAATATCATTTGTTAATTATGTAGTTCATAGTTAATGGAACATTTAAATTACCAATTATTGTATTATTTTTCAAATTTCAATGAAGATAAGGAAACCTTAATTATTGTAAGGTGCAACTTCTCATAATATTACTAAATTAATTATTGATGCCGATCCATGAAAAATTTACTGAACGTGTAATTTGTGCCGAAACTGTAAAATTTACCCTGCATTCCATCAAAAATTGGCTCAGTGAACGTGAATGATTGCTCAATAGTGTGGAAAATTTTTCTGTAACGGAGAATGATTTTTTACCGAACGTATTTGATAAATGTTTCACTTCCATTCGTCCCCATGACCTTCGGATGGGTGCAAGAAGAAAAATAGCCCATCGGTATGGGAAATTTTACTGTACAGGAGAATAATTCTCATCACACTGTCCCACGTTTATCACTGTCAAAAGGAAATTTCGTACTCGGTGGAATTCTCTACGAAAAATGTCAACCGACAAATTTTCCTGCATCTCTTCCTTTTAAAGATATATAGATATAAATCTGAGCATTCTACTGAAATTGTAAAATGTAACAAGTGGATTGTGTTCGACATTCTGTCGAGTGACTTCAGGAAAAAATATGAGACGATGTTTTTGCAAACAGATGTATTTTAGATATTTAAAATTTTCATGTAATTTTTTTATTGCTGGAGATGCAAAATTGAATGAAAAATACTGAAGAGTAATTTGTTAATTTCGATAATTCTTAGTGATGTTTCAAAATAAAAACGACGTAACTGATATTTTCCATTCAATTTTGCTATTTCGTTATTTTTTCTCAGCGAAAAAAGTTTCATGCCACAACCCTGTGACATAATCCCCAAAAATCCTATTTTTAACATTAAAACATTATTTTTCATTTTTTCGTTTTCAGCAGAAAAATGGACCATGTCACGACTATTTTTATTCCCTGAAAAATGTATCATTCTGTGCATTTCATCCCCGAGACCATCGTTACCTCGGTTTTATCACAAAGCACCCAACCCTCCAGAGGTTCGCTTGTCACGTGTTCATCGGACAGGAGTCGACGAGGCCCGTAGCCGAAGCAGTCGGGTAAGTCGCCCTCAAAACCTAAATCAAAATCAAACAAAGCTGCACTGAGAAAAAAAATTACGATTGCCAAGGAATCAAAACACGTACGTTCGTTCGTTCATTCATTCATTCATTGAGTCGTGGTTTTTTAGAAGTTCATCTCCAAATATTACAATTATGTTGAATTATGAGATGATTGTGCAACATATGACCTTGCATTCAACAATTTTCATTATTTCCAACATTTTTCAATTTTTTCTCAAATTTGAGATTTTTTACGTCAAATAATTTGGAATAATTCTAAATGTTAATAATTCAACATAACAGTGATATTAAAAAAGTAAATTTTTCACCCAATGAAATAATTCCTTGGCAAAAGCAATTTTCTTTGTCAGTGTGCAACACTCTTAAGACAATAATTTTTGATTTTCATTTCCTGTTCTAGACGAGCCTTCCACCGATTCTACACTAAATTCATTGAGACTGCTTTTCCAATTGAGGACATATACATTGAGTAAACCTACTTTTAGTATCTCACCGGAGGCCGGGAGCTTGAAATATCCCCACGCCCACGAGACCCATCAGAATGATACCCACTGTACATAAACCCCAATTAGGTGTAGATACAAATATATTATGAAGAAAATAAAATGCGAATCAAAGAAACCTACGCGGCAATGTCACCCATTAAATCTCATTCATTTTTCGTTTATTCTCATGTGATTATTTTCTACCATTACAAATCCTTGAGCAAATTCATCCCATTTACTCCCACAACTTCCGGTGTCTTTTACATGTCTACATATGCACATAATCCTGATATTCATTTCACGATGTTTGTTCATTCAATTTTCATTCGTATCTGTTTTTAATATTGAAAATAGAAAAGTTCAATTGAAAACTTCATTGTTCCCAAGAACAATTTCCCAAATCACTGGATCAAATGACTCACCGAGATGTTTGAGAAATAAATGAGAGAAGAAAAACAATTAAGAAAATTAAAAGTCACCTGTTTTTTTTTTCATTTATGATCAGCAAAGTATAAATATAATAACGTATTTACAATATTATAAACTTTATTTTTAAACAATATGCTTAGGTATGTTTATTGTATTATAATCATAGTGCCGACTGTCTGTGTCACATCTGCATCAATTTCAAATTTTTATTCATGTCAGTAAAATAATGAGAAGTGATATAACAAAGTCATTGGTTTTGAGAAAATTACGTAAATTCATCTGTTAAAAAAGTTTAATTCACGAATTAAAGACATTACCAATGTATTTTAGAATGAAATTATTTTGCCTGCATATAAATGTCATTATTCCAATGAAATTAGTATTTGTCACATTGTCATATCGGGAAAGCTAAAGTATATTTCTGCAGATGTCTTGAGCAACTCAAATAATTCGTTCATTTCAACACAAAATAAAGCATAAAAGTAAAATTAGGCGATTCCATTACATTTTTCAGTCTCATGATAAAACATTATTTGCCTGACATGTGCAATAAAAATTGTTCATTCTCCTTTACGTCAATAATTCTCAAAAGTAAAACAAAATATCGGTTTACTCAAAAACACAGACAGTTTGGATTTGAAATTTGTACTATACATTAGTTCGGAGTCAGGGAGGGAGCTACAATTTCTAGTCAGTTTATCATCAATTCATTTCTTCGCATATTCTCAAAATTTGTTGTTTCAACCATAAAGTCGGTGCCTGAGACGCGCTTCGTAATTTTACTTTAGGTGATGAGTACAACATACATGTTATTATTCTTCATTTAAAATTATTCACAATATTTTCATCTTTACAGTGAAGACACAAAACATTCTTTTTTTATTCATCTTTCTTTCATTGAGGGTGGGAAGTACCTGACGACGATCGAGAGATGAAATTAAGCAAAAGTCAAACTTGATAACAATACAACACTAAATACTCCTCAGCTATTCGCATCCCCGATAATTTTGCATTGCACAATTTCGTTAAAAAAAAATTTCTCATATAACATCAAGACAATTAACAAATTCATAAAATAGGCCGAAATACAAATAAGAAAAATTGTACATAAATTTCAAGATTGACATTAAACTTTCTGTAGCGTCGTCATCGATGTAAAAATTATCTTTGAATTATTCAGTGACAAATTTTACAGTAAATATCATTGGACGTAAGTATATTAGTACACCACTTCCTTAAAATCCTAAATTATGCATCTAATGTATATGTTCGTGTGACATACATCCCCGTATTAAATGAAAAAACAAATCACTGATTCATTTCCTCAAAAACAAATCACTGATTTATCTTTTCAAAAGGGTCATCAACAAAATCTTGCAATAAATCAGATACAATTATTGGAAAAATTGACTTGTAGTTCAGAGAAAATTCATTCTCAACGACTGACATGATCACAAAATTGACCTCAACTCCCCTCGGGATGTATGTCCTTGTGTACACGGGGTGCATTTATTGAAAAATCACTCAAACCAATTATGAAAATTGCATTGTTTTGTTTCCTTTTTTTCCTGACAGAGCAACTCTCCAATCATCGATAACTTCAATTATGCAGTCAATATTACAATTAATTTCAATCTTCAATTACAATTCTCTTCACACTCCTCCGCTTAATAGTACACGGTGAATAATCCATGTTGCATAATCATTAATTTTATATTTAATATTTATATATGTATATAGTAAAATTAACATTGCAGTCTTACGGTGAGCCAATTAAAACGATGGCAACGATTCAAAACGTCATCTTTCTTAATCAGTGTTTTCTTCTTCATTAGTTTACTTACAATCTTAGTCTCAACATCGTAATTGCCTAGTAAATTAGTTAGGTATCCTTATCCCATTATTACGATTTCGTTAATAACTCATTATCCCTTGTCTAAACGTGACAGACATGTTGGATAGAGGTAGTTCATACTCAGCCGTTTCATTTATTCGTAAACGTTTCCTGAATTTTTTTTTAACATTTAAAATGGGGAAGTTTTGTCGCTGTGACGATGAATTTGATAGTCTATGTGACAAATGAGGTGACTTTACTCCGTTGTAGCAATGAAATTCCTCTTGTCTCGTGCATTTGTTTCGTTTTTTCTTCATTGATGAGTCTTATTTTTCCCGTGCTTTTTTACTTTGCAAAATTTCTTCGTTAATTGCACAATTATTCCTCATTTAGAATTCATCAGTCACTTTTATTTGCAGAAGTTGTTTTTTCTTGTACTGCTTCATTTGTTGTGGCTCTTAAAAAATCCAAGGACAATTTCCAGTGAATAACCACTTGGTCGTCTTCATTTCTTCGTGTTCCTGGGAAGAGCATTGGAAAACGTTTTTCGTCAGGTGACTCGATGTCCTCGAGTACAAACAACTCGCTTCGTTTTTTTGTTTTGTTGGTTGGCCCCTCCAGGGATTGCGCCAGGCTGAATGTTGCAATCGTAGACTCCTGGGGAACAGTAACTCCTTAAGGTACGAATGTTATGTGCCACATTTCACTGAGGTACAGTAGGGAACAGCCAGTCTGTGGACTTTATCAAAATTTTCCTAAATCCTGGGAAGAAGGACGAGGAGAACTTAAGTTTCGTCCTTCTTGAATTGGTTTCAGACACCAACGTTCTGTTTAACGTTGACCTGCATACTGTGATGATCCTGTTGGAGGGTCTTGATCATTTTCTTCTGGATTTCATGCTCGGCCTGGAATGGTGAAATTAATAGTTATTGTGACGTATATTTATTGTTTGTGGATGAAAATCGATGGGTGGAGTTATCTTGAGGGTTAATCTTTGATAAATATCTTCGCTGATCGTTTTTAAGATTTCGTTATGTCCCATTCGAACAATCAGAGGATTATGAAAGGATTTGAGCAGAGTTTATTCATTGATTTCGTTGATTTTAGGGCTGCCAATCACGTTTCATAAAAAAATTAAAAAGAACATTTTCTTTCCGTTCACTAGTAGAGAAAAATGTATTAAGGATATCCAAGTATTTTTTATAGTTTGGTACAGACTACAGTATAGATTCAACCATTTACAATCATCAAAGTTGTCAATTAAATTGCGTGAGAAAAATTTGAAAAAAATCATGAGAATCATTGGCGTCATTCAAATGACATTTTGCACAGAATTATTAATTTGTAATCATTCGTGGTTCAGAAATAAATGATTGAGATTTTTAAAAATTTTGGAGATCTTATTTTTTTAGGGATGAAATCGATTTTTGATAAAGTTCTGAATATGAATAAATTTGTTATGATTCCGAAGAGATGATTTTTATATTCAGGTTCAGATGAATCAGAGCTTAAAAAAGGTCATTCCATAAGGATATCATGTCACCCTTAATTTGCTCGAATAATTGAAATATTTTCTTTGACGAGTTTATTATTTTTTATAGTCACCTGTAGTTGATCAAAATTTTGTCGGCGTGTGTGCAGCTCTGAATTCTCAAATACCAGTCCTAACTCATTGATCTGCGACCCTTGATAATCTATACTGTCCTGAAGATGCGCATATGTCTGTCTCAGTGTCTCGTCCACCTTCTGCTTCATCAAATAAGAAAATGATGGTTTATAGATTTATTCGTTCAACGTCAATTTCCATATTTCCTTGAGATACATCCACATGCTTTGTAAAATACATACCTCGGGCACAAGGTGAAGAATATCAGCCCTCGCGGATTTTTCTGCAATATCAGAAATAAGAAAGATTAATAAAGAAACATACGCCCGAATCGAATGAGCAATTAAATACGACGAAAATTCAGGTTCAGTTCAGTCTTTAATTATTATTTTTTTAAAGAGTAGTGATTTCTAAAGAGAATGTTCCCGTTTTCTAATTTTTCCAAAAATTATTTGAGTAAGTCAAAATTACGATTTGTGATGGGAACTTGAGATATTCTAAGTGCAAAATAATTAAGCACATGAGTACTCAATACTTGTGAAATAATTAAGTACCAATTCGACGTGTACTTAATGATTAATCAATCTTATGGGTCTAGGCACATTGAATACTTGTAACTTGAAAACAATCTGAGTACTAAATACCACAATATTTAGTACTTGATAACTTCTCAAATCCTAGAAATCCCTTGTTTTTCTTGGAATATTTTGGAAATGCAAATCTATAAAATTTTCTGAAGGAACTATTTTGGAGAATTCTTTGAATTTTCAATGATGAAATTTTCGAAAATGTCTGAAATTTTTAGAAAGTTTTAGAATTCCCTAAAAATTGTATTTTTTTTTCAAGTTTAACAACGCAGGAAACCTCACTAATGAGTAAAAACATTTGTGCTTGGAGTGTCGATTAGTTGTGTCAATTTTTCTTAGAGCCAAGTAATTTTAGGAGAGAATATCACATTTTACCAAAAATCATTTGATTTACTCAAAATTATAATTTGGGATGGGGAACTCACGATATACTAAATCTGAGTACTTAATACTTTCCTCTAGTACTAATATTTTCATATTCTTCAAAGCATGATTATAATTAGGTACAAATTCAACATTCACTTAGGAATTAATCCCTCCTTCAATTCAAGGACGTCAATTACTACTTGAAAACAGTCTGAGTAGATCAAGTATTTAGTACTCAAGACAGTTCAAGGGCCAATTGTCTAAGAGCCGATTGCACACAGCGCTGTTAACCCTATAAATCGTCAGAATAAATTTATGTCTGGGGTAAATTTATTCCCCAGTTAGACAATTTCAGAAATTTCTCGTAAATGAATGGCTTCATTCCGCCATTCGGTCGTGAATATTGACTAAATAGTTTTTCATTAGTAATATTATTGACAAACTTTGTTGATACATTGACACGTCATGTTTTTTGAGAATATATATTTGACAAACTTTCGATCAAAATTGATCGGCAGATGATTTTCATTTATTCCGATACTCAATTGAAGATTTTCTTAACTGGGCTTGGGCTACCTACACCCGGGCGTAAGTAGTAAGTACAGAATATTTAGGATTCGATAACTTCCCCAATTCTTGCAAATAGTATATTTATAACCTAGGGAGGTAAAATAAGGGAGCCGTGGCCACGTGCGGTTTACCACCCGAGCCGAAGATAAGGGACCTTTATTTTACCTCTTGTGGTTAGAACTATATTGTTCGCCTCAGCGTAGACGCAATATCAGACTGTCAACTTTCAGACTAAGAAAAAATTACTTCTGCCGAAGTAATTTCAATTATATGTTCAATCTAATTAATTTAATTTTGATTTTTCAATTATATGTTCCCCTAAGGAGATGTTTTGTCGTGTTGAATCAATTTACTTGCGGGAAAAAAAGAAAGTTTCCACCAAAACATGATAATGTTTGTAGTAGTAATTGTTCTCGTGAGACATTTATACGTCTCTCGGGTAAATACATTCTTTCTTCAGAGAATTACATGAGGCTCTCGTTTTATCAAGTGAATATTATTGAGTAGTGTCTATTTTGTCCAATAAACACTCATAATTTCCATAGAACAAATGATAATTTCAAGAGGAAACTACAATTTCCTTGCCGAAAACTGTGTTATTGGCAAAACTAAATGACTTGAGGGATCAATTTTTTGGGGGATGAAATATTCATTCCTCGTCAATATATTTTTTCTATGATGTAAACCTATGGAGTTCTCTCAGATGAAACGATTGTCGTACAATAGATTATATTTTTTCCTGCCAACCGTTCGAATTCTTCTCCGGATATTTCTGATGATCACGACAAACATTTAATTTTTGTGAAAGGTATTAAATTTCCTCAATAATTAAAAGGTAATAAATTTCCTCAATACCCAATCAAGCTGGTTAATTTCCCTCAAGTAAATCTGTTGCACTCCAAATATTCTCACGTGAAACACATAATTTTTCGGCGGAGCTAATTATTTCTCTCAGTGTGTGTACTTTGCGCTCGCCAGGGCGAAATAGTGTATTTCGATATAAGTGCGATGGGTTTTTTACGAGTGTGAAATTGCAGGCCCGAGGCGAAGCCGAGGGCTGCCAATCACACGAGCTGAAAAATGCCAGTCGCACATGTGTCGAACTATATTCTTTGTCAGTGATGTCACGTTCAGCGAGTGGCGAACTGGGCTTTTTTCGTTTCCAAGTAAACGAAAAAACACTTTTCAGCGCGAAGTGAATGTAGCAGCAATGACAAAAAAAATGATAAAATTGAAAAAAAAAATCTTGAAAGTTCTTCACATTTTTCGATGACCAAGTTTTTGGTAATGGCCAAGATGTTCAGAAATTTCTGAAAGATTTTTTCCAACCTGAGCATCGCAGGGGACCGCACGAACGAGTAAATATGTTTGTACTTGCATTGGCGATCATTTATTACACCAATGCAAATTATGACCCAGTACTAACCTTGGAATATAGTATTTATATATTTTCAAGCGGTAAGTAACTCTACTCAGAAATTCAAGTGCTAGAGTACTTAGTAGTGCCCATTACCGATCATGAGATCGAGGAGACATGAAAAGTCAGCTTTTAAGTATCAAAATCCGTAAACTTACTGTCAGGGTTCAAGGGATGTGTTATGGCGTCCAGCATCCTCATGATATCTAAAAACAATAACCAGAGTTACAGTCACTGTCTTCGAAATATCCACAACTACGATATGATGGTATTTTTGGCGCAAGAGGACGTGAACTAATAAAAATGACGAAATGCCAAACTCAGAACTTATTAAGGGGAGACTCCGGTGAGTTTTTTAATTATCACAGTTTATTGAAGTGCCGATCTCCATATGTTTCTCCCATATTGCATTTATGCGAAAATCGATCATTAGTCAGCCGAAAACTCATCATTTATTGTCCGTTAATCGTCTAGCAACTTTTTTCCCCAAAAAAATCTCCCAAACATGTGCAGAAAAACTATTATGAATCGCTTTTTCTGTATGAAGAAATCTTAATCAGTATAAATGTTATTTGTGTCCACTAAATTTCTCCATATGAAAAAAAAACGTAATTGTGCTATTTAGGTTTAATTATGGTTTAGTGTACTGTTTGACAAAATTTGGAATTCCATGGACAGTCGACTAGCAATCCTCAAGATAGTGACATTGAATGCGATTTACGGAGGAAAAAAGCATGAAATGTCAGATTTCACTAAAAATTCAATGAAATTTCAAAGATGAGGGTTCCTCAACCTATTTGAATTTTCAATGAAATCATTACCTTCAGCACCGAAATACGACAAATTGTTAATCAATTAAAAATTCACGAATATATTTACCGGAATTTTTCTGTATTCTCCTAATTTTCAGGGAATAATTGAACTGAAATTTGCAGTTCTCTCAATTAGGAATGACTTAATTGCTTGAAATTTCAGTGAAACTAAAATGAAATAATTAAAAATATCCAATATGGAGAAAACATGGAGATTCTCACTTCAATAACCCCTGATGTTGAAAACTCACCGAGTCTCCCTTTAAATCCTTCGGTTCTGAACGGAAGAAAGAAAATAAATCAGACAGATGGGAAGTGTTGAGTTGTTCTTGTGGTGTCATACATGTATGTAAACTGATATATTTTTTTCCTATAGTGCGTCCTCTTGACTGGGAAATGAGTTTCTGCTGGGCGATGGCACTACAGTTGTACCTGAATCCGAATTCATAAGCTCCTGGAAAGTCGGGTTGTCTATGAGATCCTCCTCAGTATCAGATTCCTGTCGTTGTCTCTTATCTGACTCGTCAGAGTCATCGTCCTCCAACGGCCGTTTGCCAAACCCCTCATCTGGCGTGTCCATGGCAGAGGTAGATGCCTCGGATTTTATGAACATTCCCATACTCTCTGGCTGCCCATAATAATCCACTGATGGATCTATTTGTGGATATTGGGAGCCACCGGCTCCCGGTTCCGGGGTTTCGATGTATGACATTTCGCTATTTACATCTGGATGCAGGACTGAGGGGTTTGTACTCATCTGGTGAGGGTCGTAGAAGTGTTGGTCTTGAGACAGAACTGGTTGCATGTGAAAGTTTGTCTGTTGCAGTTCAACCTGAAGAATAAATAATTTAATATTTAATATATTAAGAATGGAGAATGAATAGGGAATATATGGACGAGATGAGCCAATTATATTTGGGAGAAGTTAGTTCGAATATGATAGGGAGTTGGTATGGAGACGGTCGATAAAATAGTTTTGATAAAAATAATTCGTATTGTCTTCTGTCACGAGATATTGATCACAAGTTCAGCATAGGAATGATTAGTTTTTATAATTGGGAGTTTGATACTTGTCTTCAGGGACAAAAATGAAAATGAATAAAATAAGCCCGAACGACAGAATTTCCTATTCCTGAACTGAAAAAAATCTACAATTGTTGTATTTTTTTTACTATTTTTTTAAACATAATAAATACATAAAAGTAGAAAAAATAGGATGTGAAACGATAATTTACCACTTATCCATCACGAAATAGATTAACCCCACGATAAAACAGGGAACATTGATGAAAAAATAAAACCAAAATGTTATCAAAAGAAAATAAGGAAATGATCAAATGCTGATATGATACAAATTTTTATTTCTGAAAGTAAAAAAAAATCGACAATTGTTGTCATCTGAATTTTTTTCTAAAGTAAAATAGGAAATAAATAATTGTTTTATCAACCGCTTCTAATAATCAAAGAGTACTCCTTCCTTTCATACAAATGGAACAGATTCACATCAGATTTTTTTTTCTATTCCGTTGATTATTGTAGATGAATAAAGTTGGCCCTGAAGGGGAGTGCTTTACGCACTCAAAATATTGGCTGCTAGTTTTCGATTAATTGTATTAGTTATTGCTGAGGATGGCCGCAGAATGGCTCACGGAAGGAGTTTTCCCTAGTAAATAAATAATAGTAAAAAAAATACTATTTGAAGCGATAATTCAGCAAATGTACATCACGACAAAGAATCCCACGTTAAACCAAGGACTGTTGATAAAAAATAAGAAGCAAAATATTATCACACGAAAATAAGGAAATACTCACACTGTTAAGGATATCAGCAACAACAGGACTAGGGAGTTCCGGTATAATTTTTTCGGCAATTTGATGTGTCCCATTTTGCCTGCTTGGTGATGCTTGCGCTTGCGTGCGATGTGGTGGCTCCTCGTAATTTTCAGTGCCCTGACTGCTAGTTGAAGATGCAGTGCTCATTGTCCTCTTCATTTGTTTCGATTTGCTCCTGCCAGGTCTTGGAATCATCTTAACTCCCAAGTGATTCGCCTGGACAGAGGCCGGTGGTAGTCTAGTCGAGAACATGGCTGCTTTAGCGTATTGCAGGTCTGGGGCAGGTCCTGGAGAGATTCGCCCGTCGACAGGTATTGGTGCCGAGAGATCACTGATCAATTGAAGAATTACTCCCTCGAGTTGAGTTGGATCCTCGACACTTGGGGCTGACTCCGCCTGTGGGTTCAGCATTTCTGGATCAAATAGCCCTCCAGCCATGTCGTGTAGCGTCGCTGCGTAACGATCCTTCATCTCGCGAATCAATTTTTCACCCTCCTCTGCTTTGACAAGGGTGTTAACGCAAACAAAGGACTCGAATGTACCGGTTTTTGTGTCCATTTCGAGGTATCCGTGGGTTCTGAGGTAGATAAATTCACCGGTCTTCGAGAGGAGTCGGTAACAAGATGATCCAAAACCTTCACGACGATCGTACACTGGAAGAAGTGAAACGCAGATCAAGTAACCGTGGAAGAATAATCAATTTTTGATTGCTGCCGAATGAAAACGCGTTTTTTACTGATATTGTCTCACCGATGAATGATTTTTCTGAAGAATCTCTTGAGAGTGACTTATAAAATCCCTCAATTGTAAGATTTTTGGTTAACCCTCGATCACGCGCTCAATGAGCGCGGCGCCGGCCGTTTGCGTTTTTCAATATTTTAGTGTTTTGGACGCGTAAAAAATCTGAAAAAATTAGAGTTCCTAGTTCAATCTTTTTATTAAGCGTTGACGCGGTCCGTTTTTTTGTCGGGTAATTTGTTTAGCTAAAAAAAGGAAAGAAACCTCGAACGGACAGGAAAGCGGCGCCGCGCCGGCCGGTGCGAGTGAGTTCCTGTTGACCGCTCGAGCGGCAGTGTTGCTACATTCACTGGCACACTTGAAATGCGCACGTAGCGGTAAGTGTCAAGGCGGCAACAGCGCGCTCCGCTGACCGTGCGACGGATGAAGGCTAGCGGCCGAGTGCGAGTGATCGAGGGTTAAGCGATCTCAAGACAATCGGACATTTCTGCGCTGTCCCATGTATAATATCCCAAGAACTCATTACCTCGGCTCTTACTTTCTAAATGGATCGACGGAGGAAAACTATCGACATTTGTCGATGTAATACGTGTGAGTACTAAAGCTTTATATATTTTTTGTTATTGAAGCGACGAGAACACGAGCAGAAATCTTAGATATTTTTGACTCTAGATATTATAGTAACTCTTCCACATAAAAGTTTAAAAGAATATTTATATTGAAAGTAAACACCGGGAAAATAATAACAATAAGACTAGTAATAACGAAACTTATGTATATACTCCTGCTTCACTGTAACCCCCTTGCTAAGAGAGAACACTCAAGAGCAATAAATGAAACTAAGTTTAGTAATAGTTTTCCGAACAGCCTCATAGCATTCGATATAGCGGGGAATGAAATCATGAAATTTCCAAATTATGACTTTTCAATGACGAAATGCTTTGTAATTCCAGTGCTACTATCGCTGCATAAAAAATTTCAAGAGTTGTACCTGAAATTTCTCCTAAAAATTGTCAACAGTGTAATCACAAAAATTCCACATTTCTGAATGCAGGAGTGAAATTTTGGAATGTAACAATTTGTTCTCTCCCCTCTTTATAAATACTATTATACATAGTATTATGCACCTGTATAAACATTTCCTTTATAAACATTTCTTCTTGATATATCCAAGAAACTTGAAATGAAGGCTAGGAGCCGAATAGCTCAGTTGAGTGAGTACCCGATGCATAATCAGACGGTCTCGGTTTCAAATCCCAGTCTGGACTACCAATTCTTTCAGTATATTTTTCTTGTAAATTAATATCGAGAATGACACTACTTGGTTCCCCTCCTACCTACTCCAAAGTCCTATCCAACAATATCCTATGACGTCACAAGCTGTGGAGTGCTATATAAACTCCCGTCTTGAGTGAACTCCCGTGTTTAGTTAATAAGGGGAAATGTCAGATCTTCGCACATTCTCCCAAACCCACCTCTCATGAAATGCACAAATAACAAAAACACTTAATTCTCCTTTTCTACTGAACTTAGCAATCAACTTATAGATTTATCCAATGTACTTACTCTGTCGTAACCCAATCATCGTCCACCTGACATCATCCTTGTGCATATAACGAAAGGCATTAGCGCCGGAAACCTCTTCCGACATGTATCCAGCAACAATGGATATTCTGTGATCACAGAAGATGATACGACCGTCAACCAAATGACGTGTTACATACTCCTCTTTAGTGGCTTCGAATAACGATAGCTCGGTTACGCGTCTGTGCATAAGGCGTGCTATTCCAACGAAAATAACATCGTTGTTCGTTGCAGGGTATTCTGTAACGATTTCCAACGGTTAAATTATCAAAATAAAAAATGAGATGCAATAATTGGTTTTCAGTCAGCGCGTGGAGCTCTGCTTTTGACAGATTTCAATTACATCGTCTCGATTTACGTAATGACTTCTTACCTCGATCCGCCGGTCGTTTTTGACAGTAATCAGCTAGCCTGTGGACCCCTGAGATGCTAAAACACTTGTACTGTATGTGCTCACCCCTCGAATGCGTTCTCTGCGCTATTTTTATAACGAAATTTCGTCGTCGTTGAGCAGTTCTTTTGCTATTGTCAGACGACGTGGAGTTCTGATCGTGATTGGAGCCATCAGTTACTGCTGGGAAGGCTCCACTCACCGCTAGACCACGACTCAACTCATCGTGGTCGTCTGGGTGCACGTAATTGTACAGCGATTTTCCCATTAGTTCGGTCTGGAAGGAAATTTTCATTGGGGCTTTTTTAAATCCTAAGTCGGGGAAAATTCAGGGACTGATGGAATTACTCATATAATTTTAAGGAGGTTCAGTCACTATTGATGAATTGTAGAGGTGAATATGACCAGATAGATATTTGTACATTGTTAACAAGTGACGCTTATGGGAGAGAAGAGTTGATACTAATGCCCCAGTCATTGATAACTACATAATTACGTTGATAAATGGCCCAATCGTTAATAGCTACCAAATTATGGGTCGCTGCGATAGAATTGTTAGTTAGTTAAAAATAATAGTGTCCTTCGTGGTCTACATGGTCTAATTTCCAGAAGAGTGACATTGAATTCATATTTCACGTGAAAATTCAATCAAATTCGATATTTTTGAGCGGCAGGAAGACTAAAATTCCACAACTCACGTGAACTTTCAATAAAAATTTGAATATTCAGTGCCAAATTACACTGAAATTTCAATTAATTAAAAAATCAATAATACATTGTTATCGATTTTTCCATAAAGTTTGTAATTTTCAGTTACAAAATTCCTTGAAATTTCAGTGGAAATATAGTGTAATAAAAATTTCTTAGAAGTGAGACGTTAACTAGAAATGAATCTCGTACCACAAGCCCTTTCCCAATAATTTTATTCGCCACCTCCTCATCGATCAAAAGGGAATAAAAATAACTCGAATCTTCAACTATTCAATCCCATTTTCGCCCTCTTTTACAATATTTATTATCAACGAGTGAAACGACTCAGAGAAAAGTATTTATAAACCAAATGAGCAACGAAGTTTCAACAGAAATATGAAATTCAACAATTACATTTTACCACTTCCCTAAAACATTAATTCTGTAGTTAGTTGACGTGGGTTTAACGACGTCAGTCTTGTTTTCACCGCAGGTAATCCAGTCTTAGGATTTTTATTCTCTCCCCGTATTCATACTCACAATGGACGTCTGATTGTAGACACCCTGCGGGGGATAACTTAGTGTATCTTCTTGAGTATGTGAAGGAATAAAAAATGAAGTCCGGGGGCAAGATGATTATCCCTCGTCAAGCACAGACGGGGAGAATTATCGTTAAGCTCACTCTCGCTATCAAGTTTGTGAAAATTTGGTGAATTTTCATGGAATTCTTCTCGGAAGAAGTTGAATTCGTTCTGTCACTTTGATATTTTCGTCTTACAGGGAGATGGAAATAAATCGTGTGTTTTCACGTGTCGATATCAATACATATTTCTGTTGTGAAACGAGTGAATGATTTCAATGGCATGGAAGACTATCCTGCGTATCGCGGATTTCTCTTTTCAGAGAAAGGGAGGCAAGTATTATCAAGGTTTTCCATGGTTTCTCCGTTGTTGGCACGTGTTTACAACGTGGAATATATTTTTATCAAGCAAACTGTGGTATGATGCATCGTGAAATGCAGTGGAATAAGAGGAGACTGAAATGTTCGTTAATAATTGGGTGAACTTATGGAATGTACACTGAGAGAAAAAAAGCAAAGTTCTCAAACAAGTCTTATTTGTGCCCAATAAATCGTTTGTTAAAAATTATCAAAACGAATTTTTTGTGTGAAACGTTGAACGCGTGCGCCAAGAATGAAAATGTTAATTGCAAAAATATATTTAGATTACATAGGTTTGACTAATAATACTTATGAAAATTTTTCATCATTTCTTCGAAGAGTATCTCCTAAACTTCTTGTTCAGGAGACGAGGTAAATATTTCTCCTCGATTATCCAATCCAAAAGAACTATTGAAAGAACTCCTGGAGCTTATTACGAACACTGAGATTGTCCTTGAATATTCATGCTTATTACTCTCGTGACATTACAGAAGAATTCCATTAATTTACAATTAATAATGAATTTTCCAAGAAAAACGGGAAATTTTATTAGTTTAGGGTATCAATGTTCAATTCTATTCACAAAATTGTCGGGTCATGTGACGAAATTAAGGATAAATTTTGCACTTTCCAAAGTATGACATGAATATTCTGTTTCTCATATAATATCCAGTAAAAATGTGGCAACTCAAAGACTCACTTTGAATTGTAAGGATTTTGGAGGAAGATGAATTCTTTCTGTTGGTACAATTGACATTGTTAAGTGGATAATAATGTTCACTTACCGGTAAGTGTCCCAGCGGTCCCTCTATATTCCTGCCTACATGTACAATGCTCCCGGTGGTTGTCACAATGAGTAGAAAAGAACCATTTCCTTCGCAACTCTGAAGAATAAATTCAGTATTAGATTTCCACTAGCCTTCAACGATTTCTAACGTCAAACTTACATCAAGGCAAATCTGCTCAAGGTCTATGGAGTTGAATTTACTTGGGACAGATCCTTGGTTGCCTTGGCCAAGAGCTGTAACACATTTCCATGGAGTGTTTTCATTTTCTTCTCATTCAACTCGATTCATTTATTTGTTAAAAATGAGAAAAACGAAGGTTACAAATGCTTATGGAGTTGAAATGATGGATATTTTTCAAGGATCATGTTTTTTTTTTCCTTTCGAAAAACATGACCTCGCGGCTTATTGGATATCTTTGATTCCAATTTCATTGCAGTGTTCGCTTTTCCAGGAATTCACAGAAGAATTGGGTACATTGTGTCACATTTTTCACAAAGTTTTTGCCAGTGGAATCCAAAATATAATTGGTTACCATTGAGGGCACGTGTATATGAATACTGTACACGATACACTGTATACACGATACACGATATACATTAACATTCTGTTTTCATACTCGTGTCAGTTTGTTTTACCTTTTGATATTGTTTTTACGAATACACGTGCACGTATTCTGTGGCAATATTCACTTGCAACACACGTTTATTTTTTATTCATATAGATGAATAAAAAACGGAAAAAGTATCAGAAAAATGAATATTGGAAATGCTGTCGAAATTGTCGAATCGAGGAGTTATTGAGTGCGTGAAGAGGAGATATTACTTCTGTGCAACAATCGTTTATTGCATTTAATGAATATTTATCACGGCAAACAAATTTACTAATTGGAAAATGTCGGATTTGATGGGAGGAATTGGAGGTTTTTTAAAACTCGGATTTATTGTTCTGAAAATGGGATTTTATTCTCCCGGTAAAATCAACACTTCTATAGAAATTCCTCGGCTCAAATTTCCCGAGTTTTTTGCCTGAAAACGTGAATTTTTCTAGAATTTTTCTCGACAATTTCTCTCCGTGTAGAAGAATTGTCAATCTTCATGTATTTATTGTTTCCATTATTTTTTTATGTACAGTAGAGGCTTCGTATAAGATACCTCGCGCTCGGAGCGCTCGAGGCCTACCCCCACTCTCGGCACTTTTATCGCCTTCTGAATGTTTATGTTCCGTGAGCTTCTTATAAGATACCTATGGCCCCGGTCATTTTTCAACGGGAAGAGAGTAGTTATACGGATCAAACGGTGTTAAGGGTCAAATCGGAGGGACGAACGAATTGATCATGAGGATCTAATGACCTTAAGGGGGGGTCACACCACTTTTTTCAAGTAGTGGAAATATACATTGATTTTTTTTTCACTTTTCCCATCGAAAAATCGTAATTTTTCGTCTGTGATTATTCTCGAGTCCACCAACAATCCCCCAACGTCAGCTGCCATTCTATCACGCGGGGTTATATTTAGAGAGAAAAGGGAACATGGGGGACAGAAATTCAAAACATTAAACACATATAAATTGATTAGTTATCGATATTCATTCAGTAAAAATGAACATTTCATTGAATTCGGATGCAACGAGCGAGGTATCTTATTTGAAACCCGCTGATCCCTATTTTTCTCCTCTCTATGGGAGAGCGCGTAGGTGGGGGCATAGGGGTTCCCGTAATTCCTTTCCTACTGTCCCTAAGGTATCTTATACGAAGCCTCTACTGTACTTCCAATGTTTCGATATGTAATATATTCATGATGTAACGCGGAGTGATAGTGATAAATATGATAAGCCATTGAAAATAATTAACTTCTCTCAAGTAAATATGGTCTACATATTAGGAAATTTTCCTCTCAGTGTAGAAAGATGAAATTCTATTGATTTTTCATTTAAAGGCCACGCGGTAAAGCTGGGCAATTCTTTAAGGATTGACGTAAGCATCTTTTTTACAAGAGTAAATTTTTTCATGGTCAAATGCCATGAAACTTTGGCAAAACGTTATTTGAACTATTATAAAATGATCGATCTATCGCTCAGCTCTTCGTCATATTGTCAATATCGACATTTTTGTTTTTTTATGTTTTAGTTGATATCGACAATATGACAAAGCTATGACAAATATGACAAAGCTAAGCGACNTTTTTCAAGTAGTGGAAATATACATTGATTTTTTTTTCACTTTTCCCATCGAAAAATCGTAATTTTTCGTCTGTGATTATTCTCGAGTCCACCAACAATCCCCCAACGTCAGCTGCCATTCTATCACGCGGGGTTATATTTAGAGAGAAAAGGGAACATGGGGGACAGAAATTCAAAACATTAAACACATATAAATTGATTAGTTATCGATATTCATTCAGTAAAAATGAACATTTCATTGAATTCGGATGCAACGAGCGAGGTATCTTATTTGAAACCCGCTGATCCCTATTTTTCTCCTCTCTATGGGAGAGCGCGTAGGTGGGGGCATAGGGGTTCCCGTAATTCCTTTCCTACTGTCCCTAAGGTATCTTATACGAAGCCTCTACTGTACTTCCAATGTTTCGATATGTAATATATTCATGATGTAACGCGGAGTGATAGTGATAAATATGATAAGCCATTGAAAATAATTAACTTCTCTCAAGTAAATATGGTCTACATATTAGGAAATTTTCCTCTCAGTGTAGAAAGATGAAATTCTATTGATTTTTCATTTAAAGGCCACGCGGTAAAGCTGGGCAATTCTTTAAGGATTGACGTAAGCATCTTTTTTACAAGAGTAAATTTTTTCATGGTCAAATGCCATGAAACTTTGGCAAAACGTTATTTGAACTATTATAAAATGATCGATCTATCGCTCAGCTCTTCGTCATATTGTCAATATCGACATTTTTGTTTTTTTATGTTTTAGTTGATATCGACAATATGACAAAGCTATGACAAATATGACAAAGCTAAGCGACAGATCGATCATCTTATAATGGTTCAAATAACGTTTTGCCAAAGTTTCATGGCATTTGACCATAAAAAAATTTACTCTTATGAAAAACTCCCGCCAAAATTGCTTACGTCAATCCTTAATAGAATCGGTCAGAAACTAATATAATTTTCAATAGAAGTTCAATAGCAATCCGATAGAATTTTCTATCGACAGTTTTTTGCGATGGAATATTTTCATGCGTGTGTTCAAGTGTAGACTCACTGTAGTTGATCCTGAGGTAGGCTGCCGATAGCCTGAGAATTGATATTTTATCCTGACGCCTTGAGCTACCAGCTACAGCGGGCACCATGGCTGCCATCATGGCAATGTTTGCGTTGAGGTTGTCTCGTCTCTGCTTCTCCGCCAAATTCCTCGAGGCTCGGGCACTACTGCAACAATTACAATTAACAAGTTCAATATTTACTCGATATTACCGAGGTCACGTGTGTTCCAAATTTCCGTAATATTTGTTGATTAACCCACAATTGATGTTTTTATTTCAAAATTCATCGACGGTAGCTGTGGATATTCGTACACGTTATACGCAGAACAATATCTTTGTTCATGTGAAATTCATGGGAATATCGACGGGTTAAATATTTGATGTTTGTCACGTGCTCTGGCGCTGCAGCGATAGATTTCCGGAGGATTTTCCTGGGGAAACATTACGTGACACGTGTATTTGTTGTTAGAACCTTCGCGAATAGGGTGAAGGGATAATTGGAAGCACTAGAGATAAGAATTTTCTATTGAAATTTTCAATGAAGGAATTTTCAGGCTTTCATTGGATATGTCAGCATGACATTTATTCTTTTAATCTATTAATATTCCAATTTGTTTACAAAAATTTTGGATATTATTATCAAAACCTCTATATCGATGCTACATTTAATCTCATGAATAAGTAGCAAATTTAGAAATGATTTCTGTTGTTATCAAGCTCCCAGGCTGAAATTTTGCGCATGGTTTCTCAATAGATTGAAGAATGTATAAAAAATTATCAATTTCTAGCCAATTGTTTATTCTCTCTGACCAAGTCGTAAAATCCTTAGCATTTGTTTCTGTTCACCCCCAGGGAATAAAGTACCGCAAATTATGACCAAGGCCACTGACATTTCCATTAGGCTGGACATTTTACATTTTTATGTATTTCCCCATTTTTCTACATCTAAAATTAAAATTTTTATAGACACACCCACGCATGCTGCTGCGTCACGAGGTCAATGTACAAACCTAGACGGAGGAAAAAATGAAAAAAAGTTTCGGAGGAATTTTGTGAATTTACGCTGAAGGAGACTGAGCTTGATTGTTTGAAGGTCTGTTGGTGAAGTGCCGCAGTCGAGCTTCTATTCATTCCACCCCACAGCACCGCACCACAGTATCAGGCTGAATTTGATCGTAAATTATTGTGACACGTCGTAACTTCACGAGTAACAATCGAAATATTCTGTGGCCACTGTGACAGGATAATGGAAACATTGACTTATTACAAGTGTGTTAAATTGTGGGGGGATATTTCCGGATGCAGGTAACGATTAATGTTGTAATGAGTGTTGATCACCTGTCGATTGTTTGTCACTGTTGTAATAATTGAATTTGGGGGGTTTATGTAATGTTAGTGAATTAATCCAGAAATTAATAGTCATTCATGTTACGGAGAGATTGGGGAAGTCTGGAGCACGGAAGTTGTTACCAGAAATTATGTATTAAATTAATATTCAACCAATGCATTTTTTATAAATTTTTTGCACTTGAAATGAGTTTGAAATTTTCATGTGGAGCGTTTCGGAAAAATTTCGGAATTAAGTGGGTTAGAGGGTGACGTAAAAAGGTTTTTTTATAGGAAACTGAATTACATTGTTAAATATTTTCAGGAACAATGCATGGAAACAGTAGATTTCAATTCAAGTATTCCATGAAAATTTATTGAAGTAAGAAAAATTAAAATGATTAATTAATTAAAATTAAAAATGTTTGTAATTTTCGAAAATTGCAATTTGTGAATTATTTCATCCATCTTCCTCCAACAATAAACTTTCTAATTTTTTTTCAGATTTTTAAAATGTTTTCTACCGGTTCATTATCGAGTTTCAAATTCAGACCTGCGAAATTTAAATAGTAAAATCATTGTAAAATGTCCGTGGTGAACGTAGCAGCAATGACAAAAATTATAAATCCATTGTCGATGAAATTTCAATTTTTTCCTAACAGTATCTTGACATTTGCTTCTAAAGAGAATACAATTTTCATTTTGTAAATATCTCTAAAACTAGTGGAGTCAGATAAAAATAACACCATAATCCAATTTTCGAAAGTAATTCCACTTTCTGCAAAAAAAAATTCCTCAGAACCGACGGGTTTCAAAGATATTTGAGCTGTAAACTTTACGACAATTTTCATGAGCATGTGAACATCTCTAAACCTAATAAATTTAGAGGGAAATCGCAAAAGAGATTCAATCCTTGCTTCTAACTCGATCCTCCACAAATGAAACTGGAGTATTTCCCCCCAAACTGACGACTGACTTCAAGATATTCGGGACATCATTTTTGGAAAGTTTTCATTGAGATTAAATTCAAAGATGTTCTGCTGAATTTTCTCTGCGAGTAATCCGTACATCTGCTTTGAAGTCATCAGTTCCCCACTCCTGATTTAATTATCACCTGCAAGTTCCATATGTGAAAGAAAAATGAGAAAGCATACCACAGGATTGAGTTACCACGTGGAGCGTATTTTCCTCGGGCCCTGCGTAGCCCGAGCTACCCTCATATTGCTGATTACCTCGGTCAAGCCTCGAAGCTCACACTCCAATGTTTTATTTTCACAACATTGGCAGACGAAACCACTGCCAAAATAATCATCATAATCCTCTCGATATCCTGGAAGTTTGCCCGATAACTAATAAATTTCCCTCACATTTTCCCTTTCTCGAGTTTCCACGTGAAATGGCATCGCATCACACACGAATGACCGGAAAATTCGAGTTGGGGAACGAAAATACCCGAGACAATCTCACCTCATATATTCTTGAGGTTTTTGCAACGTCTGCATTTCGAGAATTCAACGTAATGCAGACGTACGTTGGATAGGTCACGGTTACATTTATCATATTCTATTGCAATACGTCATGTATACGTTTTCACGCTTCAAATTCAAATGTTCCCAATTGAACTACAGAGAGAGACTATGGAATTATTTTTTACTGTGGAAACATAGTAATTTTGAGAACAAAAGAGAAACTACGACGTGGTGGACGAAAAAATACGGCTGATAAAATTAATATTTAATATGGAGTCTGTCGGAAAAATTACTGTTGAACATAGTGCACTAATAGAAATGATTAGTTATTGTTAACAACTGGATTTGGTTGGTAACTAGGGTCTATTCGGTCTCACCAAGAATTCATTTGTTAATAGTTAACAAATGCACATTTGAGGCCATGTTTGAATGAAGCTAAAACTAGCGGAAAATTCGACAGCAGAAGATTTGTCTTCGGCGAATCTAGGAGTGCACAAATGTTTTCAAGTAATATTCAAACTCTTTCGCCTTTAAAAAACATTTGTACATATGGTTATTTGACTCTCCTACACTTAAATATCCCCCGAATTGAATTTTCCACTGACGAATATTCTGCTAGTTTCAGCTTCATCATGTTTGACTCGACTTTCACCTTTCAAGTGAACCGTTCGTTAACTATTAACGAATATTGATTACGTCATATTCAACTCCACCATTCGTCAATAGTTAACGAATCTCGTTTGGGATAAATGAATCATTCCATCAGTGTAAAAATTGAGAATCGGTGTAGTAGAGAATGGTAGCATAAAAGTTAAAATTTCAATTGACTCGAGTAAAATTATGATAACCATGAATTTTTAATTCGTCAGTTAAAAAAATATTCTCATCCCATTTCAAAATGAATATTCGCGGAAGAGGATGAGGGAGAAGGAGATTTTTTGAATAACCGAAGTGAAAAACCATATTTAATCTCGTTTATCATCCTTGAAAATTATTATCAATAATTTTGCTCCATGAATATTCATTCTGGAAAAGAGTAAGGCGGAGAGGAAAGATTGAATTTATTAGATTCATTGAATCCGCCACCCGGGTCAAAGCGTGGTCGACGGAGAGGAGAAATTCCAAGAATTGAGAACAATTGACCCTCTCATATCGTCCACTGGAGTTTTTACAAATGTAGAAGGCGCGAGAGTATAAACAAAACTTTTAAATCGTAATAAAAAATTACAATTTAACATAGTAAAAATTCATACAATTTGAGTAATTTCTCATCGTTCCATAGTTAAACTTGGTAAAAAAATTAAGGGTTTTTAACACTATTGAAGATTATTGTTTCGTCCGTGCATTTTATATTGTTTTATCCGTTAAAAATTCCTACGTTAAATCGTAAAAAATGGATTTCAATATCGCAAACGTTGGATTAAAATAAATCAAATTTTCAAGTTTTTCCGTTACGGTCCTCGATTACTATATGTTCATATAATAATTTTTAATTTTATATTCTCTCCGTGTATTGTTTTATTCCACAAGAAATCGATAAAAAATAGACTTTATAAAGTCGAAACAATTTCGATTATTTATTTACAAAAGATAACAAAATATCTGGAATGCAATGAGAAAACTAATTCTGGACTCATCTTCTCTATTCTCCACCACTCTACAATTTTCCCTGGAGCACTCACCCAAAAATAAACCTGCAATCATCTTTATTCTTCGCCAATTCAATCAAAAGTATACTCATGTTCGTGAATTTTATATAATCGCAATTCCCATGATTTATCCCCCATTGTTCGGGTTATTAACGTATGTAATGGAAATAGATTTAAAGCTGGTGATACGATTTTCCCCTCCTCCGCTCTCGTGTATTTATTCGAATCAAACTTCATCGTATTATCCATCGGGCCGGCAGTAGTCTCGTGTTTGGATCTAGGCCATCGAGAAATTGGCTTATCGAACGCTTCGGTTTGGATTATTCGCGTCGCTCTCTCATATACGATTGTTACGTACACAGGGATAAAAAGTAATTACATGTATTCGTGATTGTAAAGTCACGTATCGGTACCCCAGTGGGATTTTATTGCTTCTATTGGGGATTGTTTAACGGTATTTCAATGTTTTCGTAACGAATTGCAATTGTTTTTTTATTTTAAGATTAATTAAATGGGGATTTGAATGGGAAAATAAGTAAGCACAATGTGTTTAGACATTGCCAATCGACAATTTTTTTGAAGAATATAATATAATAATTGTCCCTCTACGTAATAAAGAATAAGGTTTAAAAATTCGAGAGACGCCCCTAATTCTGATCCTTATTTGTCACCCTGAGGATGCAATTGAAAATGAATTATTATCTCTATTTCTCGAATATGTT